ATCGTCTTCATCGTCTGAGTCTATTAAGATCTGACGAGGGGCTTTAGGTCTAGCTGAAGAGGTGGACGAGCGCCCGTCACGGATAGTGCGGAGACGGCTGGCAATAGGGTTGTTCAGATCAGCATCAAATGCCTCGTCGGAGAAGACGAATCTTCCAGCTTCCAAAACTTTTTCGAAATCAGTTGCTTCATTCCGGGAATAGTTTGGATCCTTGAGCTCTAAGCGCCGGTCAATTGCCCGACTGGGTCGAAGTTGGGAGACCTTGCCAGAAATACTGGTCTCGTTCGCGAACAGATATCTTTTTGTTGGTGACGAGCCACACGGCAACAGGGCGAAATTGACGGTAATATTGGAGTAGCTCCGTTTCAGTGGTAATGTCAGAGCCTTCGTGATTGATGACGACGCGTTCAAGGTCACGGATGGAGTAGCGCAAGCCTTTCTCCGCTCCTGGATACTGAGCTAAGATATTCTTTTGAAAGGCATCAAAGTCCCGGGTCTCGTAGCCAGTAAGGGTCACCCAGAAGCGTTTAGTAGGCTGATCTACATATCGGACAAGGCACTTGCACTTCTCGGTGTCCGTGAGGTTGCAGGAGGTTGCAAGGTCGTCAAAGAGCTCAAAGAATTCAAGGAGTTCGGCCGTTTCGCCGTTGAAGATAGGTGCCTTACTGGAATTCGGTCCTGGCATTGCATTGATTCCTTTAGAGATAGTAGACATGACGGGTGCCGGGTTTGGGGAGACGGTATGTGAAGGAGGTGCTTTGAGGAGGGGTTGCGGGAGGGTGGGGAAGACCACAGGTTTGAGTGTGAAAGTTGGTCAGATGGGTTCGATACTGGGCGCGAAGGCGAAAGACTTGGCTTGTGGAGCAAGGCTCAACACGGTGTTTTCGGTGAAAGGTGTGAGAGGAGAGATGAGCTGGGAAGTCGGCTCTATTTCTTCGGTGCTGAAGCGGCAACGGATTGGTGAGTGGAATACTGGTTCAGGAGTTTTAACGGATGACGAGTCCTCGGCTCGGGTTGCAGAACGGGTGGCAGTGCTTCTTGGTCGGTATGGGAATGTGGGATCGTTTTGGAGCCAGGTTATGAGGCGGGGTGGTGCACTCGAGACGAATCTGCGCGTTGGGGTGGTAGTACTTTGAAATGGTTGGGTATGAAGGTCAAAATAGACCAAATATCTAAAGAATAATCAGAGGATCAAGGAAGATCGACGGATTACTCAGAGGGTGCAAGAGGTATTGATATTGATTCCCCTCGCGGTGGGCTCCAAATATGTAAGGCTGAGGTGAGTTCTAAGGGGAATCGAAAGGATCGATCGAGGAAGGTAGGAAATTGTGATAGAGGATGGTAGCGAGTTGACTAGAGATCAAACGATGATGCAGACAGAGACATTTTTGACTTTGACGGAATGTTCGGACGGCTGCGAGAATACGGATCACTGAGAGGGAGTTGATTCACTAATTAAACGAGAATTACATGTAACTTTTTATATGGTGGGAGAATGGACAAAGCGCTATCAAAGCGCGAGTAGCGAGAAGAAAGGCAAAGCGAGACGTGAAAGGTGTGGCGTAGGTACAAAGAATAATTGGGAACGTGTGGTGATGGCGATAAGGACAAAGGCTAAACGTGAATTGATGTAAATATGGACAGAAAAGGAAATAGAAGAGAAGGCAGTGCGTGATATGTCACAGTCGTTGAAGGGTTGATTGAAGCGAGCTTTCATCGTTAAAGGCGCAGCCTTTCTTACAGCCCAATCAGATATGCAAAAATCAATGGAATGCAACACACCGAGATCTGCAGCAGGATCAGGATCAGGATTGGATGCACCTGCCATTGCTTTGTCATTGTCACTGGCCAGAGAATCAGTACTTGATTGTGTGAGATCAACAGTGTCTGTGGGTTTCGATCAAGCAGACCGAGACACAAATGACTGTTTGATTTTCTTCAAGGGGCAGGTCAGAGCCTTAGCACCCTTTGCAATGGCCTTTTTGAGTGACTTGGCCTTATTGGAGATGGATGACGAGATAGACTTAGATGATGAGTGTGACTGGGTAGACAAGGCATCAGATGCCTTCTTTGCGAGCTTGGTTTTCATGGAGAGACAATTTGGTAGACTTACTGGTCTCGAGTTTTTGCCTTGGCTTTATGGTAGTGACTCGAGCTCCTCTGTAGCAAAGTGTCAGCTTGATAAATTGCTAGAATAATTTACAGGGGCATGAAAGACATGACAGAAATTAATATAGCATTGGGTTGTGATCCTCAAGCACTCAGAGTAAGCCGACACGGAGAATTATAGCACAGGTGTTCAGTGGCTGTCAAGGTTCCCGATTTGGTAAGTCATACCTGTCAAACACCGCCAACCCACGGTAAAGGGTTGCGGTATGGTTGTGGGTATGAATATCCAACCATCACAAAAATTGCATGACCAAGACATGGCAATATATGGTTATATTTTTGGTGCCTACAATGTCAGCAGTGTCGGGTCCAGGGCCCAGTATATCTTGCAATACTAGGGAACTGAAAAATCCAATGGACAAGTGCTTGTACATCGTAGATGAGGACGCAACTTAGTGTTTCATATAGTTATTGCAGAGATTGTCGGACATTAACAGTCAACCAGATAGCGAAGACATTGCATGGTATTGTCTGCAGTAATGAGAGTACAAAGTATTGCTATGCGACAGAATGTAGGGAAACTTGAATCATAGCTATCCAGATACCGTGTCAGTATCTGTAAAGTACACTAGGCAGCCGGGGAGCATGAGTACAAAATGTTCAACTTCATCAGTGGGTAGAGAGTAATGTAACATGAAGCACCAGAACACGAGAGCATGAAAATGAAAGCATGGAGGAGAGCAGATAAAGACCTGAGAGCAATGCATGTTGAGAATGCCAGAATGCTATGAATCAAAGTAGAGGTCAATGTCAGTTACAGTTTACAATATAATAAAGACATACCTTAGAAGAAAGCACCTACTTATGGTGGTGTGTTTGCCGTTTGGGACATTGAGCGAGTTCAGATGGCTGCTCATCATCTGATTCCACAATGTGCTTCCTTTTCCCGCAGCCTTGGCTGTGATCTTTGTCTTCTTCCCAGCTAACTTCCCTTTCTTATTAGTACTGACTTCGGGTATCTCAGTCTTCATCCTCCTGTGTTAACTCACTTAGTTCAGGTGAAAAAGGAACAGTAGGGCCTTTCTTGCGTGGGGATGTATGACGAGGTGGAGTTGGAGAATGAGGATGACGGGGTGGAGTGGCTTTCTTGTGTGGGGATGTACGATGGGGTGGAGTTGGAGAACAAGGACAATGAGGTGGAGTCAGGGAATGATGAGGTGGAGTTGGGGAACAGGGACGAGGAGGAGTTGGGGAACAAGGGTGACGAGGTGGTGAAAGGACTGTAGCAGTGTCAGGTGCCGTGGGAGCAGCCCATTTAGGCGGAATTGGACAGGGTCAGATACGCTTGTGAAGGGGAAGGAGAACACATACGAGGAGTAGGAGAATGTCCTGCGGGGAACAGGAGAGTGCCTACCATGCACAGGAGTAGGAGAACGTCCTTGGGGAGTAAAAGACCATCTACGAGGCACAGGAGAATGGATCTGAGGTGCAGGGGAATGAGCACAAGGATAATAAGAATGGCCAAGAGGAGAATGAGAATGATCATGAGAACTAGTACGAGGAGTGGGAGAACTTGGAGAATGATGAACACGATCTCGACCTGAACTCTTGGCTGCACTAGCGTGAGCAGACATCTGTGCCCTCATCTTGGCCAAGCTATCCATTGGCGCAGAGGAGCTCCCGCTAGAATCATTAGTAGAAGCTTGGTCCTGTATCTCAACACTGCCTTCCCGCCTATTTTCATTCTTGAACAATTTCCTTGCAGAAACGCTCAGCATCATGATCAAGAAAATAAAAATCATGTACCTGTTCCACCATTTTAGGAGACCGTCCACCCAATCCTTATCTTCGCATTCTCAGAGAAAGTCAATAATGTTCTGGTAGAACTCTCAATAGCTGAACTTCCCATCGACTTCAGCCCACTTATTCTTGCTGCTGATTCTGAAGCGAGCCTCAATAGTAACAATTGTGAGATAAATCTGTCTAGTACACAAAAGCACTTACCTGAACACAAGCATATGCGATATGTTCTGGTTGGACTATGGTCATGTCGTGCAATGAAGCATTGCAGGAGCGTGTTGCACATGAGTCTTCGCCTAAAGCAGTAGATGTGAATCTTAGTATCTGCACTACTCCCTTATGTGCCCAGCATCCTATGGCGAATCAGACCACAGGCCCATGTACAGTCTTGAACTAGTGCAGTAGAGTGAATCTATGGCGACTATAAAGGCTTTCAGAAATGCCCAGGTATGTCTCTATCCCCCTCCGCGTCCTCTATTTACCTATCTACATGGAAGACCTCATCTGTTTAGGGTGCATGAAAGTTTTCCCATCTCAAAAGCGCTTGAGTGGTCATGAGGCCCAGTGTGAAGCCAACAAACTTCCTGATGCTGACTGGCTACAAGAGTCAGCATTACCTCGAGAAGGGACGTAAGAAGCGCGGGAAGAAGAGAGCTTGAGATGAGACTAGGTCTCCAGAACGCAGGCAAAGGAACACCTCTCCCGAAGCTGACGTGCAGATGGACCTGGGTGATGACTATGTCAACACTGAGGTAATTTTCATTCGATGTACTTGATTTGTAGTATGCTGATACAATAATCATGTAGTATGGGGATACTGCAGGACCCTTGGGATATATTCCAGAAGTGGAACCTCCAGTGCCTACCCCAGATGCACCTGCTGTTGTCTCTGCCCATTCTGGGCAGTGAATATGTATACCTACATGCTACATTGACTATATCCCAGGCTCAGCAACTCACCTCGCTCACATGCCCCCAACCAATTGTCAGGAGCGCGGACGAACCCTCTAATCAACCTATCAAGGTTCAGCCTGAGCAACCACAGGCACCAGATAGTCCTGCCTCCAAAGACATTCCTCATCAGCCCCCCCCTCATCCCATACCAAACAGCCCCTGATGCAATGGGACTTTTCCATATCTACTCTGCATGTCCCACCCTGATACCAAAGGGAGATGCAGGTCTCGATGTAGTCGTCGATGCTCCTACCCTGGATCATGATCCTAATATTAGGAGTTCTCAGATCACTACTGGGCTTCCTTCTTCAGAGATTGGGCCTGATAATGTTTTCTCTCCTTTCAGTAGCCCAACAGCGGGGCTCCTCATGTGCTGGCAGTACTCTGGAGTTAATTCCAAGTTGAATGCTGAGATGAAGCACCTCACCAGAAATTTCCTCAATAACGATGAGTACAGGAGAGAGGATGCACAGATTTATGACAATGTACGCAAGAAAAGGCTTATCAGTGCCTATCTCAAGGATTCATCTAACCCCTTCCACGCTGAAAATGGCTGGCACGAGTCTACGGTCCAAATCCGCCTGCTGAAGGAGAAGATGAAGTGGGCATCAGAGGATGAAAGCACCTGTGCTCGAGATACCTGGTGTCTACCACCGCTCACTCACTGATGTCATTACATTGGTCTTCCAGGATAGTATCACCTCCACCTTTCACATGACACCCTTCCAACAGCGATGGAAGGTGTCAGAGGAATGCACCATCAATGTCTATTCTGAGGCATACTCATCTCCTGCTTTCTCAGAAGCTTATGAGGAGGTCAACTCTCTCCCTAGGGAACCTGATGACAACCTTGAACGTGTTGTTGCCTCCCTCATGATGTGGTCAGACACCACACATCTTACAAACTTTGGTGATGCCTCACTTTGGCTGTTTTACTTGTTCTTTGGCAATCAGTCTAAATACATGAGAGGGAAACTGACAGCATCTGCATGCCACCATGTGGTGTACATCCCCTCTGTAAGTCCTGTCTTATAATGTGTTGTCGGATACTCATTTTAACAGATCCCTAGTGATTTTCAAGATACTTATTTCAATATTTTCGGCGATGCATCCTCAACCGACGTTTATACACATTGTAAATGGGAGCTTATGCAGGCCATCTGGGCACTACTACTTGACGAAGAGTTCATGCATGCCTACAAATATGGTAGTGTCATTCAATGTGGAGACGGGATCACATGGCGCATATTTCCCAGGTTCTTTAGTTACTCTGCTGATTACCCTGAAAAGTAGGTTTCATGATTGACCTTCATATCAGATTGTGGTATCTAATTTTAGTTCTACTATCAGGATCCTACTTGCATGTATCAAATTCCTTGGTGAGTGCCCATGTCCATGGTGCCTCATCAAGAAATCTGATATCCCTAGGATGGGCACCAAACTTGATATGAAACGTTGTGAGAGGACTCAGCGGACTGACAATGAATGACGACGGTGTCATGTCAAACAAGCTTGAGCATTGATGTTCAAGCAGGGAGCTAGTATCAATAGCCAGCACATTCAGAATATCTTGAATGAAGAGTCACTGGTCCCTACTTGGGTAAGTCATTCCTCACAAGATATCAGTTTCAAGGTTGATTTTTTGGTAGAATGCCTTCTCTGAGCGCCTCGCAAAATATTTCTTCAATTTCTTTGTCTTATTTGTAGTTGACCTACTGCACGAATTTGAACTTGGGGTTTGGAAGGCTATATTTACTCATCTCATGCGTGTCCTTTTCGCAGCAGGTGGCACTGCAGTCCAGGAGCTGAACTGGAGGTATGTACTTAGGCATTACGGTCATACTTATTCTCATGTGGCTTTCTACAGATATCGAAGAGTACCTACCTTTGGACAGGGAACCATCCGTCACTTCCACAACAATGCATCGGCAATGAAGTGTCTTGCAGCGCGAGACTTTGAGGATCTCCTGCAGGTAAGTTCAGATTTATCTCATTTACTTTTCATTTATTGAATTCTATTGTAAACTAGTGTGCTCTTCCTGTCTTTGAAGGAATCCTCATCAATGAGGAATCAGAGGACAAGGAAAAGGCCATCCATAACAAGGTAATATTAGACCTCCTCTTCAACCTCGCAGCATGGCATGCATATGCCAAACTCTGCCTGCATACCAACGACACCCTTGCATTTTTTGATTCAGCAACTGTTGCTCTGGGTCAGTCCATTCGCAAATTTCAGCGCACCGTGTGCAAACATTATCACACAACAGAACTTCCGTGCGGGCACGCTGCCTGTGGACAACATCAGGCTGTGCTAGCCTCAAAGCAACCAGGACCATCACATACTGTCTCTGGTCTGAAGGTGAAGAGATTGAATTCGAACACCTACAAATACCATGTGCTCGCTGACTACCCTAACACCATCCAAGAAAGAGGTACAACAAATGCTTTAACTCGCAGTTGGTACGTACTGGTTTATTTCATCTAATGTTGTCTTCTAACCTGCCCCCAGGGAGAGCTTGAGCACCGCCTGTCAAAGCACCGGTATCCACGAACATCCAAGAAAAAGGACCAAACGACATGCAGTATGACTTCCCAGGATGTGATTGAACGCTTGGTCAAGAAAGTTATTGCTGCACATGAAACTATCATTATGCAGAAGGCCAATCCCAGACCAAATGTTATGACCAACGTCCCTTAACCTAACTAGTAGGTGTTTGGAGATCAATCACACCACAGGACTCAGTCAAAGAGGGTAAAGCGAAGATGATATTGAGAGGAACGTCTAGGCCCTACGATAATGTAGAAATGAGGAGGTTAAGTCTAAGGAGTACTACTGACTACTACCTAGACTATATACTACTATTGGGGCGGAGCTATCTGAGTATGAAAGGTATGTGATATAACTATATGCAGTCATAACATTGCACCTAGGGTATAGGGCGTCTTATCAACCAATCAACTACAAGAAGAGAAGGGTAAAGGGTTCATAGGGCCAAGGGTATCGGTGATTAAGCAGGGTTCTCAGGGACTGCTTCTATTCAGGGTGGACGGAGATTAAGAAGGGTGTGAGAGAGTTCTGTGTCAAGAAGTCTCGAGCGGTAATTAAGGATCTCGATAAGAGATGGATCTGGGGATCTAGATCTAAGGATCTAGATAGGATCTGGATCTGGAGATGTATCGGGTACGATCGGATCTGAGGGTTCTCCAGGGTCTTCGGTAATGAACATGCTTCTCTATGAGCGATGCTTCTGTGATAGGGATCTAGGGTTTAGCTGTGACTGTGCAACAGGTTCTAATGTAAGGGGTTCGGTGAATGACAGAGGTAACTCTTAACATGTCATGAGAAGTGAAGGTGTGCGATGTGAAGAGATGATGACTTCTTCGAGAAGTAGCTCGTAGAGGACTCTCGGTTATGGTTCGATCATAGAGGCGTATAGATGCTTATGATGTAACCCGTTTGCCTAATCGTAGGACTTCTAAGGATATGATGAGTTCGGTTATCTAGGGTTATGGATATAGATGGATGACGTCGATGTAGTATAGATGTGATGTAAAGATAGTGATCATTAATCGGTTATCCATCTTATCTTATCAGGGATCTATCTAATCTAATCTTATCGGATAAGGTGACTTAGGGTTCGATAATCGAAATTTAGATGCAGTTGGTAACATTCATGACACCAAAGTGTCTCCACACTGCCCCCACAGATCATTACTATATCACCAAGCATTCTTGTGAAAGCTTTGATCTCACAGCTTGGTTAGTTGATTTGGCAGATGATCCAGCAGTTGAGGTATGTCGTTTTGTATATACATTTCACTTGGGTTTCATTGCATTTTTCAGAACTTTATCCCTCGCCTCAAAGACCATTTGCTTGCCTGCCTCCGTGGGCTCACATATAATGGTGATGAATATGAGTTTTCGGATGAAGACCATGACTCTGTCCTCATTGGCGAGAACAAGCTATTCCAGCATAGCACGTTGCGCATCAACTACACGACATACGATCTATGACACAAACAAGACACAATCAATCCTTGAACTTGTGCTGATGTCATGGTACTCGCAGAAGAGGACAAGCGTACACATCCTTACTGGTACAACCACATTATCAGAATATTTCATGTCAACGTAGGGTATCGCGAGGACGAGGAGTCACACTATTCACAACCAAGACGCATGGATGTCTTATTTGTTTGTTGGTTCAGACACGACAGATCACCTGCCAGCTTTGCTGCTAAACGCCTACAGCACTTGGAATTCTTTGACCAAGACAGTCTTGGGGAAGCATTTGGATTCCTGGACCCTGACTCTGTCATCCACAGGGTACACATCATCCCTGCATTTGCCTACAGTCGCACTGACACACTCCTTGGACCGTCCTTTGTCCACAAAGAGGAAGAACTTGATACAGACTGGCGCTATTACTATGTAAACATGTATGTGCTTACTTTTTTCTTGTTATATTTCTCATTGTAGTATCTACAGGTTCATTGATCGCGACATATTCATGAGGTTTCGTGGGGGTGGAATTGGTCACAAGGCCATGCAGGACTGGGATGAGTTCCTCCAAGGTGGCAAAACTGAATCAAGTGCACATGAAGACTCCGAGATGTGAGGGGATGAGTCGGATTTGGAAGATGAAGGTGATATGGAAGACTTGGAGATGCGGGACGAGGAGGGCACTGATGAAGAAGATGGCATTGATGAGGAAGAGGGTGCTGACGGTGCTGATGAGGAAGAGGGTGCTGACGACAATGTTGATATAGGTCAGGATGATGATGACGACAGAGTTTTGGCTGATGAGGGTGAGGAACTTGACGATGACCTACTTGCAGAGGAGGGCTATGGCACACTTTAACTTAACATTTTGTTTACACTCACTTAATTTTGTCGGTCAATGTGGGCAATACATTGTATATGTCATGTAGATACAATGTACTACATAGTAATCCTATCTTGATAGCATGCAGATAGGTTCAATGTCATTGCGAGATGTTTTCTATCACGTCTGGCTGTTGCCGAGATGGTCTGACAGTGACGTGTCAATTGTTGTGGCACACAACAGTCTAAATCAGGTAATATCTCACTTCTGCAAATTTTGTGATGACACCGTACCCGTACCCGCCAAACCCGTCAGCAAAGAACCGCGGTGTTACCCATACCCGTGCGTTTCCCTATGTGGAATTAGCTCGGCCTTTTTCCTCACGGAGTCGGGCATTCGCTCGGGATGGACGTACACGATGTCCCGAGTGCAAGTAAACCAGTCAACAACACGACTATTCCACAAGACAACGTCGAACACCCCAATTTTACACGTACTTGCGGCTCCGGTTGCCCCTCGCAGAGGGCATGGTTGTGGTAAGTCCGAATCTTGCGTGGATTCTTCACCTGCTTACTTCGATAGACTATTGAGCTGGTGATCTACTTCCATGAACATCTACTCGAAGTTATAGAGGAGTCCGATGAATATGTGGATCACGGCTTGTTTACCGCGAAATAGGCGGTATCCGCATCGAAGATTCAAATGGGTGCGAGAAACCTCACTAAGGTTAGGAGTGATATGGAATGGCTGAAGTTAGTGGGGAATATTCACTAGCGAGAGTGACAATCGTCGGGAAAATGGCTGATGCTGAATATTGAACATCTAACAAGAGTTTCTAGAGATTCCATGCTTTTATTGGGTGACTCAGATTTCCGCGACGACTCCAATATTGTCCATGCTACTCACCAGTATGTACTTTTCTCCTCCCTTGCTTTCGGATTCACATTTCTCAGACTCCAAGAACACTCGATATCATACTGATATCGAGGTCGGCATCCCACTGCAACATTCAAAATTATCCTCGGTAAGAATATTTTTTTCCGCCATACACTCGGGATTCCAGGTTCACAGCTCCGAGTCGTGCTTCTTCGATTCATCCATGAGGCAAGATGGCTTCGAGCCGTTCATCCAGTATGGTACTGGCTCCATGGACGACTCCGTCTCCTAAGATGTCATCCACATAGGTGACTCTATCCATAGGCAGGACTTCGCAGATGCCACAGACGAGCCTGATATCACCTTCGCCTTCAGCAAGTATTTCCAACGGTGATTAACGAGCGGAATAGGTTCCGTCGGACGGTGTTCTCCGCCTTGCCTACAATGTGCATCTCAGGCTGTGTTTATTTTTATGGTTTGCATATTCTGGATTGTTCATCCGCCGACCCCCAAGTTCTACTAGGTTCTACCTATATTATCGCCTGTGTGGTTCTACCAGGTACAACCGTTCTGCCAAACAATTGACAGAACCTCCGAGTCCTGCCCACAACACGATTTTCAGGGTATAAAAGCAAGCCATCTTCAACGTCCCCCCACCTCATAAAGATTCTTATTCACAAATCTCACAAATAATGCGGTTCTCCTTCCCCATCATCATTGCTACTTTGACAGCATCTATGTCTGTCAATGCATGCAGCCGCCCAGGCGCGGTTTGCTACAGGGACAGTGATTGCTGCAAGCACAATTGTAATTTGAGGAGTGTGAGTATGAGTAATTTGCTTTGCATCCTGGATTCATTACTCATTACTCACCCCTTGCGCCTCGCAATACTCATAGCCTGCCAAAGTAAAGTTCTGCAATCCTTCCTAGCCCGATGAGCTGGCGGCCTGAGGGACAGTGTGTCATGTTTCTACTTTCGCATTCATGATGTGGCTGATGGCGAAATGAGTAGTTCTTCGCTGACTTGGTCAATATGGTTACTCTTGGAGTCTCGACAAATTTCACTGTTACTTGTGCAATACTAGTCTCTTGCGGTAGCTTATACGTTATGACATGATATGTCCACTCAAAACTCAATGGATGCATGGATGAAGCTTACGTTTGAGCTGGACTGACGATCAGGATGTCAGTGACAGAGTGTTGGCACTATTACAGCTGTTTATTTCGGTCAAGAAATACATGCTTCAATAGTTACAATATTATACCAATCGAAGTCGGGGACTGACCGCCAGGAGTAGATGCATAAATACTCTCAGCAAAGGGGTATGTTGGGGTCCTTGTCATTCTTCAACACTTCGCGCGAAGGAGAAAACGATGTAGCAAAATAATAACATCGATAATATCACTTAATAGCGTACGAGTAGCTAAAAAAAGCCGAAGCAAATGGTCCCACGACAGCTCTGAATGAAAAAATAAGTATACACTGCAGAAGTTCTTGGTTTCTAATTCATTGACCCAAACTCTCTACATTCTCATGCGTCCCTCCGGTATATGGCTGTTGCCATCGCAGCTGAGTACCATTCGGAGCCTGAGCCTGATGTGCGTTATTGTTATTGGTATTACTGACGGGCTGCGCATATGCAGGATGCGAATAGAAAGCGGCGTATCCATGGGGCACCTGCGGCACTGGTTGATGTGTTGGGATTTCATATCTGGTATGGTAGGACCAAGCTCCTGAGCCATAGATATTTGTGGGGTGGTACTGCTGATGAGACGGGGGCGCATAATATGGGGCATAGTGCGGCGTGGCGCTAGTCGACTGCATTGGGATCGTGGACGTTGGGATCATGGACGTTGGGGTCGCGGACGATGGGAATGACGGACGATGGGGTCGCAGACGTTGTAGTCGCGGACGACGACAACGCCGCCGCCAATAAGGACGGATAAGTCGTGACCTGCATCGAAAGATGAGGAACTGTACTCGTAACGAAATGAACAACAAGAGGGGTGTGGGAAAAATGTCCACTCACGCTCAGGTGCAGGTTCCGAGGGCTTCTGTACTACGGTTTGTCCTTCGGTCTGACCGAAGATGACGCTACCCCACTTGAATTCCCGCTTGACGCCGCGATCCCAGAGTACCTCGACAGACCCGGTCTCCTCGACAATGCGCACCAAAGAGACCTCGAAGACACCAGAGCTCACACGAATTTTGATGCGCGACATTGGTGGGAGGGCAGTGAGCTCGCTTTTGATCCGGTCCTGTTTGGAAGCCTTCTTTGCGGCGGCGACAGCCTTTAAATATAGGGGTCAAACCATCTTTGCTAAACCCCGCTAAAAAAGTGCTTACAGGATTATGCTGCAGACAGAGAACCTCTACGTCGTACTTCTTGATTATCTTCAGCACCTGTGGCTCTGCCTCAGCGGGAGGGGGCAGCATCACCTGATCTTGCGTCTGGGACTGAGAAAGAACTGCATCCAAAAATGAGGGGACTCCGTCAGAAGGGGCAGTAGGCTGCGGTGGAGGCAGTGGGTGTGGTTGGGGGTATACTAGGATCACCTCTTTCTCAACCTCGCGCAGTATCGAGTAAACAATGCCGCTGGTCCCTCCATCTCTCGCGCAGCCAACATGGAAGGATTTCGCGCATTTACCCTTCGTGCATTGAATAGGCGCACCGTGGGCCTTTTGTCGGACCTTCGAACAAGCAGCGCATTTCTAAGAATGAACATCAGCAAAAGGTATGTGGCGACGTTTCGCGGACGTACCAGATTCCACCGATCTCTCACAATCGCATCCACACCAAACACCCTTTTCTCCATGGACATCTCCGTCTCAACCTCGTCCACCCAAGTCTCAGGTACGACTTTGGCACACTCTTCATGCGCCATCCATGCATCGCTCGCAAGACTCGATAAGCTTTCAGGAAGCTCCCTCCGACCTATAGGTGGATCCTGTACGGGAAACAAACCATCCCTGCTCGTTGAAATACACAAACAGCAGGGGAAAGTATCCTCCACAGGCCTGGGACCAAGCTTAAGCGTAATCCTTGACATGGATGGCCCTGCAACTGGCGTAGACGTCGATAGTTCTTTGGCCTTTGGGCGCTTGCGCTTTGGTTGAGGCTCCTCGCCTTCAAGAGCTTTGCGCTTCGATGAGGGCCGTCGTTTTTCGGGCTCAGGGTTCAAGCGCTCGACTTCCCTATCGTGCAAAAGCTGATCTACATCAATCCGTACACTAAAAGAAAGTCAACTCCTGATCATCAAAAACAGGACGAGATGTTAACCTATCGGAAATGCACTGACATGCCTTGGCCTTGCGTCCAAGCTCTACCCAGCTTTCCAGAGCAAAATTGACACTTTCCGCACAGTTGAAACCCAAGTTGAAGCCGGCATGATATCCACGAGGGTAGGTTATGACAAACTCTTGCGCACGTTGAACCAAAAAGTTGGGACGACATGAAGACTGTGCGAGGAGGGTAGGTGATGCAAGGAAGGACTTGTGCCGCAGGAACTGAGGACATTGCGAGATATCCTTCGGGAAGTAGCCTAGGATAACAGTTAGCGACAATAACGTAATAAAAAATGATAAATTACCTTTCATGGTCGATTCCAACGCTCCTGCCCGTCCCTGTGGCATGGCATACCAGAATTTTGGGGCTCCGAAATGTATGTAATTGATACTGAAGAGGTCCATATCTTCAACATGCCATGCAAAAGTAGCACGCCACATCCCAAAGTATAGATAAGGTGTGTTCACGCCTGGTAGGCCTTTGGATGATGAAGGGAGTAACCGTGTCAGGAATGACGGGAGATGGCCAACGTTCCAAGCTGTAGTCTCGTCCGTAAAAAGCGAGCCTGATTGAATGGGAAACCTCAGATATGACTTGTTGGACAGGAGGTATACAAACCTTGAGTGTCCGCTCCATACCAAGCTGGTTTCCCAAGGCCACAGTTCCGCCAAAACTGCCGTTCGAGTTTTTGACAAAAGTCGATGGTGTAATCATCAGCCTTGGTGCATGGAGGGAGCCAGTCTTTGTGCGGCTCGAAAGTTCTGAGGAACGCTGTATCCTTGGCTGCGCGCTCTGCTTCCCTTACCTCCCGACTTTGAGCTCCACGTTTCCTCGCGACTGGCTTCTTGTCACATGACTCATTATCATCGTTCGCGGTCATCTCCACGTCTCCTGGTACTCGGTCGCTGCACGAAGGATCAGGGTCGTGAACTGAGTCGTCAGCAGTTGTGGAAACTGGAGTTTGAGGAAGTCCAACACTCGTCGGCGGGGACAGTGGGGCAGAAACACCATCAGATCTTTCTTGAACTTCATCGTCATCTTCTCCCTTGATCTGAGGTGGTGAGTCGTCCGGCTCAACAGACTCGACCTTGGTGATTGCAGTACGCATCTTGCTGCGTTTCGACCTCGTCTTTGGAGCCGCATTTCTGCCATGAATGCCAACGTCTTCAACACCGGGTGCACAGAACTCTTCCTTCTCGCAGAGCTCTGCCCACTCTCTGACGCTCATGACTTTACGCTTCTCGACGTTCTCCTGACGGAACAAACCACCGCGACCGAGCATATGTTGCTCGATTGGGGTTCTTATCTTGACAGTCGCCCAATTGATTTTCAGTTGACGGAAGCGCGTCGACCCTATGTATGATGTATGGGCTTGTGTCACGAAGTGGAAGTATCTCAGGACACTCACCACTCCTTGGGAGGTATTACCTTTACGATACCGCTTCTCAGTCCCCAACGTTCTATCTTATTCATGTACCCCTCAAAATCTTGAAATTCTTGCATAGTGGGTTTGAACACCGGTATGCCTCTATGGGCTAGGGGGTCATCTTCAGGCTCGAGCCATGTCCTTCCATCTGAATTGGGAGAAGGTGGTAACTGTGCGCCTTCTGAACCGAAGAAATGGTCTGGCTGAACAGGTGGAGCTGGAGTTGGGGAACGTGAGCGTGGGCTGGCATTGACAGGTGCTGCTGGCTCCATCGCGTCCGGCTAATCTCCCACGACGCGCGTGGAATGGAATCAGATAAGAAGACCAAAAAAGAGAGCTCAACGTTGACAACAACGAGCAAAATGTAAATACTAGGTGTGGAGAACGTTGCGACCGTTGAGGACGATGATGAGCTCGTCGTCGTCGTAGTCGTGAAGGGGCGGGAATGCGCGGAGTGCTAAAGGTAAGTCAGCCAGAACCGAAGATATTATGTAAGATTAAATTATTCAAATATTTGTGAATTTTCAAATTCAAGTTTGAATTTCCTGTTAACGGAATAGACTTTAGTGGTTCTACTGACTTCATCAGTCCAAGCCTTTAGGATGACCATCGTTCCTCGTCTTATGACGCTTGCTGACCTCAGTGGTCCTCAAATAAACCGACTTGTTACTCATGCTCATCATTTGAAGCATTTGTCTCTCCCCTGGCTGGCCCCGCAGCACGCGACCAAGAAAAAAAGCAACCTTCGTATGCCATCCCAGTCCCTTTTTAACAAATCTATTGCCCTTCTCTTTTCAAAACGCAGCACTCGCACTCGCATCGCGGCGGAGACTGCTGCTGTCCTTTTGGGTGGACGCGCGCTCTTCCTCGGTTCCAGTGATATCCAGTTTGGCGTGAACGAATCTCCTCGTGACTCTGCACGAGTCATCGGGGGTATGTGTGAAGGCATATTTGCACGTGTTGGCGCACATGAAGAGATCGAGGTGCGATCATTCCTTGTCTACCATCATTTAAATATTTAATTAATACATTCCAGGAGCTTGCAAAGTACTCTCCAGTACCTGTCCTCAATGCTTTATCGTCATTTTGGCATCCGACTCAAGTTCTTGCTGACCTCTTGACCCTCCATGAACATGCTCACCTCTTCTCCCCCGACACACCACCATCCTCTCCTTCAAAGCCTCTTCCTTCCCTACGACCACTCACGGTTGCATACGTCGGTGATTCTGCAAACGTCCTCCACGACATGCTCGTTACCTACCCGCGCCTGGGTCACAAGCTTCGCGTCGCATCACCCCCACAACCTCAATACCAACCTCCCAAACCCGTCTGGGATCGTGTTGTTGAACTCGGATGCGAGAAACACATCTTCTGGAGCAGTGATCCGCGTGAAGCTGTAAAAGGTGCGGATGTTGTCGTTACTGACACCTGGTGCGTCATTTTCCCCGCCTTGACTGCTCATGTTCCCATCTATATATATGACGTCATAGGATTTCCATGGGTCAAGAAGCCGAGAAGGCACAGCGTTTGAAAGATTTCGCTGGCTATCAGGTTACCGAAGCTCTTTGTCGCGAAGGGGGTGCGAATCCAGACTGGAAATTCCTCCACTGTCTCCCACGAAAGCAGGATGAGGTGGATGATGAGGTCGGTTTTCGATTGAATTTCCAACTGGCGACTGATTTCATATTCCATGCGTGATTTCATAGGTGTTTTATAGCTCTCGGTCTCTTGTCTTCCCAGAAGCGGACAACCGCAAGTGGACCATCATGGCCGCGTTTGAGTAAGTTTTGTTTTGGATATCTTGGAGACGCAATTATTAATTCAAACATATGTAGTCTTCTGTTTGGCAAGTGGGACATTACAGGGGAGAAGACTGCAAAAGGCGTTGAGTAGCCTGCCTCCGAGTGAAATGTCATAACGCAAAATATGTACATAGCTTATTATATTCCTAGTACTGGTACCTTCAAGGTGTCAAGCACTCAGAATATCAGTCTTGATTGAAGTAGAATAATTTCCGAAGTACTAAGTACTTAGTAGGGTGAGAAGCAGTGGTTCGGACTAACCCAGCGGAGTATCCCAAGCCGTCTTCCACGTCACGGGATGACCTCGGCGTGAGCTGGTCAAAAGTCTCGGATACCAGGTCGGTACTATGCTCCCACTCTTCGATGCTCCCCCGCCTTTCTCGCTCCCGCCTTGTCAAACGGACAGTATACACTACATTCGGTCTTAGCGCAGCTTACCTCGCAGACACTGAACTCAATGCATCCGCCGTCACCCGTAACCTCCGTACACTATGGACTGTACGCACGCTCATAATCATCAGCGCCTGTGACTGACAACGAATAGTGTGCGCTTATATCAGCGGACTACAAGCTCAACTTTACACCAGAGCATGCAGACCGTATACCTGCCATACACCAGCGCGTCGCAGATCGAATGTACGACCTCTTCACTAGCAATGGCGGACTTTACATAAAGATTGGTACATATGTTTATCCTTTCACTATTTCCCCACTCATAATATCTCATTCAACTAGGTCAAGCAATAGGCGCAAATGCTGCGCTCATGCCTGCACCATTTCAGCAAAAGTTCGCCCGCCTCTTCGACGATGCTCCACAAATTCCTTATTCCACCATTGCCCGCGTATTCCAACGCGAATTTAACAAATCTCCTCAAGAGCTCTTTGCCTATTTCGATGAGAAAGCCATAGCCAGCGCCTCCGTAGCACAGGTCCACAAAGCATGTACATGGGATGGAGACTGGGTTGCAGTGAAAGTGCAGAAGCCAGACGTGGGGCGCCAGATCAATTATGACCTCATGGCGTTTAGAGCTGTCATGTGGGCATTCGAGAAGTGGGTGTTTGATCTACCTGTTTATTTTGCCGTCGGTACGTCTGCTTTCCGTGGTCGTTAAATACGGAACTTACGTTTCAGTAGATTTTATCTCTACTCACCTCCGTGCTGAACTTGATTTCATTGCCGAGGCTTCTAATTCACAACGGACTGCATCTCTAGTTTCTTCCGAGCCCCGCCTAGCTGGCAAAGTTCACATTCCAAAAGTATATCCCGAATACTCAACCAAACGTGTGCTAACAGCGGAATGGATCGATGGCGTGCGACTAAGTGATCAGGAGGCACTAGGTCGAGCTGTCGGGGAGAGGTTGCCTGAAAAAAGCGGGGGTATGTTTGCTGATACGGGGCATGAGGAGAAGAAAAATGGGGTTCCCGAGAGCATGCGTAACGTGAGGTTAAAGGGCGGTTTGCAAGCAATAATGCATACGATGGTGTGTATTTCCGCCACTTCGTATACTTACTACTACTGATATTCCCTCTATTCGCGCAGGTCGAGTTCTTCAGTGCACAAATGTTCGACTGGGGTTTTGTCCACTGCGATCCACACCCGGGGAACATAATAATTCGTGCTCGTCCAGGGCCCTCCTCATCATCCTTCTTGTCTCGACTGTTCTCAAAGCCCGTCCTCCGCGACCCTCAACTGGTACTATTAGACCATGGCCTCTACGTGACCATACGCCCCACCGTAAAGCGCCAGTACGCTTCTCTCTGGCGTGCACTCCTCACCTCGGATTGGGACACGATAAGAGACGTCACCGAAAGTTGGGGGGTTGGCGAGGCGGGGCTGTTTGCAAGTGCTGTCCTGATGCGTCCTGTGAGGATTGGGCGGACGGGTAACGGGTCGAGTCGGCGTACAGGGAAGGGTATCGGAGCTAATGGGGATGCTGGCAGGGAGCTGAACGCATATGAGCAGAGCGTACGGATGAAAGAGCGACTAAAACGGTTCCTTGTCGATACAGATAAGATGCCCAAGGAGCTTATTTTCCTAGGGCGGAATATGCGGTACGTGTGTTTCACATTCATACTTGCTTCGATGACCTTCAATCACATACACATATTCACTAATACTTGCATCTCAAAGAATCGTACAAGGCAACAACCAATCCCTCGGTTCTCCAGTCAACCGCATCAAAATCACCGCCTCTTGGGCTTCCCGCTCGCTCGTCATGATGCATGAACTCATACCCACCACAAGATCATTCCCATCCTCTCGCGCATGGTGGGCCCACCTCAGCACGCGCGAGCTCTGGCGTGACGTACTCTTCCGGGCTGCCATGTTCAGCCTCGACGTTACGTTCTGGATATCGAAGGTTCGGCAACGCGTGCGTTCGTTGATGGGCCTCGCGAATGGCGGATTTGAGGATGAGTTGGAGAGGAGTGTGAGGGGGTTTGCGAGAAGTGCGTTTGGAGTTGAGGTGGGGCCTGAGGCGTTTGAGGGGTAGGTTTGAATGTGCGGGTGTGTAGCAGCGCCGGGCCCGGGGGCACTCATCCCTATTCGCTACTCTTAGATGATCTAGCTAGACCTGGACTCATACGTTTCATTGGTGTACGTTTGACACGGCGATTTGGTTGCCGCCATATAACTTACATAGTAATATTACTTATCTCTGAACACCCGTGAACTCGTTTACGGACTGGGGCGCCTGCGACCAGGGACAGCAGGTCCACATTTCTCGTCCCGCCGAGCGCTAAGTAGCGGGAATTGAATCATCCAAATTTAGGCAAGAACTTCGACCGGCATTTTTACAAGACTAGTACTTAGTACTAGCAGATCTGAATGAACGTTCCAGACTTGTTATCTGCTGTACTCATTGAACAGTTGAACATAGGTCAGGGAAGTTGCTCAACCATCTATCCAAGGTCCTCGCAGATCCAGGCTGTACTAGTATACTACTGCTACTACGTAGTACTTGGCGCCGGATTCTGAGGAAGATTGTCGTTCATTTCAAGCAAGCGAAAGGAAGGTCTTATTCGAATGTACTTACGGTATGATGGCGCAGTGCCAAGCACATTCATCCAAGAAAACCCCATGCGCTCCCATGCGTCATGAACGTCCTTTACAGTAAAAGGTAGTCTCGCTGGCAGATTCCGGCATCTTACTTCACCTCACCCTCTTAATATTTTTCTTCATATCCAATGGCTGCCAACTCCACTGCAGTTATGTGGGGGCCAGGGTTCATTGGTGAGCCTTCCGATGGTTCAAATCTTACCTTGCAGCTGACTCTAGGCCAATTGCAAGGATTCATCATAGCCACAGTGTATGGACTTGCGTCATTTAGTCTCTACTCGATATTGACCTACAGAATCGCAAAGGTTCTATGGCGTATCCTTTGGACAGTATATTTTCTACCTGCGATCTTTTCCGCAAGATTCGAGAAAACTCAAATCATTTGTGAGCACAACTTATTCGGATTAGTGAAAGCATTGTCGATGTCACTTTCGATCACTAGATAATGACAGTCTTGTGGGTGCCTTCTACAGTGCTAGAGTATATGCTGATATCATGACGATGTCTTACAGTCTAATCGACACAGCCCACCAATACTCCCTGATAGGGATATACTGGTCTCTCCTTATTTCGTGCCGCCGTAGCACGTCCCTTGAATGCACGACTCAAATCCCGTGGTAAGTCGATAGGCTTATTCCCAGATCTTAAATGAGCTCATTGAGAGGATAGGCAGATGCTGGCAAGTGCATTTGTGTTGTTGCAGTGTACTACCTAATAAACATTATTGACGAAGCTGGGGGTATTTCTGTCAGTAAGTCCACCATATCTAGTCGCTATTGATAACTAGTAACAATTGATAAGTATTGGCTCATGTTCGCCGTTCAGTGGTATGCATTTCGCATGGGCTATGGAACGATGCTAAATTTAAATTTTCTTTAACTATCGACAGTTTTTATGCAGAACGAGTATGGATAAGTGAGTACCTCAGGATCTGCGAGAATAAGGGTCTCAACGCACTCCTTTAGTCACGGGTAAAAACCGCTTGATCACAGGCATAATTGTGAGGTCACGTTCTTATCATTCCTTTCGTGGAGAGCTATAACGCAGACCTTCAGTGTGTGCTTGCCACTACATCGTTTGGTGAGCTCGTTCAATCAGCTGTATAACGTATTTCTGACTCTTTGAACATTATAGTTTGTGGCATGAGTTGCGTCGATCCTTCATTTCTGGTGCCAATGTTCTCATACGGCACTGCCTTCATCTCCAGTCCTTAGCGGTTTAATGCAAGTCCTTATCCATTGAGCTGGCACGATCTCTCATGATTTCAAAAGATTCCACACGAGAAGCGCTGAAGTTCTATTCAGCACACAGGTCTGGCTAGCCACGAAAGTCTCAATACCCCTAACGAACTCATACTTTGAATTAGTTGTCGCCAGCATCGACATCCGCTAGTGCAATATGTGATGTTTTCATTACAGGGTCAATCTGGTTGTTCATACGACCAGCACGAACAGACAATATTCGGTGCGTAGTTTCTCTACGGTGCTTGTGACCTGACTCATGCAGGTTTCTGTGATTGAAGGGTAAAGTCAAAGAGTCACGTCAATAGAATGATGTGGATTTTTATCCACATGGGTTTATTTTCCTGGTGTGTGCAATTTTCCATACCCGTTGAATAGTTCACCTCATAAGGTCCCCAGCATTGTGGCGACAACGACGGCTGTTCTTGTAAGTGCTGCTGTCCATGCAATTGCGGGAAAATCAGGACCAAAACTGTTTCAGTATCAGTTTCAGGATAGTGTTATTGGACAGTTCTATGCCGCTGCGCCCGGAGCAGTGATAGGAAAATGTCAGTATGTTGCCTAGTATGCATTGCGTAAACACTAAAACCCTTGCTATAGCCTATACTAATTCGATGATGGCGGTGTAAGTGAAAATGGTCTGTTAATTTGCACAAAACTCACCAAACCGCTATATCCGTGGGTAGGCTCAACGCTAGGAAGTCTATCCGTGAACAGGAACGACTTGCCTGCAACGTGACGGACCTTCCTACAATACGTACAATACGTTGATCTTTTGATTTTCCTGGTAGACATCGGATATGATATCTTTCATATACGGCCTCTTTAATCCTCGGCCAGAATATGGGAGCATGCCATCTATCCTACGACTCTCCTTCTAACTCCTCCATCATAATACATTATATACTCAATTCAAGTACCATAATGGTGAGCATCTTAATTTTGCTGGAGCATAGTGACTGCGGTGTGATTTCCAGCTATCTTTGTATCACATCGAAGGTCAGGCTCATCATCGAAAGCTGGGGTGTCGGCGACCCGGGCGGGGCTATTTGCGAGTGCTGTCCTGATGCGGCCTGTGAATATCAAGTTGGACAGACGGCTAACCGGTCGAGTTCACGCGCAGGCCCATCAGGGCTAATGGGGAATTCTGGCGGGGAGCTGGATGTATATGAGCAAAGTGTGCCGATGCAAGAGCGGTTGAAACGGTTCCTTGTAAGTAGGGGCAGAATATGTGGTACGTGATATTACATATAGTCGCTCCAACCCTCGATCACATACACTAATTATTTGCGTCTCAAAGAATCATACAATGCAACGATTAATCGCTGGGTCTCCGGTCAACCGAGAGTCATAAATATACTTGTTGGGCTTCCCGCTCGTTCATGACGACGCATGAACGTATACCCACCACAAAATAATTACCATCACCCCCTTGCACATGGTGGGTCCATCTTGACACGCGCGAGCTCTGGACGACGTGCTTTTCCGCGTTGCCATGTTCAGCCTCGAGTTGTCGACATCATGGGCATCGAAGCTCCGGCAGCGTGTACGTGCGTTGCTAGGCCTCGTGAACGGTGGGTTTGAGGATGAGTCAGAGAGGAGTGCGTTTGCGAGGAGTGTGTTTGGGGTTGAGGTGGGGCCTGGTCCACGGGTAGGTTTGAATGGGTTAGGGGGGCACTTATCCCTATTCAATACGACCTGGGCTCGTACATTCTATTTGTGCACGTTTGACACGGCGATTGTGGTTGCCGCCATTCAACTTACACTGATTGTACCTATCACAACACCGGTGAACTCGGGTACGAACTGGGGTGCCTAGTAACGACTGTGTTGGGCCTTACCAGGGCACCCTAGGGCAGTCGTGATGGAGCACTGATTTGGAGATCTGAACACATCCGAGTCTTTGGTACCGCTGAGCGCTGAGCGCTACAGTACCAGGGTAGCGCTCGGGAATTGAATATTAATCATAGGAAAATGCTCAAATATAGGCAAGAACTTTCGAACGGCATTTTTACAATTGAATTTGTGTCACTGCAATTAAAAAGTGAGTGAATTGGTCCAGCTAGAACGAGGGTTCCAGGCTTATTATCTGCTGTACTGATTGATCTGTAGAAACATGGGTCTGGGACATCGCTCCACCATCCATTCAATGCCAGGCAAGGTCCTCGCAGGTCCGGGCCGTATTGGTATACTACTACTAGTAGATCCCGAAGTGGAATTTTAATGTCGTTCATTCAACCAAGCGAAATGCTGAATGCAGACTAAGGCTAGTACCAGGGTCTTATTTGGTTCACTTGGGAGAAGACAAAGTGAATGTACTTACGGTATCATAATGACCGCAGTGTCATGCCAAGCGCATCCATTCAAGATTGAACATACTTAAAAGCAGGAGTCTTGCAGATCCGGGCGTCCTAATATTTCACATTAATATTGTCATATCCGATGGCGGCTAACTCCACTGAGGTTATGTGGGGGCCAGGATTCATTGGTGAGCCTTTTGATGCCTTCATTTTACCTTGCAGCTGACTCTAGGCCAAGGATTCATCATAGCTACAGTGTATGGATTCATCATTCAGTCTCTACCTGATATTGACCTGCAGAGTTGTAAAGGTTCTATGGGGTATCCTTTGGGCAGTATATCTTCTACCTGCGATATTTTCCGCAAGATTCAAGAAAACTCAAATTATTTGTGAGTACGAGTTATTTCGATTAGTGAATACATCAACGATGACATTTTGTAATAGATAAGGATGGTCTTGTTGGTGCTTTCCACGATGCTCGATGAGGATATGCTGATATCATGACGATGTCTCACAGTCTAATCGACACGATTCACCAATACTCCTTGATGGGGATATACTGGTCTATCCTGGTTTCGTGCCGCCGAAGCACGTCCCTTGAGTGCACGACTCAACTCCCATGGTAAGTCGATAGCCTTATTCCCGGATACAAAATAGGCTCATTGAGAGGATAGGCAGATGCTGGCAAGTGCATTTGTGTTATTGTAGTGTGCCTACTGAACATTTCCTACGAAGCTGGGGGTGTTTACATCAGTAAGTCCTCCACATCTAGTCATTATTGACATCTAGTAACACAATAAGTATTGGGTCATTTTCGCCGTTCAGTGGTATGTGTTTCCATGAGCCATGGCTAGCCCGCAGGAAGATGCTAAATTTGCTTCCACTATCAACAGTTTTTATGCACACAGGGTGTGGATAAGTGAGTCCTTCAGGATTTGCCGGTCTCAAGGTCTCAGTGCGCTCCTTTAGTCACGGGAAAAAATCGCTTGATCACAAGGCATGATTGTGAGATCACATTCTCATTGTCCCTTTCGTGGAGAGCTATAACACAGATCTTAGTGTGTGCTCGCCACTATGTCGTTCGGTGCGCTTGTTCAATCAGCTATATAACGTATCTCTGACTCCTTGAACACTGTAGTTTGTGGCATGAGTTACGTCGATCGTTCATGTCTGGTGACGATGTTCTAATGTGACGCTTGTCTTCGTCTCTAGTCATCAGTGGTTTGATGCGAGTCCTTGTTTATCGGGCTACACAATTTCTCACGATCTCCAAAGATTCCACACGAAAAGCGCTGAAGTTCTATTCAGCACGAAGGTCCGGACAGCGGTGAAATAGCTTTTAATAATCCTAACGAACTCATACTCTCATTCAGTTGTCGCCAGCATCGACATTTGCTAGTGCAATATGTGATATTTTCATCACAGGGACAGTCTGGTTGTTCATGTGACCGGCACGAACAGGCAATGTTCGGTGCGTGGTTTTCAGATATGATTGTGGTCTGACTCATGCAGGATTCTGTGATTGAAGGATAAGGTCAAAGTATTATATCAATGAACTGATGTGGATTTTTATCGACATGGGTTTGTTTTCCTGGTATGTGCAATGTTCCATACCTATTGAATAATTCATTTTATAAGGTTCTTAGCCTTGTAGCGATTACGATGGCTGTGCTCGTAAGTCCTGCCGTCCATGCAAAACTCGGAAAATCAGGGTCAAGATTGTTTCAGTATCAGTTCCAGGACGGTCTTATTGGACAGTTTTACACCGCTGCGCCCGGAGCGGTGATAGGAAAATGTCAGTATGTTGCCTATGCACTGCGTAAACACTAAAACCCTTGCCATAGCCTATATGAACTCCATGCTAGCAGTGTAAGTGAAAATGGTTTGTTTACACAAAGCTCGCTAAACCGCTAAATTGGCGGTCAGACTCAATGCTAGGAAGTCCATCCGCGAACGAGAACGGCTTGCCTGCAATGTCACGGAGCTTCCTACAATACGTACAATACGTTGATCTTTTGCTTGACATCAGATATGATGTCTTTCGTATATGGCCTCCGCAATCCTCGGCCAGAATATGGGAACGTGCCATCTATCCTACGACTCTCCTTCTAACTCCTCCATCGTATATATTATATACTACCTTTCATAATGATGAGCACCTTGTACTTTGTGTTTCGTGCTGGAGCAGCGCGATCTCCAGCTATTTATAGAACCGGATCTCGGTTTTTACCCTTAAGCGCCTTTAGCAGTTGTCTTTGGAATGGTACCAGACAGAGGCGCCTCATCCATTTGTTACTTTTGGAGTACTCCCCCAACTACTCATGAAAACCATCGACATATAATACATAGTAGGGCCGCCAGAGACTGTTAAATAGCAATGGGTCACCAAGTCCGCACAGGTGAGCTCGAAGGCCATTGCACAAGTGACAAGATCTGTCAATTACCATGCTTCGTCGGCGCTCACAACTTCACTGAGAGCGCTCGATATGGGATTTTTGTTCGACTAGACAGGTCTAGGCCCACAAGTAAACCGAGTTTAGACGAATTTTCTGAGATTTGGTCTATAGATATGAAGATAAGTAGTAGCTGTCAAGTGGGCGTCACTTGAAGCACATCACAATATTGATCACATGCGGGTCAACCCGGTCTCAGGTTCGGATGTGGAAATCAAATGGGCGTCTATCAATATTCAACGTAACTTCCGCGTTCACCGTCCTTGGCATGAGGTCCCCCCTCGACCGGGCTGTTACAGTACAGTGAATGCAAACATCTGGCATTGAAACAAAGATCATCTTGCACCATTGTGACCTGGTATGAACATTCTACAGTGAATGCGCTGGGATTCAGGTTGATGAGTTTACCAATCTGAGTCAAGTACTACTAGTCACTACTTGAGGATTGTTGCGATCGGCGTTCGAGACGCTTGCTCGGGCGGATCTAAGAAACCCTAGGTTCAGTGGTCAACTCGGTATAAGTATAATCCATCCGTTTCCTTACCCCACTTGTTGTCCTTCACATTCGTCTTCCCCGCTGAGTGCAGTGTCCATAATTTACTCGCTGTACCGAACGTTGTAGAGACATTCAAATTCACGTCATGGCCATCACAAGCCTCCGACGCTCGCCACAGTATCTTTCCAGGTCACTTAGCACGCGCGCTTACTCCCTGCCCGCGCGTAGGACGCTTGCTACGGTGTCGCCTGAGCACGGAAAGGTTACGGTGGGTATACGGCGAGAAGACCCATCAAGGATATGGGAGCGCCGATGCCCCATCACGCCTGACGAAGTTGCCCAACTCGTTCAGCACCTCAAAGTCGACGTTCTTATCCAGGACTGCGACCGTCGAGTATTTCCCGTTGACCAATTCATCAAGGTAGGTCGTCATCGTTCCATGTACTTCCTTCCTTGAGTCTCCATGACACCTTTCACCTGACTCTCAAATATGACCATTTTCACCCCACTTGTTTTACATTCACATGTTATCTTGTGCGATACCTGTGGAGCTGCACTGTGACTTACCATGCCCTATTTCAGGCTGGCGCCAAAGTGCACCCCACGCTGGAACCCGCACACATCGTGATCGGAATCAAGGAGACACCGCTCCATGAGTTGGTAACGTCTCCTGTTTCGGCGCCAGGCCTGGGTTCAGGTCCTTCCGTACCCCGCACCCATCTGATGTTTTCCCACACCACGAAGGGTCAGCCCTACAATATGGAGTTGCTCTCCCGCTTCCTCGATTCGCACGAGAACCCATCATTGCCTCGGTTGATTGATTACGAACTCCTCGTAGGTGAGCACGGCAAACGAACGGTGGGTTTTGGGTGGTTCGCAGGAGGTATGTAGTTGCTCAAAACCGTTGGCAACGGCTTACCACCGAATAGTCGCTGGTGCTCTCGAGTCTTTGTCTGCGCTCGCGCATGCGCACCTTGAACTTGGAGTTACTTCTCCTTTCCTTGTGAGTGCTGTCATACGTTCCGCTTTGTTAACCCTAACCTTAATCGCCGCTTCAGCACACGCCTCGTCCACATACACATCCATCAATCCCATCGCTCCGCTCTGCACTTCGAACTATTGGCCAGAACATTACAGAGAATGGGACACCTGGGGCATTAGGACCGTTCGTCATTGGGCTCACAGGGTACGTGGTTGTTCATCGATTTTGAAATGTATTGACGACCCGCAATTGATAGGAGTGGGAAAGTGTCCCAAGGATGTCTATCCATTCTAGAAGAGCTCCCGATTGTGAATCTGGCCGTGAAGGACCTTCCTGGACTTGTAAGCAATCCAGGTATGCTATATCCTGCTCTGTCTGAATGTAAGCTCAAGTCATACCCTACTAGATACTGACCTCCACAAGGTAACATTCTTTCTTGTCACGTATCATAGTAAGATGCATCAACGTTTTTTTAGATATACCTCGTACATGCACACCCTCAAGACTACCTTACCCGTGCTGATCGTGGACAATATTCCCGTGATGATTATTACAAGAACCCGGCCATGTACCAATCCGAGTTCGACACCAAGGCAAGCTCCTACTACAGGCGATGATGGGATCTTTCTCATATTTTCTTCCTCGGTAGGTTGCACCATACCTCACGCTATTCCTGAATGGCGTTGGCTGGCTCCCATCTTTCCCACGACTTATGACGAACGAACAACTAGCCACTGCTCTCAGCCGTGCAGCTGAAGTAGGGCGAGCACGTTTTGGAACAATTGGCGACATCAGTTGTGATGTTGAGGTACGATGGTTATTGACCGCCGGGTGATATATTGATCATGATGCCGTCTTGCAGGGCGGTCTCGAGTTCTTACCTCGCGCATCCACCCTCTCGGACCCCTTCTTCAAGCACCGGCCATCCTCTCTACCTTCTCATCTTCCGAGTGTGACTATCATGTCTGTTGATATCCTCCCCTCGAGTCTTCCCCTCGATGCTTCTCAGCATTTTTGTGGAGTTCTAATGCCATATTTGCGCGCTCTGATTAATGAATACCGTGGACGATCCGGCTCTCGCGAGCACCTTGAGGCCCTGAACGTTGCGACAGTTGCACGGAATGGTGAGCTGCAAGGCAAGCATCGTTGGCTGGAAGCGCCAGTCGAGAGGTGGCAAGCAACCCGAGCTGCAGAGACAGCGAACAAGGCAGGAGTAGCTGCGACATCGCTGAGGAAGAAGCGTGTGCTCATGCTTGGCTCTGGGATGGTTGCAGGTCCCGCTGTGCAAGAGATCTGTAAGAGGTCTGACGTGGAGATCATCGTTGGTCAGTAGTCGTTTTGCACATACATCATGGACATTGGATTAATATATACCCTTAATTTCTTTGGAAATTCATATCACATGCTTTGACGAATGTCGTTGGTAGCCAGCAACATGCGCTCCGAAGCGGAGGCTTTGACGCGCAAATACTCGAACGCGACAGCGGTGTGTTTGGACGTGCACGACATTGAAGAGATGGCAAGGTTGATTCAAGAAGCCGATGTTGTTATTAGGTGCGTGACGTTCTCCGACCACACGACATAATCGGTGATGAATGCGAATTTAGCTTGCTCCCAGTACCGTTTCACCCTGCTGTGGCAGAGCTGTGCATCCAACACCGTAAGCATCTCGTGACGGCGTCATATATCTCGCCTGCCATGCGCGCCTTACACGAACGGTAAGTACATGCGATCGTTCATCATCCCCTGCACTTACGACATTTACATCTCATATTCGCCGGCCGCCTACATGGAACGTTCTAACATTGGTTCCATGGACGATCTCTGGCTCCGGAATGGCGTTACGGAACACAGGGCGCAATCCGCAGATGTGCTTCTACTAAATGAGATCGGTCTCGACCCAGGGATTGATCATTGCTCTGCATTATCACTGCTTGCGCAGCTTAAGAGAGATAACAGGCGTGTCGTCTCGTTCACATCATTCTGTGGCGGCTTGCCCGCCCCTGAATGTGCGGATGTTCCCCTTGGGTACAAGTTCAGCTGGAGCCCGAGGGGCGTGCTTAACGCTGCGCTTAATGGAGCGAGATTCAAGCTCAGTGGAAAGGTGCGTTGATAGCAGCATGATACATGCACAAGAAGGCCTTTTAATTGTGGCGTGTAGGAGATGGAGATTTCTGGAGAAAATCTTCTTCAGGAATACTTCCCTTATGTCCCAATTTCGAATGTCCTGAGGTTTGAAGGTCTCGCGAATCGAGACAGTCTCCCGTATGCGGAAACGTATGGGCTTGGCAAGCTTGAGAATTTGCAGAATGTTCTCCGTGGAACTCTCAGGTAGGTGGCACTTGAGCACTTGATCTTCTGTAAGGCTGAGTCACTGGCGCTGATATCAGATACCCTGGGTTTGCGGAGATAATGCACGCCTTCAAGGTTATAGGGCTACTTGACACAGGACCCTTCATTCAGCCACGTCATTGGTACGATCTCGCACGGATGTCTCTGGAGAGCAAGATTGGAGAGCGGATCCCAAGTGATCCCCGCTCGTTCATGTCAGCCCTTTCCACCGTGATGGATATCAAGCACGCGGACACGGCACTCAATGCTCTGGACTGGTTGGGACTTGCTCCAGGGAATGTTCCAAGCGGCACTTTCCCGGAAGTGCCACTCAAACCACAAGCACCGATCGAACTTCTGACTTCTGTTCTCGCCCATAAGCTCAGGTACAGCCCTGGGGAACGCGACATGGTCGTACTGTCGCACGAAGTCGTCGCTCAGCCATCGTTCTTATCTACAGATTCGGCCACGGAGGTTTACACGTCGAGCTTGGTGGCATATGGTAACTCTGAGGGGTCTGCGATGGCACGCTGCGTTGGGCTTCCTGTCGCTTTCGCCGCGCTCGAGGTCCTGCATGGTGGCATTCATGTGCGCGGTGTACATGGGCCTACGGATAGGACCCTTTATGGTGCTGTACTTAATGGATTGCAGGGAGCTGGGCTTGAGATAAAGGAGTCTGTGAGCAAAGGCCCAGCAATGGAGAGGAAGTTGGCAGACGGACTCCGGGCAAGCAGAGTACATAACTCTCTGGACTCTTAGAAGGATACATACCATTATACCACCATAACAATCCGTATAATCGATACGTAGTACTACCGTCAATGTAACCACGGGTTTTTACCCACTCAGAGCCTCCACCTCGTGGCTCATCAGACGCTTGTCCTCAAGGTGTCCTGCACTGCTGCAAGTATGGAGGTTCACTGGTTTTCTGTTGGAAGCGTCAAGGATCAACGCGAAACCTACTAAGCCCACGGCGGACAGAAGGGCAGCAATCAGGCTCCTTCCCACCTCCGCTTCGAGTGTAGAGCGGCGACATCTGAGGGACGTAAATACTTACAAGCCTTTCGCATTGGTGCTGTGGTTGATAGCGCAATTCATAATTCATCGCTGACTAGATCAATATGGTTGCTTTCTGGAGTCTCCATTACTGCTTGGGCAATAGAAGCTCTTAGATAGAGGAAAATCTCAAACATTTAATATGATATTGAGTAGGAAACATGATGTTTGAGTGATTTTGGTCTTGATCGAACGTTGAATGTTGAAGGCCTCACCATTGGCACTGATACACGTCAGCTGAAAGAATTTCGGTTGGGTCAGAGCAACTTGTTGATGCTGCTTAGTACTTACCAAGCGACGGACGTTGATCGAACAACGTGACGAAGATGCGTTCAGTGCATGGTGGTCAATGCCCGAACACCACATATATTCTCACAGCATGCACATTTCTATAGCAGACAATGACACGGATTTGGCCTTAGGCCGCAACAGGCACGGCATGCGGGAGAGCTCTAACAAACTTGGCACGGCTCGCAAATGCCTATTCATTCAGAGGTTTCCTCACCCCAAAGTGTAAAAAACTACATATGTGCAGTCGAGACAATTAAGCGAGAAAAGGACAAAAGAAAGGGGGCATACACGGAACACAGACTAACGAGGACGTAGGTAACTAAGATAAAACCACCATGGTAATCCTACACTCTCCTGGCAGAAAGCTATGGGAAATTCTCTAGTGAGGCAGAACAAGCCCCGATGACCATTGTTATAAGTAACCGCTGTCGTCCTCTTTCTTGTCATGCGCGACGTCGTCATCCTCATCCGGTATCCGTTCCTTGTCCGCAGCGCTCATCGTATCTTGCATGACTTGTTCGGCGACAACGATTCGGTTACGCTCTCCACCCGTCAAGGGACTGCTCTTGAACTTCCCTCCCTTGATGCTGACTGTCGGGACACGTAGCATGGTAGGGGAACGCACATCGCTCACTGGAGGAACTAGGGGTGTACTAATACCCAACTCCTTAGCAGCAGTGAGACGACGTTTCCGCTCGAGGAGGATAGCTTCCAAGGGTGGTACGGGTGACGATGATCGTGTACCGGGAGCGCTGACAGAAATAGGAACAGGAGAGGCGAACCCAGCACTAGAGAGAGATCTCTTCTTCAAGACAGAGCTACGTGCCGAAAGAGCGTCATCGGGTGAGGTGGACGCATTGTTAGTGGTCTTCGCGGGCTGGAACATGTCTTGCGGCTCGTCCGTTGCTGTCATGGCTTCTAGGGTCTGAAGGACCGTCTCGGGCGTCCCCTGCTCCTTAATGATATCGTCGTTGGCCAAGAATGCTGATATCTTCGGGACAGGCTGTACTATAGAAACTTGGTCCGGATCACGAGGTGTCGGGGGCTCACTGCGAGAACGAAGGAAGCCGAATCCTTTCAACGACAGAGGGCGCAGGGTGGAACCGGTGGGTGCAGGCTTAGGCGCCTCAGTAGGCTGTGTGACTGTGGAGGGTAGGTCAGGTAAAGACTCCCCATGAAGCTTTGAAAAAGGCGGATGTTCTGTTGGGACGTAAGACGAGATGCTACCACCAGCACCCTCCTGATCGAATTCGTCGTAGATTTCTTCACCAATAAGTTCTGCGGAAGTTTTGAGGACGCGCCGGCCGTGAAAAGCGGTCAAAATTGCGTACCTTCGAGAACGTCTTCCAGTGTAATAATGCCGAGCGGCATGATTGCCGGATCGATGACCTGTAAAAAGTCCTCTGCACCTTCCTTCGTCAAAACAGCGTCAGCAGGCATGCTCTGCTCCAGGGCAGTCGTCGAGCGAGGTATACGGAATTTCTTTTCTTTGCCAGTATCATTCTGGACGACCTGTTCTTCGATAACACCCATTTCCATGTCACGCTTCACTCTTTCGCGTTGCGCGGGGCGCCCTCGCCCACGGGCAGTCCGAATAGTCCGCTGGGGTATGTCTATTGCATCTTTGTCATCTCCGCGAAGTGTGGATTGACCATCAGGGTCCGATTCATCAGCCCAGGATACTCGCGATACTTTATCTTCGTCCTTGTTCTTGTCCTTGGCCTTATCCTTCTCTTTATTGTCTTCGTCCTCATCGCTCGAGTCGCCCATGCCAACGCGATCACGTAGGCGTTGTGTGAGGGAACGCTTGGCAACCTTCTTGACCGAAGCAGCTTTCTCCACGCTGAAGCGAGATACAATGGCCATGTGCGAATGACCTTCTTGGAATCTGTCTAGAATGCCGAGAAGAGACTCGTTATTTGGTACGAAAGGAACCTTGTTCAGTGGAATCTTGCGTAAAGGAACGGCATCTTTCGGATCGAGAAGAAGACACTAGAAGAATGGATCAGGAAAGATATGAAATACATGAGGAGACACCCACGTGTTTAACGAGCAGAATACCAATGATCTTCTTCACCTTCGACATGCGATTTGATGCACCGACGGGGATCTCGACCTCTTCATACACAGGGACACGGCTATGTCCGGTAAGGCATATCTTCTTCATAAGCGAGTAATCGAGTTTCGAGTCAATCGATAACATGAAAACGTTCTCGATGGGTGTCATCGCCTATAGCCAGTGCAGATGCACAAATCAAATTATCTCCGAAAATGGACGTTGGTCTGGGAACTAACCTGCTTCACTACTTTCTCTTGCAGGTCTAGTGTAGCGCCAATAATGGTGACTGTATCAGTCTTAAGATCCCCACCAAGCGGGGACATTGACGAATGCAATGCGATGAGCTCTTTGAGTTCTAAGTAGAGCAAAACCATCAGTAGAATGTCGGATGTGAAACGCGGGTGCTTACCTCCTCTACGATACATGATTCCATGATGGGGACCGAGTACTAACTCCAAAAGTTTGGCAACAGGCCATGCAACAACACCCTACTACAATTTGATTCGCATCCTCAACAAGCATATAATGACGTACAAGAAGACAGATTAGGACGCGGGTAAAACCCGCCATTTGAGCGCCGAAGTAAAGACCATGTCGGGTGCACAATGATTGCGGGATGATCTCCGAGAAGCTAGAAGCGATTTTTGGTGAGTAACTTTTAAATAGAAGCGTCGGAATGTGGGGAAGTGCAAGGACGCTGGCTGACGTCAATAATTTCCTCATCCCCGTGACCAGAAATTTTGCGGATCAGAAGACGACACGTCAAGAATGACGGATCAAAAGCAATAGCCGCTATGATATCTGATAGCCTGGGCCGCGAGAAATTCACTAACATGACAATTAAGATAGTGCTGACGACTACACTCTGCACTCCGCCACCGAGAATAGGGTCAGAAATGACAGGCAGACTCTCGTTGACGATCATATTGGCAAGAAGCAGCGTCACCAACAGTAAATGGCCATTTTTCCTAATAGGCTTGATCTTCTCAGCATAAAGTTTTTGTTGACTGTGATAAGTACGATCAGCGAGGACAGCAGGACGAGTATAACAAGATCTGACGAACGGAGTGCCGCTCATGCTCAATACATTGAGCTGGGTCTCATCCAAGCTCATATAACCTAATGTCAGACCGGCAAATAGACCTGACAAGAGGACGAGAACTGGAATGAGACACGCGAAGACGATGAACTCGGGTCCGTGACTGCTTGCGGCAGCTCGTTTCGCATAGGTGTGTAGCGCTGTAGGACTGCCATCGGGGCCGGAGCCAAGGAGTTTACGAGTAATACTTGGAACATATTGCGATAGAAGGGAGAGCGAAGTAAATAACAGACGGGGGGAACGAGGTGAATTGAGCGGGGTCGGTACCATTCAGTGAGTCGAGGTCAAAAATGAATAAAGCGGCGAGTAACCAAACCTTGGCCCTTATATGTATAGTAAAAACACCGCCGCCCATATTAGTCATTAACATGACATAATTCCCATAATAAGTAATCAAGCTGCGGCACCCTCCAACCTAAGGTCGTAGGTAACCTAGCTATTAGGCTACCATACACTATAGGGTACTTAACCTCATATGGGGGAATGGCCGCAAACCTCTTCCTCTTCAGAGACTTCTTTTTGCTACAGCTTGGTTACAGCATAGCGGTTTAATAGTGGTAATATCCCACAGGACTACTGTATATGATTCAGCAGTTACTTCGGCGATACTATCTCATCAATTGCAATTGTTAGGACACGCGACAGGTTGTATATTTAAGTATTCTTTCTCGAACTCTGGAGTGGAGAACAAAATCAAATACCGGTACTTACCGGTGCTTCCCAGTCGCACGCACACCAAGTGCTAGACCACACTAGATTCAACTAGACTCTGCTGTGCCCATTGCCAGTGCTTCCACAATCAGGGCGACATACTAGCTTCTCATGGCCTCTCATAACTTCTTCAAATTTGCTGGTAGAGTCTGGTCATGTAAAATCAGCCCTTATCGCTGTCCCATAATCAGGCTCCGTGAACTGCGCTCGCTGCGATCGATCATCGTCAAGGCAGCAGAAATTCAGCAGATAAGTATATGCTGAACTTCAATCTACTTCAATTTATTAGGAAGGCTCTGTGAAGTTATCCCGCGCTGTGTGAGGTTCCGATTCCACGAGCGTATCGATCGTGAATGATAACTAGGCATTAGATCACAGAATCTACTGCTTATGCTTCGTCCGACGTACTCGTAGGTTTTGCCTGTCTTCATGAGTATTACGCTGCACGGTCTGTTTGCTCTTACTACTGCTCTGTTAATGATACAATCGCTCACTGCCCGAGCCTCCGAGGGCCCCACTCCGTGATTGATTTACAGGCGTCCAGTAGCGGATAAACATAGTATGTGCTGATCATTCTCTAGTGTCCTATGCCCTTGCCAGATACATGTTATCCCCTTCACATTATCGCTCCTCACGACTAGGGGGGCATCAGAGAACTGGTGAGCTGCAGATATTGTCTTATATGCCGATAAGTATACGGATGATACATATAAAAAAAATTGGAACATAAAGTCATAGTATAACGACGTAGATGCACCATCAACGTAAAACGTCAGAGGCATCAGTGTTTGGACCCGTCGAAAAACTATCGTTGAACGATCCCTGTTTGGTATAGTCTCGGACTTCTAGTCCTCTCCACCAATGAGAGTGCTCGCTTAAGCTAGGGAAAGCTTCAAATTGTCAACGTAAGAGGCCTCTCACAGATGTAGCTTACGTTCACATTTGAAACTTTCTTCAGCCATAAGCGCGCGCTCTCATTGGTGGAGAGGTACTTAGGCGACGCTAGGCGCTCGGCTACATACAGGCTTATGTCGAAAACTTGTTTTGACCGGCTGTCCCTCAGTCTTATAAATTTAAGAACCGAGTTCTGAACTTCAAGTTTGCCCCCACGTCCTTTCCCGCTCGCAAGATCTTGAACACATACAAGCCATCTCAGTGTGCACATGACTATTTCAGCGTCCCAATGGGGTTCCCCTGTCGCTTCCAGGCGGGCTCTGCTCATTCATGGCATGTGTATGTGCTCGAATTCCTGGGAGGGTCTCGCTCAGCTATTGGCGGCAGAAGGTCAGGTTTGAAATACTGTGGTGGCGTTCCCCCTTGTTAACATATCCGTCAGGATTCTTCGTCGTAGCTCCGAATCTCCTCGGGCATGGATGGAGAGGGGGCTCGGACTTTTGCATGTCCGCCTTTGCGGAGGACCTCCGACCGTATTTCGTCACGGACACGTCTTACGACGTAATTATCGGGCATTCTTTTGGAGGCTCAGTGGTCCTGTCTTTCTTGCCATTCTTGCCCAGAAAGAAAGCCACCACCATTATACTCCTCGATCCTGGACTCGAGTTTACAGAGCACCAAAATAACATGAACAGAAAATTATTCCTAAAGGAAACGTCGAAAATCAGGACCGCCGAGGAGCACATGGCTAAGAATCCTGCTTGGTCACAACGTGACTGCGTGTTAAGAACGCTAGGATTCTCCATGTCCGATCGCACTACCGTTGAGGTGTTTCGGGTAACGTTTCATCTATCGAAATGGGAAGCATTGCTGACAGGTTATTGAACAGCAAAACATGCCATGGACTTTCAATGGCCTGGTCAAAAACGTCCCGCCCAACGCGAAGATCACCGTGCTATTATCAGATCCGAAGTTGAGCGGTATTTGTCTATTGGAACACATTCCTCGTGACGTGGAAAGGGTGAATGTTAGAGTTCTTACCGGCATCGGTCACTGGATTCAATTCGAGTGTCCGGATGTTATCATGGACACCATTCCGCTACCGAGAGCGAGACTATGAGCCGTGTGAAGAGATAGTCTTTACGGAGTCTGCCACATTCAAGCACCTAATGTAGAATATTTTCTTAGTAACGAATAATGGAGTTTCTCATCGTACCTAAAAGGGTGGGTCATGATAACGACGAAGATCCAGCAAAAATGGCTCACACGAGGCCTCTTGCATGATACAAGAACTGCTGCAGAGCATGAGGTAGAGTATGGGAAAATTGCGACACTTTGAAAGTTTTCTTCTTCTGGACGCACTCGCGGCGGTTATCATTCTGGTGCCATAAAAGCAACCCGATAGACGAGAGTGTAATCCAATGATTCTATGCCATCGCGACGACTTAAACAGCAGAGCATAACGGCGCGGACCAAATAAAAAACATGAGATGCAAACCCATGTACATGTTGATGTGCATTCACACTCATGAACGGCGTCGTTCCCATTGTAGAACGACGGTGTGATTTAGCTTTGTGCACCCCAGTTTTGGTATCACGGTATAGTGGCGAGACCAACATGGACCAGATAGGGTCGCAGATCATCGTTGGAGGGTACAACTATGTTGGAGAGTTTACGTGGTGATGAATGATGACTCCGTGGAGTTAATTGAATGGTCTGACCTTATCTATTCAGCAAAAGTCCGTCAAGATTATACTCGGAGTGATTCCTCACCGCAGATGGTAAAAACTGCGGTGATACTAAGGAAGCTATACGAGCTCCGCATGAAGCCGTGAAGGTCGCTTCCGAAGTGTTCGAGACACAAAACGTCATGTTTCCAATAAACCGAAGATGTCTAAGTTTGAGTTCGGGGATTCCCTAAATACCTCGGAGTGCTTCATACGCAGCACACTCAATTTTCAGCACGACCTCGAGGAGTCTTAACGATCTATAGCAAAGCAACCAGCTCCTGCAGATGCGAATAACACAGTGAAAAAGAGAAAAAGCGACGTTTGACATACCATATGTTCCAATAGGTTCCAATGTCGTACTATGTACTTTCAAAAGAAAGAAATTCCAGCCATCGAAGGGATCTGAGTGGTGCTCACACACATGAGAGAGATGCTCAAGCTGGGTGCAGGTCAACGAAATAATTCGCCAAGTATGGAGGAAGGTTGCACAGCCACGCCACTGACTTACCGCCGAGCCTCCAAGCTGCAAAAGTCACTGACCACTGACCAGTTCGCGCTACATCGATGCGTAGACTGCCGCAATCGCTTTGGTGTCTTATACATGCAACATTCGCTCTCAGTGCACAAACTATTTCTTTGAATACTTTATATTCTTTCTCTGGAGCCTCTGTGTCTAGTGACCCAACCTTTTCTCTTCCGCAGGCTCAGCAGCTGACTGTATCCATCGCCATTTGTTCGGCGGGAACGTCATCTCTAGCATTTTTCGTGACCAACAATACAGCGATAACAGATCCTGGACAGTCTACCAGTACTACCGATGTTTTCGAAATCCCCTTGCTTAACGGATTCGGGAACTGGACTGGCACCGCACCGCAAGGTGGTTTCTTGGCTGTACAGAATGTTGGCCAGACCTCATTCCAAGTTGCTGCATCGACCGGAGGTATGTACACTACATAAATACTGAATTCGATATGGTTCATTCTGTCAGTAGCTCTTGTACACGAACTACTTCCCTCACTCCCGCTCCTCGGAGATACTACCAATACTCAGGCGCTGATATTTTCGCCTCCATTCTCAACTGTCGAATCCTCGTTGTCCACTTATCCAAACTACACTCTTCCTCCTGCCAACCTTTCCACCCCTTCACCCCCATCATCGCCTCCCGCATTCTCTCTCGTCATTGCGCCGACTTCCTCTGGTCTTGCGTCTGGCCCGCAGACAGCATGTAGCGTCCAATCTACTTCCTCTTCGGGCTCTGTACTAAGCAACAATTTCTGGCTACGCGACGATCAAGGTTGGAGGTCTCAGTGGCTTATTGATGGCTTGACACCGAGTACGAACTACACCGCGTATGTTATCCAGGACCAAGTAAAATTGAGTGGCCCAATATACTTCACTATGAAATCTCGTGCGTTTCCTCCTCGGTATATTATGCGTTCTCTTATCTCTCCATATCAGCATCATTCTCCTGCCCCCTTGTGCACTCCCTTCCATTCTGTCCATCCACATCCTACGCCGTTCCTCTTCCCTTCCCCCAATCCCCTGCAACATCATATGACTCCTCCACTCTCCCACAGAGCATATCAGACCCCCTGCTTCAGTACATGACCAACTTCACGACGATGCTTCTCACTTTCCCATGCGGGCGTGACCTATACTCCCCCTTGCAGACCTGTGAGAGCTGCCAAGATGCATACCGTGCTTGGCTATGCACCGCGTCCTTCCCGCGATGCGCCGAACCCCCACCAAGTCCTCCCTCGTCATCGTCTCCAACGCCAGCATTGTTGCCACCTCAGAGCGGCTCGAACGCACGCAATCCTTTCCTGCCGAACGTTACATATTCTTACCAAACGGTCTTACCTTGTTTAGAAGTTTGCAGTGCAGCTGATCGCGCATGTCCCAACTTCTTGGGCATCAAGTGCCCGAGCCCACAGTTCAATGCGGCATCGAGCTATGGTGTCGGTTATATTGATAGCGGGGAACAAGGGGTACTTGGTGGTGGGAGTACGGGTGTAGCGCAAGATCGGTGGGGAAACGTGTGGTGTAATGCTGGTTGACTTATGACACCTATTATGTAACTTACATAACTTTATGTCCAATTGTTTTCCTAGCTTTAGCTTGGACTCGTGACTTGTTCCGTCCATGAGCTTGCATCAGTACGGACAGGTCACCAGTCTAGCTGAAGCTGACAAAGTTTAGAATTGTCGCTGCGTCACTGGCAGTAGTAGGTGATAACGAAGGGGGTATTTTCGCTAGTGTATGAAACATCTAGGTAGTCTTTTTATTATTATTTTAAAAAATCATATTTATTGTCCTTTGAGTTCGAAGACCCTATGTCGGACATGCGGTGGCTTACCCCTGCTTAATCTATAGTGTATGTATGTATAGTCTTGAATAGTAAACGCGTACTCCGTCAGCATGTTGTCTAGGTAATCTTCTTGACGAGAAATGCCCGTGGAAGGGAAATGCCTAGTCTCCCCTAGCCAGACCAATCGAAGGAAGATAGTCGTTCCTTCGTATTAGGGGAAATGCCCAGTGACTAATCAAGCGAGACCAAAAAACATGCGCAAGCACGTGAGATGTAATACGTGTCGCGTCCATCTACGACGCGTCTCTTCATCATACCACTCTCTTTCAACTCGTACACAAACCTTTCATTCATTATGTATTCTGAATCTGCATATGACGATTCTTGATTCCCTTCGGATTATAACAGTGACAGCATACAGCACGGACTTCGACGATTCATTCGAACATCGTATCCAATCGGCTTTCTTATCACTTTGCGCAATGATCTGCCCACAACACGCATCTCCGTCACTCAGGCTGTTTTCGTAAGTTCGCGTTTACATTCTGGATCATGTATCCGCCGACGCTCAAGTTCTACTAGATTGTGCCTGCATTCTCGCCGTGAAGTTCCCCCAGGCCCAACCATTCTGCCAACCCATTAGTGGAACGTTCCGAGTCCTGCCTCACAACACGATTTCAGGGTATAAAAACAGGCTGTCTTCAATATCTGACCCTTACCTCAGAAAGATTCACATTGGCAAATCTCGTACAATCTCATAACCTCGCAAAAATAATGCGTTTCTCCTTCCTCGCCGTTATTGCTGCTTTGACAGCAGCTATGTCTGTCAGTGCCACACAGTGCAAGCCACTAGGCAAGCATTGCAAGAAAAACAGTGATTGCTGCAGTAAGCATTGTAATTTGGCAGCTGTGGGCGTGAGTAGTTTGCTTTGCATTCTGGACTCATTACTCACCCCTTGGAATTCTAATAGGCTGATGGCGTTCTCTGCAATTATTAGTCTGATAGGCTGATAGCCTCAGTGGCACATCGGGACAGTGAGTCATGTTGCTAGCTGGTTTCGTATCGGTGCTGAGGTTGATGGGCACAAGACGTACTAGTTCGTTGTTGACTTGGTTAATATGGTCGCTCCTGGAGTTTACTGCTGCTTGGGCAATAGAAGCTCTTGGATAGAGGAAACACTCGATATGTATGATATTGACTAGGAAATATGATGTATGAGCTTGATTGAACCTCGTGGCACAGACATAATGATCCATGTCAACTGAATTTAAAGGATTGCGGTTGGATCAAAGCAACTGTTTGTTTTAGTCACCATCTATTACTCGTAAATTGACAAGGCATACAGTCGCTCTTTCCTGTCTGTCTCGTTTACATAATTATGGCCTGCCTCGCTCCAAGTCTCCCGTAGTCAGACCCAATAGAATGGAGATAGTCGTTCCTTCTGTAATACGCCTCAGTCCGTTCGGTTGGCATTGGTTGCTCTCTTGATTGTTCACCTGTCTTCAGCATTAAGTCAAAGTTTGCCCGACAGAAAAAATGTCTTGCGCGTTGCGTTGTCAACCTTCTTCCACCCTCCTTGATTCAAGCCTCATTAGCGTGTGGTCTAAAACTTACCTCTCATCATGAAATGCCGGTTCTTGCAGCGCCCAGAGTGGACTAGTCTATGAACGAACTTGTACTGCCTTCTGGCACACCCAGTGAACAGCAGCTCCAATATGCTACTGAATGTACACAAACTCTTCCAAGTAGAGCATAAACTGGGAGAAGTAGGAGAGAATCATGGAGAAGGTTGACTCGGGAACTCGACAGCCTGCTGCATGAAGTCAAAGCGAGCAGGTGTGATATCTCCTTCACTTTCATTCCATCGCTACTCGTGAAATTTTGTAGAAACCTTGTCGCTAGTTGCTGAGCTTCTACATGTCACTTCACGCGTGCAGATGGTCAAGACCTAATATAATCAAGCATAGGAGCTCTGCTTCGCACTGTAGAACGCAGATTCCAGAAGCAGTTCGTATAAATATCTGCTCGGAGTCGTCTGTTGGTACAAGTCATAATATTCCAGGTCCCTCGTTGTCGACGTTTGCAGAAAATTTGGCGATGGCGTGCTTCTCGAGGGAAAGTAGGTGTCTTGGTGAGTGACTCTGGAGTCTGCGGACGGTGCAGAAAAAAATTAAACATGATTGATTGTTTTTTTTAACACTGTTTGGGGCTCCCCATTGTCAGAATCAAGAAACGACGGTTCAATAAAAATTGTTCCTCTGCACTGGATCTCTTATTGCTGGCAAGGCTGATGCATCGAGCGAACAACAGTTGGACAAAATTGCGGCGAGCTTGAAGTCCGAGAACTGCTTCAAGAGAGATGGGCGCTGCGGCGGTCAGCACGTAAATAGGACCGGGAAATAAAACGCATTGCTTGATAATGTAAGATACATATCCCACTAATGTTATATGTCGTCCTCGGGACCGTCTTCGATCATCTTTGCATAGTCTTCGTAACTTGCAAATGTTGGCAAGCTTCTCAGTTTTTTCCGTTTTTCACGTTTGGAATCGTTCTCCTGTTTCCGTTTCTTCGTATCACCGAAGCCGTTCCATTGTTCTTCGCCGTCGCCGCCATCTTCATCAGCGTCATACTCAATGAGACCCTGAGGAACCTCATCTAAGCTGATGAGATCCTCGTTGTCAGAAGCCTCGACCATGGAGAAATCATCGCCGGAACCATCTCCATCTTCATCATCGACGTCAATCTCCTCATCAACGTCAATCTCCCCATCGGAATCATCAAGGCCTGAAGCAACGCTGTCGCTATCCGCCATGAGGTCTTCATTCCCTGCCATGTCAGGCATGCTTGCTTTCATCGCCTGTTTGCAAGATAAGTGGAGGGATGCAAAGGTGATAACGAAAAACGAGTACCTTCCATATATTTGCCTCTTCAGCGTCACTGTCTTCCTCGACATCATCATCGCGTTCGGCATCATCTACGTCTGTGTCCTGTGCTTCCTCTGCCTCGCTTGCTGAAGCATCTAGTTCAGAAGCATCATCCGATTCCTCTGCCTCACTATCCCCTTTGCCGGTATTGGCGGTTTTGCTCTTATCTGTTTCGCGTTTCCTCGAAAAGTATTTATGGAAGAAGACCTGCCGCCGTTAGTACGGTCTAAATCACGGAATAAGTAATCGTCACCTCGTCAACAGGTATATCCTGTAACCGCCTATGCAAGAATTTCTCGTCATTCGGTAAAGCACCCCCAGAAGATTCGCCTTTTAATAACTTCACGCCAATCCCGTCGTTCGTGCTGGCTGATGGCTGCATGGCGCTGGAGCCTTTTGGTTTTGGTTTTTTGGGATTTTTGTAGACGAATCGATCGAGGAAATGAGAAAGTGTATTTAAGGATAGATCTGGGCTTGATGTGATAGGTTGACCGGAGAGGAGTTGTTGTGCATGCAAGGAGATAGCCGGATGATAGTGGTGTATGAGGGGGATCTGATAGAGAGATCAGAATTTGCGAAAGCAACTAAGCAGGAGATTACCAATTCGAACAAGGGAGAAGCTGATGGGTGAGCGAACTGCGGGTCTCGCTTTCGTGGGTCGTATTGCTCTTCAGAAGTGGAACGGGATCCCTTAGATAGGTCTCGCAAGCCTGGAACCGTACTAAACAACTGAGAATCACGTCAGTTAGATGATTAAAACGGTAAGTAGGAGCGCCTTACTTCTCCTAGGAGATATAATCCTCCTACAATGAACTCTGTCCCGCCAGCGCTACCACTGGCAAGTACTTGTACGAACCGGCGGACGAAGCTCTTCACGCGATCGGAGTTGTTATCGACCTTGAGAGACTTGAAGAGTAGGTTCAAGTACATAGTCTGTTTTGAGGACGAGGCAAGGCGACCATCGTGTAAAGACTGGTATAATGTTCGGTAGTAGCGATCCACAATGCTCTTCGAGAGTGCAGACGATGACGACTCGGATGACTGGGAAAGCGATAATGATATCTGCTGAATGAGTAGTAGGGCTTGCAAAGAGGTGTTAAAGGTTGAGGTATGCGTGATAAGGAATAGCGTGTCTATGTGCTTGTTCAAGCTTGTTGAGAGAACGTCAGGTCAGAATTCACAATGCTTGAGAAACCTACCTGACATCCGATGGCCCCAGTTTTGCGTAGGGCAACGCACGATTCACACCTGTCAATATGGCGGAAATCGATTTTGAAGACGCATCTTCAACTTCCGCAAAACCACCATCGCCAACGACTTCTTTGCTTGTCTTCCGCTTTTTCTTCTTCCCTACAGGTTCTCCGTCCTGATCTTCGGCATTCTCTTTTTTGTCAAAAGATCGACTCTCCCCTAATAAATCCTTGAACATCTGAAAATATACATCGATGACCTGTACAGCGACATCTTTGTCCCCCGGAACGAACACAATCTGGTTAAGCGTTATCGTCGCATAGTAGCGTGCATGGTCGTTGCTCGTTTTCTTTGTAGCTCCATCGGGCTTCAGTTTAGGTTTAGGTTTTGGTTTCGGCTTGGAAGTGGTCGTCTCATCGGTGAAGCGGATGTGCGTATTGGTAGTTGGGGCAGTGGCGGGTGTGTTAATGCTCGGTCGAAGGATGAGGGACGTCATCTCGCGTACGACGACACCTTTCATAGACGGATGAGCTTGTAGGAGTTGAAGGAGATGATATGAAGCGCGAGAACATATAGATTTTTCTGAATCGCCCTAGTGACCAGGATTAGCGAATTGGTGAACGACTTCAATTGTTTTTGCTCACTAGTTTGTTGACAAGCAGCCTAAGTAGATTGTGCTCCTGTTCAGGTTTTTCGCGAAGGAGCGTGTACGTTAAGGATAGTGCTTGTGTGCGCACATATGCCAATGGGTCCATTGAAAGGACCTGAAAAATGGTTGAGCTCCTGCGCCCGAACAGACTTATAATCCCACCTCTAATATTTGGAGGATGGAGAAAAAATACTTCTTCAGCCAATCCTCGAAGTACCAAATGAGAATATGATCATCCTTGACACTCTGGTGTGATAGAGGCTGATCACGTAGATACCTGAGCAACACAACCATCAAAATTTCATCCAAAAAATCAGTATGTCCATACGCACTTCAACTTCCGGTTCGGCGCGCCGCCTCCAACCCACCAATCGAGTATACATCGCAAAGCCTTCAGACTTTCTTCCCGGCCTCCTTTGCCTTTCCCCCGCTCGGCCATCGCCTTCAGAGTTTCCAATGCTTTTGTGTTGTGTAGTGGGCTGCTTTGCACGAGGAGCGTAAGAGCACTGAGCCTGTCTGACAGCGTGCCTGAGTGTAATATTTTCTGCAAGAATGCATAATCTGAGCTGGATGATGTGACTGTTGATGATGACTTGGACTGGTATGTCTCAACGGCCGTCGCATGGAGAGATGCGCCGCGCTCCATCAGGGAGGACAGTTTAGCAGACGTGACGGGCGGGAGAGCGGTAGATGACCCAGGCAGCTTGGGTATATTTTGATACCATAGAGGAGATGCCTCGACCTGATTTTTCGCGACTTTGGAGGCATCGGCGCGAGCTGGTGCTGGCATTATTTTACCTTCAAAGTCGAACGCACAAGTACTTTGCACATCATCTCGACATCACACTTGCTTACTGAAATGGTAACCTTAGATAATCATCTCAAATCGATTCGTCGGACCTTGGCTTGGCCTGGCCAACAACTTGTCCTTGTAACAACTCTCGACCATTAATTCTCCATAAGAGTACCACGAGCGATTTAAGGGTGTGTCTTTGATGGATGTACAAGATCGCACCCGGGGAAAGCCACGGTCATATGGCACGAGCATTACTGTTCTACCGTGACTGCCTGAGCGCTCTTCAATTTTCGATGGCTCCGAGTGCGACTGTTGGGAGGCAACAAGTGGTTGCAGGGAGGCGGTAAGGACGATGTGGACGCGACTGTGGAGGAGAGGGAGCTATTTTGAGGCGGAAGGGACCTACAAACGAGTAAGACGGAGGGGAGCAGGCCATCTCTTACTATCGCAATATGTTGGTCGAAATATTCACTTCAGCGTTTTGTCACAGGACGATGGAATTATCATCTCCCCGACACATGACTCCAAAAAAATCTGAGCCCCCTTTTTCTCGCAGCGAAATATTGAAGTATTTAGTAGGACCGAGAGCGACATAAGCGCCTTGGAGAACGAGTATAGGTCCAGCCTCACCCTAGTCTTTTCGTTCCTTCTTAATTCGCGAATCGCCGCGGCATGTGATCTGCGCAGTTGTACATGTCCGTGTGGTTCACGACGTAGCCGTCGCCCCTATCTAACGATTGGAATAACTGCAGGATCAGTCTCGGTCTGCTGAATGAACATCATCCGCTTTACCATCGAAACGGGATTCGAGGTTCAGCACTTCTGGCCCAGGGTGTCACGCTCTGCTCTGTGAGCGAATTAACTTACTATCATCTGACTATGTGGTCACGGTTCCTAGATTAAACGCAGGCCTGGGTGCGCGTGAAGTGACATTTATTTCCGAGGGCGCACCATGATCTGGGGCCCCGGATTGTTTGGATATTGCGCCCAGACACTGCGGAGACTTCTTATTTCATATTCTTCCGAGCAAGGAACCATCCATATCCGCACTATTCTCCAGACAGCGTCTTCCTAGAGGTTTAAAACAAGACTCATTGCCTGCTTAATAGTCATCGCACCACGCATCAACGACCTTCTAGCAAAGTGAGTCACAGTTAGCAGCATATCCATGGTCAATCGTATTGATTTCAACGGGTCGCAGAAAACATGTCCGAGCCAGCAACCATGTCCGAGTCGGCACCCACGTCCGAGTCAACTGTTGAATCCGACCTTCTGCCCACTAACTTCGTCGGTACTACTATGGCAGGAGTGCAGAATGAGGACGGGAAATTTCGCATCTACTTTCAGAACAAAGACTACCAGATCTACCAAATGTCATTGAACGACCCAAGGAGCAGGGCCTATACCTTGCTCAAACTCACCACTACCATCGTGCCCCCTGCCCGTATCAACACGCCCATCGCAGCCGTGGCATGGAAGAACTTGCAAGAGGTACGAACTTTCGTGGTCAGCTGTTCCGTGCTCATAAATTCATGCTCATGTTTTTCAATATGACAGATACGCGTTTATTATATCACTGCGGCTAGTCAGGTGCAGGAGATTGTATACTCCCAGCGCAGTGGTTGGAAAAAAGGCGAGATGCTGGGCACTGCGGTTGAGAACTGTGCGTGCTTGTATGCGCAAGGCCGATTCACCACGAATGAGGTCTTCCTCAGGGTTGGGTTTCAGTCTGCGATTGACTCTCAGACTATCACGGAAGCTTATACTCTGAGGGACGGGTGGAAGACTCGTGTGTTCTGAATTGATAGAGCATGTGTACATTGGCTCATATCATGCCAAGAAAGTATATGCGATCGGATGTCCAGTTTTCGCGGGATTTATCAGTGGCAGAGATGTTGTATGTAAACTTGCAATGTCAGGATGACGCCGCATGGTTGAAGCTGATCAAGAGGTGGGGGATTTTACAATTTGAGACAATTCATCTGACCCCCTTTCCCTACTGTATTAATTTGACCGCAAAATAAAGACGAGCGAGTACTTACATTACATATGAGTGGCTAGCAGAACACAAATTTATGCGAGGCAAAGAATACAACCAGCGCGTCACTGATTGGTAGAAGTTCGTAAACCGAGAGAGCCGTCGTGTATCGTTTAAGAAAGCATAATAACTAACAAGTTAGAGACGAAAAAAATCATATCGAAGACAAAAACAGTGAATCGAATATTATCTTAGGTAGCCATCGTACGAGGTCTGTGGTGATCACAGTCGAGCGGGAGCGGAGTAAGAGCTGATAGAGAATGTATAATCTCAGTATCTGTTAGAAACTGAGATGCCCGAATGCAAGACTCGTAGCTTTATACGTAGTTAGTATGGATACGCTAAATAACGGATGTCATAGAAATATCATAGAAATAAATGGTCCAATAATGACGAGCCTCGGCCGACGTCACTGCGTCGCCTCGTCGTTCAACTTGGTTGCGCTCGTTATGTCTCACTCTGACATCGCTAACTTCCTCTTCGGTTCGTCTTCCGTTCCTCCCGATTCGTCAGAGCTCAACAAGGTCGATCTCCTGTTAGTCTCCCGTAGTCAGACCTCGATAGAAGGAAGAGTTGGATCATTATTCCCACTACCATCATCTCAGCAGCTTCAAAGCGTTGGCACATCTAGCAACCAAGCCCTGATACAACTGCAATCCCGTCAGCTAACATCTGACGCATGAAGCCTTGATGTTCGAGCCCTCAATGTTGCAACCGCCAGGGCCGAAGAGTGCGCAGTACTTCATTTACTGATGTCAAAATTTGAAGTCAATATCATATTGAATGCGATGTTCTTCTATCACACTCAAGAACCCCCATTGCTCCAGTGGGGTATGTCCAAGCGCAACCACATCAATCAATTCCGCGAGCAACTAAGAATTGCGCTGTGAACCGCAGCGCCAACACGAAAGCAGAAACATGACTCGCCCTCGTGTCATGTCAGCTTGTCGGTATCTTAGGTCTTACCCGCAAAACCTATAGCTGGCCTATTACATTATATGGTCGAAGGGGGTCGAAATCTTGCAGGCAAAGATACTCACAATAGTTGCACAGACTTGATCGCAGCAGTCAGAATTCTTGGAGCAATCAGAGCCCAAAGGAAGACAAGTTCTGCTAAGAACAGCTGGTGTGGCATTAACAGACATAGATGCTGCCAAAGTCGCAACGACGGCGAGGGAGGAGAAACGCATTGGTTGTGCCACGAGGTAATGCAGGATCTGACAGGGAGGTTCTCGAATAACTTCGAGGTGAAGCAAGGGAGTACATATAAACAGCGCGAGCAAAGTGAAATTGACGCGGCGCGCTGGCAAATGTTGAAACGTTGAGGTGGCACCACCTACTTATAATCTCCTGTAATGCATCATTGCGCAAAGTGATAAGAAAGCCGATTGGATCCGAAATACGATGTTCGATATGAATCGTCGAAGTCCGTTCTGTATGCTGTCACTGTTATAATCCGAAGGGAACCAGGAATCGTCATATGCAGATTCAAGAGTCGCAAGATAATTCATCATGCATCACCGCGGTTAAACGAGACCGACGCAGGAAGTTATCCAACTTTTGAACGACTGCATTTGTCGAGGTGAATGAGTACTTGATAGTTGCTCTGACCAAATCATAATTCTTTCAGCTGACATGTATCATCATGACTGTGTCACGAGGCTTTCAACGTTCAATCAAGACCAAAATAACTCATACATCATGTTTCCTAGTCAAGGGTTTGAGATTTGCCTCTATCCAATGGTTTTTATTAACCAAGTCAGCAACGAACTATGCATTGCGCCATCAACCACAGCACCAATGCTGGAGCAGAAATATGACTCACTGTTCCGATGTTCCACTCAGGCTGTCGACCTAGTTTGTATTGCAGAACGTTTTACCGCTGAAAGGCTATCAATATTAGTATTACAAGGCGCAAGGGGTTACTGTCAGTAATGAATCCAGGATCCAAACCAAACTACTACTCACATTCTTATTATTACACTTTTTGTTGCAGCAGTCACTGTTCTTTTTGCACACGGCGCCTACTGATTTGCATGCACTGTCAGATGCACTGACAGACATAAATGCTGTCAAAGCCGCAATAACGACGAGGAAGGAGAAACGCATTATTTTTGTGAGGTTATGAGATATACGAGATTTGCCAATGAGAATCTTTCTGAGGTAAGGGTCGGATATTGAAGACGGCTTGTTTTTATACCCTGAAATCGTGTTGTGAGGCAGGACTCGGAACGTTCCACTAATGGGTTGGTAGAATGGTTGCACCTGTGAGAACTTCACGGCGAGAATGCAGGCACAATCTAGTAGAACTTGAGCGTCGGCGGATAAATGGTCTGGAATATGCGAACCGTAAATGTGAACTTACGGAACTAGCCCGAGTGACGGAGATGTGTGTTGTGGGCTGAGAATCCCGTATGACGATACCTACTCCGTGCGTTCATCATGATTGGGATGTAAACACTTACCGAAGGCAACGGTGAGACCACTGGCAGATTGTTCGTGGCATCTGCGAAGTCCTGGCTACGGATAGAGAGTCACTTCTGCGGAGGACATCTTGGGAGACGGACCCGTCCATGGAGCCAACACCATACTGTATCAGCGACTCAAAGTCATCTTGTCTTACCTTATAGGTGGATCGAAGAAGCACGACTCAGAGCTGTGAACCCTGAGTGAATCCCGAGTGTATGACAAAAATGTATTCTCTTACTGAGAATGTTGGAGTGGGGTGCCGACCTCGATATCAGTATCATATCGAGTGTTCTTGGAGTCGAGAAATGTGAATCCGAAAGCAAGGGAGGAACAGTACATACTGGTGAGCAGCCTGGAAATTGCAACCACCGTCGATGATTTCAGTTAGGAGTCCATTTATAGTCCGCGATTGCTCATTGGAGTCTGGTACTGAATCAGAATCACCCAATGAAATTCAGTGATCCAATGAAATTAACTGCATGGAATTTCAGAATGATTGTCTTTGGAACCAATACCCACGGTAAATGCCTTACAAATACCTTTCTACATTCAAATCTCCCCAGAGCACACCAACTCCAGCCATTCCACATCACTCCTAACCTTAGTGAGATTCTCGCACCCATCCGAAGTGATCAACACGTCATCTTCGATGCGCACCCCGCCCATTTCGCGGTACTCCTTCAACAAGTCGTGGTTCACGTATTCAGACTCCTCTACAGCTTTGAGTAGATGTTCATGGAAGTAGATCCCCGGCTCAACAGTCTATCGAAGTAAGCAGGTGAATAATCTACGCAAGGTTCAGACTTACCACAACCATGCCCTCTGCGAGGGGCAACCGGAGCCGCAAGTACGTGTAAAATTTGGGGTGCCCGACGTTGTCTTGTGGAATGGTCGTGTTGTCTACTGGTTTACTTGCACTCGGGACATCGTGCACGTCCATCCCGAGCGAATGCCCGACTCCGTGAGGGAAAAAGGCCGAGCTAATTCCAGAGCGCAGAATCTCGTCTTTCGAGCCTTTGAAGAGTCCGAGGCTGAGGAACCCTTCCACAAGGATCTGATGGCAGAGCAGGTGGATGGTGTCCCAGTGGACGCCAGGTCTGAGAGTCGCTATCGATTTCTATGCGAAAGTTGTTACATGATGGTATAAAGGATGTATAGTGTGCCTACCTGCTGCATCTCCAGTACAAGAGAGTATATTTGCTTACTTTTCTCAGTAAACTTTCCGCCATTTCCAACTGGCATCGTCCGTGTGACTTTATGATAGAAGCTCAAATCTGCCTGGCATTTAATCGCTGCGACTCACTGTCCGCAGAGTAGCAATCCCATTCGCATCCTGCGTCAATAAGGAGTACCTGAGGCTCTAACTGCCTTTCGGGTGCAGGACCGTGTGCCAATGCACCGTGATTCAAGTGATCGTGTGGCTTTACAGGTCCCCAGGTGAAGTCCCGGTCGTTGCAGCAGTAATGTAACGTAGCAGCTCTCTTTGAGGCAGCAACAATAGGGAGGTAGGCCTGATGGACAGCCCTGGTGTCATTGGTGAGTTGTCGGGCTTCAGTGCTTACTAGTGCGTTCGTACCCTTCACGCCGGCATGACGCAACGAATATCGCCTCTGCCTCCGCCTCTTTCTCAATCAGCCACTCTCCGGGAAGAAGAGGACGATCGATGCCTGCGCCATTTCCCTGAAGAATCTTACCCTGTACTGCATTGCCCAAAACACGCATGACGGTCTCATGCGCCCTGGAACTGATATCGTTGGCGCGTCGGAGCATTGATATCTCGTTCTCATCCTTGATCAATCGTGTTCTGTGGAGGGAGGAGAGCAAGTATGCATCCGTTGCGGTATGGGTCTCTGATGCAACGATAGTTCGCCAGTGTACTCCTCGGGTAAAACGGGGAATAAGGGCGAGTTGCGCGGCAAGGTATGGAAGACAGCTTCGGGATGTGACTCGAGGAGTGAATCAATGGCACTTTGTAGCTCTGAGCTATACGCAATGTCGGCTACGTCAAACAGCTGCTTCGCTTCCTCGATTGTGGGTGGAGGTACACTCCACATAAGGTCTGCAACCTCTATTGCCGGGATGGATAGCTTGACGCTCAGCCTTGTGGAAGGATCCGTCTGTTCAGGCTGATACAGAGCAAGAAGGAATGATCCAGGCACGGAGCATCCTGTGAGGTAGTAGAAATTGGACTCTTGGCGAAACGGTAGCTCGCGATCTGTGTCATTTCGGAAGGTTGTATTTCCTCCTGCAAGAAGAATGACTTGGGGCTATCCGTGTTAATCAATCCTAAGCGTCTACCGAATGTTATATTGCATTACCTTATCCTTCAACTGCGTTGGAAGCCCATTCATAAGCTGTTCGAACGTCCTCTGCACGTGTGCCGTCGCTGCGTTGAAATTATTAGTCGGTGTCCATGTGTCAATAGATCTGTATCTGAGGCACTAACCGCAGTAAGTCAACCCGGACATGATAGTGAAGTCGATGATTGATTAGGAAGTGAACGAGCGACAAGGATTGGCCCTTGACCTTACTTATGAGCGATATGGTTGTTAGCTCCAAACACTGAGACATCAACGCCGATGGTGAAGCGGTTATCATGCTTGCCTTCCAAGCAAGCGGCAGGGGTTCGACTCCCCTTCGGCGTATATTTTTTTTCCGCTTCCCAATGCCCAAAACGTTGCTCGCAAGTCGCAGCCCGAATCTTTCAGATCTACGATATGGCTACACTTTTATGGCAAGAAAACTTCAATCATACGGAGAGGTCGAATCCATTTGTTGACCTTTGTTGCTGTCAACTCGGGAGCCGGCTTCAGAAGCGATCCTGACAGCGTCTTTTTGTCTTTTTTTGATGGCCCATTAGCTGGGCTGTAGCTGCCAAAACATCCATTTTAAAACGTTTGGATACACACACCAATCCGCTGAAAACATCCGCGACGTGTACACAATGTGCACTGTGCAGGAGCACAGCTAACGACCATGGCATCTTGGAAGCCATCACTTAAGCTTGGCATGAGATCACAAGTGTCTGCATGAAGTAAGTCTTGCGGCTACTAGTGACAGTTTACAACCTAGCGCTGGTTAGAATTTAGCATGACATGTACAGGCTGCATGTGAGTGAAAGTTGGCACACATGCATGTTATTTTTTTCACACATACTGGGGCAATGATTGTTATCTTTTTTGCACACAGCTCAGGTACTGTGACAGGTCACAGATTGCTGCCTGTGGACAATAATAAGCACTCAATGTCTCGTCGTGCAGCGTGTTCGAGTTCGCTGACATGGCCCCCTCCATGGAGGACAGTGTTGCACTGGCAATTGGTTTTCTGGCTCTGCTTGCAATCGCCAGACGAACCAACAGAAAGAACCTACCTCCCGGTCCTACTCCAATTCCCTTTCTCGGGAATTTATTTGATATCAAAGTTGATGCACCTTGGATTTCATACACCGAGATGCAGGAGACCTATGGTATGTGTTCTCGTTTCTTTCTTTTTGCATCAGTTTTCTGACAGAGACCACAGGTGATATCATATACACCCGCGCCTTAAACATGGAGATCATAGTTTTAAATTCCGAGGAAGTTGCAAATGAATTGCTTGAAAAACGATCTCGGGTCTACTCTGACCGACCATACATAGCTACGACCGACCTGTGCGTACTTTTCAGTCAATATATATGCCACTCGCAAACTGTCCTTCCCACAGCTTCGGTTGGGAATGGGCGACATCGTTAGCAAGATACGGTGCGAGATTCAGAATTCATAGGCGCCTTTACCATCAAGTCTTTCGATCTGAAGTAGCTTTAACCTACCGCCCGAGGCAATTACAGAAAGCATATGAAATGCTCAAGTTCATTCTTCATGATCCTTCACATTATGCTGGTCACTTCGAAGTGTTAGTAGTTATTTATCTTTTATCCGAATGAAATTCCACTACTTGACAGGTTTGCCGCATCAGTCGTAATGTCAGTTGTATACGACTACAACATTACATCGCACGATGATGTCGTCCACAATGCGGTGAAGCGTGCATCGGACTTGATCTTAAGGGTCGCAACACCCGAAAAGGCTGCTGTGTTCGGTGCATTTCCGCTTTGTAAGTACCTTGATTATTGCAATCCAGCCAAACAATATAATATTCGTGCCCGTAGTGAAGAAGTTGCCTTCGTGGGTACCTGGCCTGGGTCTGAAAGACGCACTTCTATCGAAGCAGTATGTTAAGGATATGTTAAACACCCCATATAACCACGTCCGCCACAACATGGCAAGCTGAACTTTCGGAGTATGCGAAGAGGCTTGCTGACTGCACTAAACAGGCAAATGGATCTGCGCAGACATCCATGGTTTCTGACGCGCTGAGAAGGTATCATGTGTTAGAAGACGCGGACAATCCGGAGATGGTGATGGAGATCAAAGCCTCAGCTGCCACTGCTTACGCTGGTGGGTGCTGGTGACTCCATATTGTCATTTGCCTGATCCCATTTTCTGAAAAACAGGGTCTGTCGAGACCGTAGGTCTGGTGTCTATCAAGCGCTCGTGCAATGACAAATCAGGATATCTCAGACTGTCTCTTCTCTGTTCATATTCATGCTGGCGATGGTTAACAACCCGGAAGTCCAAGAACGTGCCCAAGCAGAAATTGATCAGGTTGTCGGATTTGATCGTCTCCCTAACTTCGATGACCTCCCGACCCTCCCGTACGTCGGGGCACTGATAAGGGAAGTGAAAAGATGGCATCCTGTTACACCAATGGGTGAGTAGGGCTACATTTAGAATGTCAGAGGTTGCTGAAGCATATCTTAGCCATCCCTCATTCGAATACGGAAGACGACTTCTACAGAGGTTACTTCATTCCAAAAGGTGTGGAGTCGTAGCTCTGCTATTATGTTTATTTCATACAATCTTGACATCCGCCAGGAGCGGTAATCACACCTAATGTCTGGTTTGTGGTGCAGTTCAACTTCTGTCATCCCTTTTGTCCTGAACGCTGTCTCCAGGGCCATGGCCCACAATCCGAAGAAGTATCCTGACCCAGAATCCTTCCTTCCCGATCGCTTTTTGAATCCTGACGGCACATTGAACGATGATACACTCCCATGGATATTTGGCTTTGGTCGCAGGCGCTGGTAATGCATCGTAACCACAAATCATATCCGAGCCGCTCTAATCATTACATCCTGAAGTCCTGGCAGTCACGTTGCGGATGCGTCGCTTTGGGCTGCAATTGCATGCATATTAGCCACCTTCACCATCCAGAAACCTATCGGACAAGAACCACGAATCAAATGGGCATCAGGGATTACTTCGTAAGTGTCACTGGACGTTTGATATATGTTGAGCTGAAGTTGCAGTACTAGGTATCCCCTTCCCTTCCCATGTCGATTTGTACCCAGGAAAGCTCACGACATGCAAGGATTAACAAGCCTAATTCAGAGAAGCTCTCCGTAAAGCAAATGTACTACTTCGCAGGGGCTTTTAATTTTGTACCGGGATAGTCACAGACCAACTCAAGCTTGAGACATTGATTTATGCACGACAATGAATCGTCGCAAATATGAAAGAGCACGACTCACACGACTCACCATATTCTGAGATCTACAACTAACCCAGTCACATATTTAACACTTTCCTTGAGTTAGCTTACAGCCTGCTGCATAATACCATTATCGAACTGCCTTAAGCACGATAACTGCATGATAACATCATGCTACCAGCTAGTGCAGATATAGTCAACTTCCCGAACACGTAGACTCAGTCACTCCCAGAATTCCGAAGAGCTCCAAGTTGCAGAAAGCGGGTCATTAGATAACCCAATTACCCATCAGAAAACATCAACAGGCTTTCACTTGATAGTGAGCTGCGCACTCTATATACATATAGGAGCGAATCCACTGCCATGTCAATACATACGAAGCCAAAGCGTTGGATAGGGTATACGTTAAAGACCCTCAGATTCATCATCATCGTCCCTATGCCTCTGGGAGCACACGCTACACCCATGATCCGCAACACACCCATCACACAGCACACGACTACATGAGCATACAGTAGCGTCCACACACGGCGTGCAAAGTCGACTCGAGCACACCGCGCACGAAAACACCATATGCGACTCACAGCGATCGCACACCTTCAATTCGCAACTCCCGCACGACACAACAAGTTTAGCAGGCAAAACCTTCAGCTTCCTAGTGTCCGTTTCGGAAGCCTCTTCGGCGCAGTCATGGCAGAGCTCCGAGCTCTGGCACCGGCAGCATTCGTCAATGTAGGAGCAATTGTAGCAGAACGGTCGGTCACAGCGGGGACAGCGGATGAAGACGCTAGGATCGTGCTCAGTGCAGAGGTCGCATGCCCATACCTCCCCGCACGGACACGTGATACCACCACTTGTGCACTCTTGACAGATTGATTGGGACCAACATAGCTTGTTTTGGCAGCTCCGCCAGCCGGGTAGCTTGCATTCCATGCAGGAACCGCGCTTGGGAGGATGAGCGCGTGCAGATTCGGAGTATGCGTCGAGTAGGCCAAAAGACATGAGCTTGTCGCCGGGTACGCGACGCATGTGCGGGATACTGACTGGATGACCGGTGCACGAGGAGATATCCCTCGCGCAGCACCAAGAATTGCACCCAGGACACTTTTCTAGGTCGCACCCCTGCGCCTGGAGGCATGGAAAACATAGTACCTGCATTTGGTGTCTGACGCACTGCGCGAAAGGGGGATCAGAAGATCCACGGCAGTCATGCGACTCGCACGATGCAACCTGACAGTTGTTGCAGTGGATAAGATTGGAATCACATATGGAACAACGCGAAGAGTCTGATCGTAGACCGATGATGTCTACGGCACCATCACCCTCCTGTTGTAGAAGGCGTTCGTGGTATTTCTACCGCAGTCAATTGGCTTCATGACAATGAATGGGTACTGATTGGCCCTTACCTGCACTTGCAGCTGCTTCGATACCTTACGTGCAAGCTTACACTCCGCCCAATTGTCCGAGTCATGAGAAGAGATGACCACTTTCTGCGACCTCGCAGAAACGAAATCATAGACATCCATCATGTCAGACTTAAGTTCGTCGGGAATGGGGATGCGCACATCGTGCACCTTGTCTTCGATCTGCATGTCATGGAGTAGGATAGCAAAGCGCGTGACAGACTCTGTGGAGAGACGGAAATGGATGACGACACTTGATAGGATGGGCGGTCCTGGCTTTTCTTGTGAGACTGCATATCCAAGGGTTGCGATATGTTTTGCTTCATTAATCATGGAGGGCTCATGGGACGGGTGTAGCATGTGGTAGATAGTTTTCATGATCCTGAATATCTTGGGGCGCAAGGGATGACCATAGTCTCTCTCGCGTGGCGAGATGATGGTCCAGGCAGGCATTATTTCAAACGCAGAATATGCTGGTAGTGGAAAAACATCAAAATTCATCGCGACACGCATTTAGCGCAATTTGTATTCTTACATTGTCGCAATGTCAACATCTCAAATTTTGGTGAGTTCTTTATGTAACGGATATGAGACTGTGTCTGTTCCTTGACACACCTACAGATTGACCTGCCATTACTCGTGCCTTTGCTTATCGCCGGATGATTTCAGATACGGTAAATTCTCGATTTTGACTGTTTACCTAGTGCGCAATCATAGTTCGAGGTCGACTACGCAGTAATAATAAAAGTGTTCTCAGTCGAATCGTCCGTACTACATACTACAGAGAGCCAAATCATACCCTCGATAGATACGATAAATATACCAACAGCCTTCTACGTATATTTCGTTGCCAAAGCTTGCACCACACTCCACGAGTTGCCCACCGTCCCCCAGCTCTCTGTCTGGCCCCACGTCTGGGCATCCCATTGCTCCCCAATCACAAGCATGGTATTCGCGATAGCCGTTGCATTGTACGCAGTGCCATTTTCCTTCGTTCCGACCAGGTAATCTATAAATGTCTCCCATCGTGGCACGTAATATCCGCCAACGAGGCCACCCCACTGCTTGGATGCGTAGTCGTTGATCTCACCTGTGGGACCCCACAGCGTGATCTGATTCCGTGCATTGTACTCAAGGAATGCAGCATACGATGCGTTTCCATATGCCAAGCTCCTGGCTGCACTAATCCAGTTCGCGAGAAGAAAGTAGTCGTCCGTGAGTAGAAGCTCGTCCAGGTCGTGCAGTAGCTGCAAGAGAGGTTTACCGGCTGCAGCGACAGTTGCACTGCTGGATGCATTCGATGTGTACGTGGCGACAAGTGTTTCGTAGAAGGTGATAAAGCGGTTCGCGAGAAGCTGGCGTGTGACATCCACAAGATCGTATTTGAACTCGGGAATGTTCAACAACGAATTGGACTCATAGCCTGCTTGTATCAGCATCTGCAAGGCAGGAACAACGGTCGTGTTCGTGTCATAGAAGACTATAGTCGGGATCCCCGTCCGGTTAACAAGCCCGCTGAGTGCAGGTGCTAGCTCTAGGATACTCTTCACAGTGGCTTGCGAAGATGGATCTTGGTTGCTGTAAACTGTAGCTTGCGAAGATGGATCTTGGTTGCTGTAAACTGTGGCCCCCAGGATCTCCCATGCATTTACAGCAGACGAAGGGAGGTCAGAGACGTAGTATCGCCTTGATACCCAAGACGACACATACGATGTCCTGTTAATGGCAGTAGGAGACCAAGCCTGATCAAGCAGGACATCATAAATGATCTCGTTCCCTTCCAAACCCTCAGGCGTCAAGCCCATGCCAACCATCGAGGAACCAGGTGATGTCAGAGCACGCAGTGGCTCCGCGGTAACATTGACAAAATTCCCTTCAAAGCCCATGTTGCCGCCAAAGTCGTGTAGTTCGCACCAGACCCATTGCTTTCCATAGTACGAGCTCAGTCGCTCCCACTGAGGTTGCGCCTCGCTATATAGATCGAGGATGATCATACTATTGTTCCCCGGAATACCACTGAGATACGCTTGCACGCGCTCGGTGGTCCAGAACGTTTCGTCGCTGAAGAACAACCAGCCTTGCATGAGCCAGATAGCCTCTGGGTCTGCTGCTCGCAGACTTGCAAACGTGGCTGAGGAGACGTTCTGAAGATATGCGGGATCACCACTATAAGGATCATTCTCGTTGTATTGGTCCAGCGTGTAGATATGAGAGACGCTCCCATATGCAATGATCTGTTTGTCAATCAAGGACTTTTGCAAAATCGCAAAAAGGGGATCGAAAGGTTCGAGGAACGAATCGTTGGTATATGTGGAGGGGAAGCCGATCCATTGACTGCCATTGACGATAGATGCATTTGGATACAAACTATGCAAAGCACGGGGAACGAATCCGGTGAATGATGGGAGGACAGGGGTCATACCCAGCTCGACCATGCGGGAAATGATCTGCTTTTGCAGTGCGAATTGGTCATTGATCCATTGCGTTGGAAGATCGCCGCCCCAGCTGCCTTGTATATTCCCAAACCTGTTCCACGCCTGGAAGGCAGGACCAGACAGAAAGTCTGCGATTTCTGCATCAGTGAGCCCAACCTCTCGGAAGACTTCTACGAGGGTATACTCGTAACCGACCCAAGCTAGAGGGAGGTTGACACCGCGCAACGCGAGCCAGTCAAGAAGCAAAGACCAATCGTCGAATGTGTAGAATGCAGCCGTGTAATCAAACGTGACCGTGTTGAAGAAGTAACGGTAAGGCACGATAGCGCTTCTGGTTACAGGGTCCTTGATGGTGGGAAGCTTGTGAGGGAGCTGGTAAAGTCGCGACCCTGTCCACCAGATATCCACACCACCAAATTCTGTGACATATCTGGTTCGTCAATATGGTAAATTGAGACAAGCCAAATCACTTCAATAGCTGAAAATTGACGTACGTATATAGTCCCCTCGCACAAGCACTTATCGTTGTGCACTCGATGTAAATCTGTGTATCTCCTTCACCGTCCGAAGCATCACGCATTGTGAAAGTGTCCAGGTCTGAGCTGGCAGTTGTCGACAAATTAAATGTGAATGCATTGGAGTGACCAGGCATGCGCCTCTTCACCAATGCATAGAGGCCACTAACATCATCGGGATGAGCAGATGTAGAAACAATGCAAGCTATTGCAGCTAAGAAGAAGGTGCCAGACTTGAGGCTTGCGAGAAGACTCATACTACGACCCAACTAAACCACAGATCTTAGTTAGTGCTCGGGTAGAGCCTTGAGAAAGAGTAAGCGAGTGAGTTGCACATATTTATGTCAGGTCGACTATGCATGACTCCAAGGCGGGTTAATATTGTGTTGATAGTGGCTTGATAGTGGCTGTATGTTCTTGAGATGATAAGCATTACAAAGAGTAAGCTCCGGTCCATGATAGAATCGATATCGATAGTAGACTCCGAGGTTGATCCGAGCTGGCGCATCAGCAAAACCGCCCAGGTCTTATGAGGCCTTGACTGGCCTAACAAAGCCATACGAGGTGGCTGTAGGCCTGGCGGATTGCGCAAGGCTCACAGCGCCATGAGCGGAAATACTCCCACATCAGCAAAACCCAAGATTCCTTATTTGACTTTGAGCGGCTTATTTAAGCTTTAGTTTTCAGGCAACTTCGCAAATGCGCGCCAAGGCACAACAAGTCGGTCAAAGAGTTACTTAGCTTAAGCTCTTTCAAGTTGTCCAAGGGGAAAAAGATGATAAGGCTCAAAAATGCGATTAATTAGATTAAAGTGACAAAGGTAAGTGCAAATGTCTATGATGCGAGCTCGAAAGCATAATGATCAGCATATTTATTGACATAGAATGTACGAAAACTGTCATATGAGTTACGTAGATTGATACTGTGGTGAAGAAATTGTTTGCCATAGACGGGAATAAGGTGAGCTGCACGATAGATTGAATCGACATGTATGATGTTGTAGATAGGTGCATTGTTAGTGCCGCAGGCTGGACGGACCATCCACATACCAGTATCTTCATCAGGCAAGTCTCCAATGATATTGAACCAGTGCACGACAGCGCACGGGTTATGGGTAAGTTATTCCTCCATAATTGAACGAGAAGAACGTATGAATCCTCGCAACTTCGAGTCCTTGAATGCCCACATCTTCTGACCCAATATTGACAAAAACACAGTCATAATAAGGGGCCTCATTCTGCCACATGGGACAAGCATGAATGTGCTTGATGTTGGATGTTCAACATCAACCTTGTATTCCTTTTCTTGATCGCCATCATGGGCTCTATAGTGTAGCTTATAATTTAGTTGTATTGCATTGTTTGTACCTCAGCGGTTCTTTCACCAACGCTGAGGTACAGTTCACGTTCATTCTGCACACCATCTCTCACTTACATTGTTTCATCTCTAGACCTGTCTCTTAGGTACTATTAATGTCATAGCGGTTCTTTCACCAATGCTGAGACCTGTCTCTTAGGTACTATTAATGTCATAGCGGTTCTTTCACCAACGCTGAGACCTGTCTCTAAGTTTCTACTTTCTACAGGTTATGAGCCCTGGCTCAAGCTGAGCCAGAAACCAAAACTTTGAACAAGAATTCACTCAGTCAGTGCCTGCCACTCACTTATCTCATTTCCCTCCACGATGGCATTGTCATGGGGAAACACGATCATATTCCTGAGCTGCTTGGAACTGTTAGGTACCGTGCCGGCTCAGGAAGCGGAGGGGTCAGGGCTTGGCTTCAGCTCTTGTGCTGCGCCCTTAGCCGAGTACGTGCCCCAAATTTGGAGCGGGTCCAACATTGTCCGACGATAGGACAAGTAGACCGCTTAGGTCTGCTTTGAGGGTCGGGAGGTAAGTGCTACTAGCAGTGGGCCGACTAGGAGCGGAGTGGAGAAGGTGGAGGATAATGTGGAAGGTGGAAAGGAGCAGGGGGAATACTTGATAGGAGCGGAGAAGTAAGGAGAAGACTTAGAGCACGGCTCTAAGTCAGAGCGGAGGGTCGGAGGCGACAACAAGATGAAACTTGTGTCCAGAGGAGGCAAGGTCCTACTGAGAATTCTCACAAGTAGAAACTGCAAGAAGACAAGTAATATTAAGACTAGGGAAAATATCTAAGTACAGGATATGTTATATACTTCTAAGTAGGAGGCAGTGACCAGGATAACTATGTTGCAAAGCTATGTACCAAGGGTATAATTTGTAAGTACTTACACAGGCGAAGACATAAGTCGGAGTGGATACCAGTATGTACACGTCGGATCAGTGATTGAGTGGTAAGGAGAATTACCGGTGATCCGGAAGTAAGGGTCTATGTACTGAAGGGGAAAGTATATATCTAAAAGGGGCAAGAGGTTCCAGTCGAATGGAGATGTTATGGAAGGGGACCGGTTGGGCGGTCGAGCGGAAGCATAGGGGTGGATGCAGATGATGATTGGATGGAGCGAAGGATGGATGGAGCGGAGGTGGTCAGAAAGCGGAGCAGATATCAATATCAGAGCGGTCGGATCAGGTATATGACAGGAATGGAAAATTATACTAGTTGGGCTACCAAGATGCAGTATGCTCTTGTGTGCAAAGATCACTGGTGTCACATCAACATGAAATCTGAACCAGGGGATCTCCTTGGTCTTCCTTCATATATACCTTTACCAGTCAATAAAGCTAGACCCATGGATGCTGAAACAGCACTAATGCGTGAATGGTTGCTCAAAGACATGAAGGCCAAGGAACTCATTACTCAACGACTGAGCTTGTCCGTTGCATCACTCATTCCTCATTCTCACACCATATCAGCACATAAAGCTTGGCAGGTCTTACAGGACCATTTCAACTGGACCAACATGAGCGCACAGTATCTTCTCAGACAACAGGTACAAGCGCTGCGCATGAAGGACTCTGCTGACGCCACCAATTATGTTGCACAACATGCGGTTTTCTGTGAACATTTAATCGATGCTGGTGCACCTTGGGGCAAAACTGACGCCATTTACCATATGTTGATGGGGCTCCCTCAAACCCCAATCTGGCAGCAGTTTAAATCTCTTCTCGAGCAACGTATGCATGACAAGTCCATGACTGCCACGTCTGCATCTGTACCTACCTTTATCTTCAAGAGTTGCATATCCCGCATCATGTCTGAAGCTGCACATTATGTCATGACCCAGCATGCGCATTCCTCACATCCAGGCTCAGAGTATGCCAATGCTGCCACCACTCCCACTGTGCATGCACAAGCACAACCCCCAGGGGGTGTTCTGCACCACACCTGGCTGCAGCAAGGGTGATCATGACCATGCTCACTGCTATGGGAAGGGTGGTGGAATGGAAGGTCAGGCTCCATGGATGAAGAATAAGAAGAAGGACAAGGAGTCCACAGTTGCTGCAGCTGCTACCACAGCGCCCATTCCAGCTCCTACTCCTGCTCTTACTCCTACACTTCCCATTGTGGCGGCCATCACCGGGCTCAGCAGTCTTATGGATAATATGTCCTTTGCTTCCATTACAGAGATCCCGGACAATGTGTCCTGCACCGTCGACCTCCCATTCTCCACTATTCTAGACTCTGGCACTACCATTACCCTTGTCAAGGACAGGGTAACAAGCAATTTTTCCACACTTACTCTGATGCAGACCCTGTTCCAGTGCGCACCGCTAATCACAGTATCTTGCAAACCACTGGCCACGGTGCCTGTGTTGCATGGCTCACCATTGGCAGGAAGCGACTTTGCATATGATTATCCAACTGCCTTCATGCACCGGGCGCCTTACTCAATCTCCTATCCATCAGTTGCATGAATGCGAAGGGATGGGATGTCAACTTCAGATCCAATATGACCTGTGAACTCACCTACAAAGGCACTCCCCTTGGTGTGATACCAGCCACTGGGAAGCTCTATGCTGCAGACATGGAGTTCATTCCAGCCTCCGTGCTGTCGTCTCCATTGTTGCCTCATCTTGAAATGTCGGCGTTCACTCACATTCCTCTCTCATTGGACCTTTGGCATGCTCGGATCGGGCATATTGGAAAGGAGGCTGTGTTGTGTCTCAGTCGTGTTTCCAAGGGCATTACCATTGATTCTGCTGTACCTCTCTCTCATTGTGAGTCCTGCATCATGGCCAAACACCCTCATCAACCCTTTCATCCATCTGAGACTGAACGCGTGTCCAGTTTCCTTGATCTAATTCACTCCGACCTCTGCAGTCCCATTCCCACACTCACTCCCCACAACAAGTGCTACTTCTTTGTCTTTCTTGATGACCATACACACATGCTTGATCTCCAACTCCTTGCCTCGAAAGATCAGTCTCTGGACGCCTGGCGTGCACTGCGCGCCTGCTGGGAAAACTTGTCCGGGCGGTGTGTAAAGATTTTTTGTTCCGATAATGGCAGGGCATTTATAAATGACGCCTTTACAGCGGATCTTGAGCAAACCAGTGTCCAGTGTCAACGCTCTGCTCCCCAGGCTCATCAGCAGAATGGGAAAGCAGAGAGGGTGATGTGTACAATTGAAGGTCATATGTATGCAATGCTGGACTTTGCCCATTTGCCAGGTTCCTTGTGGGGTGAGGTGGCTCTCACCGCATGCTATCTATTTAATTGGACAGAATCGTGTGCACTACCTGCGGGGAAGACCCCATATGAGATGCTGCACAGCACTCAACCAAATCTGGGCCACCTACACGTTTTCAGTGCTCGTTGCTTCGCGCGCATCCCAACAGAGCTACAGCAGAAACTTGGACCTCGCTCTCGAGAAGCCATCTTCATGGGATACCCCCCAGGCGTCAAAGCCTGGAGATGTTGCAACATTGTCACTGGAGCTTTCTTCAACTCACGTGATGTCATCTTCAATGAAGGACTGTCCAACCGCCCCTTCCCTGACAGCGACAATGAAGACGATGATGCTATACTCCCGCCGGCACCCCCTCCTACCATCATCGTCCTGCCTCAACCTCCTCACGCTGACATCATTTGTCATTCAGGTCACATCCCAATCTTAACTGAGAAGGGCCAACTCTTTAAAGGTTGCATTGCTGCTGACAAAGCATGTCTTGCTCGACAACGCAAGGTTCACATCGCATGTCTCATGGGCATTCCACCACCTTCCTCAGATGCTCTTGTACCTGTCACACCGATCGTTGATGTTCCCGCTTGCATGCCTGACTGTCCACCTCCTGCAGTTGTCGACCCTGATGCAATCAACCCTGACGATGATGAGATTGGCTTCCCCAAGGTCATCGCTAACCTCATTGTCATGGAAATGGCTTGTCTGTCCATCTGCAGTGACACATGCCGGAACCCTCTGTCCCCTGGTTACGATCTCAAGGTCCCCCCTGCAACTTATGATGAGGCGCTGTGTTGTCCAGACCACGACCACTGGTTAGCCGCAATGCACAAAGAGATGAACCTGATGTCAGAAATGAAGGTATATGAACTTGTACCATTGCCTGACGACCGTTGCACCATCGGGTGCTGTTGGGTACTGGAATTCAAGGAGGATCTTAAGGGTGGACCTGTGTTCAAGGTGCAACTGGTAGCCCAGGGCTTTTCCCAGATTCTGGGAGTTGACTTCGGACGCACCTTTGCCCCGGTGGCCAAGTCCACTTCTATCTGCGTCCTCTCCGCTTATGCTGCAGCCAACAATTGGGAACTAGACTGCTTCAACGTGAAATGTGCCTTCTTATGGGGAAAACTCCAGGAAGACGTCTACATGTGTCAACCCCCAGGCTTCGAGCACACTGGTCCCAATGGTCTCTGCTTAGTTGCCCATCTCCTTTCCTCTCTCTATGGTCTCAAGCAGGCTGCATATGATTGGTATGAACTCCTCTGTGAAATCCTCTCACATCTCGGGTTCTTACGCTGCGACACTGACTATGCTGTTTTCATTTTTGATCATGTCAACAGCGAGGGGGTGAGAATAATTTGCATCATCACATGGCACATCGACGACGGACTCGCGGGGTCTAACAATCGCACCTTCCTCAACCAAACAAAAGCCCAAATCGCTGAATGTTTCAATATCACTGACCTTGGACCTGTCATGAAATATCTCGGCGTTCAATTCATCCGCAATTGTCAGACTTGCGAACTATGGATGCACTAAGAGGACTACATCGGCTATCTGCTGGCGGAGCATGGCATGTCAGATTGCAACCCAGTAGCACTGCCTATGGACCCCACCTTTCCTTTTGGCCATCCAACTGACATTTTCCCCCACGTCAATGACCTTCAGACCAAATATTGCAAACTCATCGGGGAACTCCTCTACCTTGCCATGTATACTCATCCCGATATCGCCCTTACTGTCATGCAACTGGCACAGTACAATGTCTCCACCGAACCCAAACACTATACAGCCACCAAACACGTCCATCATTATCTTGCTGGTACAAGAACCCTTTGCGCACATTACGGGCGTGTAGGAATCAACCCTAGTCTGCATGGGTTCTCTGACTCTGACTAGGCCTCGTGTCCTGAGGACCGCATATCAATCTTGGGATATGTCTGGTTTTTCAATGGTGGTCCCGTCTCCCACTCCACGAAGAAGCAAACCACTCAGGCTCTTTTGTCCACTGAGGCAAAATATATGGTGCTCACCTCGGCTATTCAAGATGGCCTCTGGCTCCAGTCCTTCTTTGGATGTCTCAGCATCCCTCTACCCCTACCGCTACAGCTATTCACAGACAATGCTGGTGCCATTGCTCTATCAAAGGAGGCTGCAAATCACGTTCAAATGAAACACATTGATCTCCATTACCACTTCATCTGTTGTCACATTGAAGATAAGACATTCCTGCTCATCTGGCTGTCAACTCATAAAAATACTGCCAACATATTCACCAAACTCTTACCCCATCCTGCATTCATCCATCATCATTCCAGTCTCGCGCTTGTGTCTCACTGAGACAAATGTTCTGTTTCATCTCTTGTTTTCATTGTCTTGTTGAGGGGGTGTGTTGGATGTTCAACATTGACCTCATATTCCTTTTCTTGATTGCCATCATGGGCTCTATAGTGTAGCTTATAATTTAGTTGTATTGCATTGTTTGTACCTCAGTGGTTCTTTCACCAATGCTGAGGTACAGTTCACGTTCATTCTGCATGCCGTCTCTCACTTACATTGTTTTGTCTCTAGACCTGTCTCTTAGGTACTATTGATGTCATAGCGGTTCTTTCACCAACGCTGAGACCTGTCTCTTAGTTTCTACTTTCTACACTCAATACTCATTCCACCAATCCCACTTAGGTCGCTTGGGGCATAGAACTGAGAGCATGCAAAGTTGAATACTGATATTTTGCCCTCATATCGAGGGCATCCTGTGATAGGAATTTCTGACACATCTTGTGGATCATCTGGACATGTCTGTTGGAAGAGAAAGCAGTGGATCATCTCAGGTAGATGGGGGATATTCAGCTCTTCAGCAAGAGCCAAAACGGTGTGTGCATGCTTCATCTCTACATGCAAAATCAAATCATTCATTGACACACAAAAACGAGGGAATATACTTGCATGTGGTTTGTGCTAATCGTGTATGTGCTTGCAGAATGGTCAGGCCATGATCCACACTGTCAATATCATCTTCAGGAACAGATGTGTCGAGGTTTTCATCTTGAGCATTATCCATTGCATCATTAGCAGGTGCATGGTGACTTGGTCCGTCTTGTTGTACTTATGGGATTAAAAATTAGCTTTCAAGTGGCTGAAAATAGGTTTAGAACTTACAAAGGGCTTCAAGGGCTGCTGAAAGGCAAGTTCCATTTAACATCCCATGGCTAGTGAAGTCGACTCGTGTGGCAGCGAGTTTATCGAGCCATTGATTTGTGACAAGCATTTGACCGAGTGCTTGATATTTTGTTATGACCAACGTTCACCAATAATGATGAAGGCAAGCACACAACCACTAGGACTCGGTCAGAGGGGATAGTGAACAAGATGGTATTGAGCGTGAACATCTAAGTCACTACAAGCATAGGAAACGAAGAGGTTAAGTCTAAGGAGTACTTACGCTAACTAACCTACTTTTATACATAACATTGAATAGGAGTCTGAAAGAAATCAGCCAATGAGAAAAGAGTTGTACGATACTGCGGATGACTAAGTATGACTCATGATATATAAGCGAATGAGTAAGACGGCAACTAAACAGAAACCCAAGTTCCGACCGGTTCTTCTTTGGGAAGCGAGATTGTTCTAGCCTGTGGAGTAGGGGAGCCAATCGGAGAAACCACAGGTGATATGTGAAGAGGTGAAGGTGTGACAGGGTGAGGAGTCACGTGACCAGTTCGGGTACTGGAAGTAGCCGAAGGAAAACTGAGAAATGAAAATTGGTTCGTATTAGGAATTCATGACATTACCCCCTTTCTAGGATGAGCGTCCTCGCGAATGTAAGATGGTCATATATTTTTCTGTCTCCATTTGAGGAAGTCAGGGGTCGTCAGAATTGAGGTGGAGATTCGCGCCAATTTAACCGCATTTGGGTTCTCTGCATAAAAGTCGGCTACAATGAGCGGCGCATTCTTCACATCTTCCTCTGACTGCCATGTTGCTTCTTCTACTGCATATCCTTTCCATTTTACTAAATACTGCAACTTGCGCCTGTATAGGTGGCTTTGCAATATTTGCTCTGCTTCATATTCTGGGACTTGGTCAACAATCTCCGGCGGTGGATGTGTTTGCGGTGGGTGATCGACAAGTTGAGAGGTTTGATGTGGGGTGAGTAGCGATACATGGAAGATTGGGTGAATGTGATATTTAACGGGGAGTTTCAACTTGTAGTTTAGCTCGCCAGTCTTCTCTTCGATTTTGAATGGTCCCAGACGGCGGTCGGACAACTTCTGGCTCAGACAACGTTGTTTGATATTTGTCGCATCTAACCATACCTTGTCGCCTGGTTTGAATTCTGGTGCGTCTTTTACTTTATGATCATAAAAGTGCTTCATTTGATCGTTCACTATTTCTAGCATCGCCTTTGTCTCTTCTTGTGCCTCCTTCATCTCGGCTACTCTTTGATCGGCTTGGGGAATCGTGTTGGAAGAGTTAGGGGAAATCGTGAATTTGGGATTATAGCCATAGACACATTTGAATGGAGAATGTCCAGTGACGGTTATGGAATTATTATGCGTGAATTCTGCAATTGGAAGCCAAGAAACCCAATCAGATTGGTGGTAGGATGTGAAGAGTCATAGGTACTGCTCGACTTCTTGATTGATTCGTTCTGTTTGTCCGTCAGTCTGTGGGTGATATGCTGTTGACATGGACCACTTGGTTCCTAGTCTTTTCAAGACTTCCTGCATGAACTTGGACACAAATTGTGTTCCTCTGTCCGAAATCACCTTCTTTGGCGTCCTGTGCAGCTTCCATACGTGATTGAAAAATAAGTCCGCAATTCCCTTGGAATTAACATCCTTTGTAGTTGGAGCAAGATGTGCTTGCTTGGTGAAACGATCAACGACTACCAAAATACTGTCTTTGCCCTGGGAGATGGGTAGATCAGTGATAAGGTCACAGCTAATGGTTTGCCATGGCCCTTCTGGAATCTCGTTTAGCTTCAAAGGTCCATGGGGTTTTGACGGTAGCACCTTCGTTTGCTTGCATCAATCACATCCATCTACGTAGTCATTGACCCACTTCTGCATCTGAGGCCACCAATAGTTCCGTGAGACAAGTTCAAGAGTCTTGGCACATCCCATGTGTCCTGCTGCAGGTGAGTCATGGAAGATCTCTAGAACTGAGCGATGTATTTCCTTGTTATTGGGCACGTAGACCAATCCTCTGAACAGAATGAGTCCATCCTCCGTATTCCACTCTTTCAATCCTCTTCTCAATTGCACAGGGGCCTTCTTCAGGGTTTCGATAGCATTTCGGACTTCCAGATCCAAATCAGTGCAGTTTCTGATATGCTTCAACAGTGAATGTTCTCCTTCTATCAGAATCTGACCTCTTTTTGTGGCTTTAATATGGAAAAACTCAGGTTTTAAAAGCACGTGATTGGAATTGTCGTTTTCTACCCCCCCTCTGTGGTCTGGCCTCCTGGACAGAGCGTCGGCAGTGTTGTTAACCTTTCCCGGTTTATGTTGCAGAGTGAAGTTGTACTCTGCAAGGAACAAGGACCATCTCGCCTGTCTACAAGTTAACTTCTGACTGGTCATGAAGTACTCGAGGTTTTTATGGTCCGTCCAGATCTCTACCAGATGAGGTGTGCCCTGCACATAATGCCTCCACTCCTCCAATGCATGGATGATAGCTAAAAGTTCTTTGTCGTGAATGTCATAATTACGCTCTGCATCCTGCATTGATTTGCTGAAAAAGGCTACTGGGTGCCATAGTCCGTCTTCTTCCAACTGAGAAAGTACACCACCAGTAGCATAGTCAGATGCGTTGCTCTCTATCTTCTGTTTTTTATTTGCATCTGGCATGACTAGCACTGGTGCGGAAGTGAAATTGTCCTTCAGAGTTTTGAAAGCCTTTTCTTGTTTGTCCGTCCATTCCCATGGCACATCCTTCCTGATGAGCTCATTCATGGGTCTGGCAATGTTCGAGAAACCGAGAATGAAACGATGATAAAAGTTTGCAAATCCCATGAATCGTTGAATGTCCTTGACACAGGTAGGAGTGGGCCATTCCTGAACTCCTTTAACCTTGACCGGATCCATAGAGACGTGCCCATCCTTGATGATCAAACCGAGAAACTCTACTTCTTTCTTCTCAAAGGAACACTTCTCCGGTTTGAGATAAAGGTCATTGTCCTGCAACCTTTGTAGTACCTTGTGCACCACCTTCCGATGTTTCTCTACATCACTGTTGGTGAAGACCAAGATGTTGTCAATGTAGACTACAACAACCTTGCCTTCCTTCAGATCTTGGAAGATTTGGTCCATCATAGTTTGGAAGGTAGCTGGGGAGTTTGTCATGCTGAAGTACATTACGACTGGTTCATGGTGTCTAAAAGGAGTCTTGAAGGCGGCCTTCCACTGGTCTCCTTCCTTCATTCTAATATTATTATAGCCCCATCGAACGTCCATTTTCGAAAAAAGCTTTGCACCGGAGAGATGATCAATAAGATCCTGAGAATGAGGGAGAGGGTATGCATTTCGGATGGTTTTCTCATTCAACCTCCGATAGTCCATGACGGGTCTGAGCTTTCCGTCCTTCTTAGCAACAAAGAAGAAAGGAGCTGCTACTGGAGATTCACTATCTCTCAGTCGTCCCAAATCATACTCTTGCTTCAGCCACTTTTCACATGCGTCACTTTCGGCGGGGGACAGGGGATATGCCTTCACATTAGGAGGAAGATCGTTAGGGTCCTTGAGGTCCACCTTGTGATCCCATTTCTTGGACTCGGGGAATTGAGTAGACTCTTCTTCGGAGAAAACCTTAAGATAGTCATGGAGCCAGTCTGGCACCATTTCTTCTACAGGCTTTTTTTCCTCCTTCTTTTCCTCCTGCTGCGCTAACTCTGACGCGACAGAGCTTTTGTATCTGATCCACACATTTCATGATGAATCTTCATCCTCGACCACCTCCATCTGCACATTCTTGGTAGCTCCGTGTCCAACAGTAGTAGCAAGGTCTGATTGTTCTTCTTCCTCAAGCTTGACAGGTATAGTACCCACATGTCCGTACATTTTAGAGCTGAGGCTGTTTGACTGAACCTGATGATGGATAGAGGTTTCCTCAATATCCTCATCTTCGTCATCTTCTGCTGGTATCAAATCGGGCAACACCGAAAGGATCGAAGAGTTCGTGGCTCTTCGCTTCTTTGCCTTGGTCTTTTTGTCCTTCTTGACCTTGACTTCTTGACATTTAACCGGGCAACGGTCTAATGCCACCTTTCCTGCATTCCAATCGATACTGGGGTTGTGGTATCGTAGCCAATCTATTCCAATGATGACATCATCGGTTCCTAGATCTGTGATCAGAAAGGCCACTTCTTCCTCATGATCCCCTATTGTAAGCTTTAAATCTGCGTAACTTGTAATTGGTCTGGTGGAATTGTCTGTTTCATCAATATTACGGATCGACATTGCTCACAACAACTGCTTGGTCTGGACTTGATTCTTTTTGACAAATTTTTCACTAATGAAAAGGTTTGTCGCTCCGCAGTCTACTAGAGCATTGATGGCTGCTTTCTTGTGTTTCCCTTCCAACGTAATTGGCAAGTAGAAATGGTCTCGTTTATTCCCAGAACAAACTTCTGATACTTCTGCAAACATAATTGCCGAGTCACTGAGAATGGAAAAATGATTTCTCTGATCTAAGTCCACAGTCAACTTCGATCTCCCTAAAAACCCTTTTGCTCCTCTTTCTTTGCTGGGTTGTACATACTGGAGAGGCAGATCCTCTCGTTGACGATGCAGTTAATATCTTCCAGTGTGAGTGGTTTCACAGCTGGAACTTCTTCTACTTTGCCGGCGCGGACAGCTGGTCCTTTGCCTTTGTCAAGGGGCTTTCCCGTGCAATTACGAGCCATATGCCCTTCTTCTCCGCAGCGGTAGCATTTGAATGGCTGTCCTTGAGGGCGGGGTCTGCCTCCTGCTCTGGTTGCATCAACGTCCATCACATTTCCTCCCTGTGACGTGGTCTTGGGTGCTCCAGCTGGTGCGGGTGGAACAGCGGAGCCTTGCCAAGGTCGTCGTGGTGCAAAGTTCATCTTCCTCTCATCGTCAAGCTCCTCGAGGTTCTGCCCGACTAGGAGTGCCTCTCTGATCAATCCCTCCAGGGTGTCTTTCCTGTTGGGGTGGATGTTGGCCAAATAGTCTTTGACTCGTTGGTCTAATCCATGGCGGAGTTTGCGCATTAACTCATAGTCAGAGAATTGACAGAAGGTGAGCTTCTGGTGGAAGATGGAGATATACTCCCTGACTGTACGATTGCCTTGTCGGAGAGCTTCCAACTCTCTTGCTGCCTTCTCCTCCTTGTTGAAAATGGTCCACATGACCTTCATATCTTTGACAATGCTGTCGTAGGATCCGGTATGTCCACTGAGAGCCATGGGAGTAACACTTTCCGCCCATTTTGCTGCAGCTCACCGACAAAAGGAAATGAGACAGGTACATTTCTGTTGTTCTGTCGCTCCAGGGTAACCGGTGAAATAGATGGCGAGCTGGGTGAGGAAGGTGTCGACATCAATGGAGTTTTTCTCGCCCGTGAAATCCATTGGTTTCGCCATTTTGAGATCAGAGCCTGAAGTCCCAGATGTAGAGCCTGGGATCTTCATTGTAGGCGAGGTTTCCAAAAGCGTGATTTTGTCTTCTGTATCCCTCAGCCTGATCTTCAGGTAGTCAATCTTGTCGTCCGCATGCACCAGGCCTGCTTGCAGCTCGTCAATCTCCTTTTGTAGACTGCTTATCAAGTGTCTGGTGTACTCTCTTTCTGTTACAACGACGGCATTGATTGCGTGTGAAATGTCCTGATGGGTGATGGTACTCGACCCGGGCACGGAGATGCCGAAGGGTGCAGAAGGGCCTGCGGTTTGGGTGGTGGATGATCCTGCAGATGCTAATGGGCCTAATGGGTTTATCCATCCTTGCGGGGCTGGAGAGTGGATTGCACCCCTGGGTGGAGTTGCTACTCTTGGTACAGCTGGGGGAGCATCTGTCACTTCTGTATCCTCGGAAACGACGATCCCAGGCTCTTCTGGATTCTCGGACATGGAAGAAGGAGCAATTGGAATCCAGACAGGAAATGTTGTTGTGGAGTGTGAAAGCCCTAGCCTCAACTAGGCGGGATCTGTATGGCGGGGCAATGATGACAGAGGTGCGAATGCAGTGCGTGTAGCGGTTCGTCAACCTAGATGAACTTTGGGTCTACTTTTAGCACCCTAGGTTCCTATCGTAAGGTATTTAGACAGTGAGAGGACTGTCACGAGTGCCGTTCTGTTACGTAGAAAGCAGATAGGTAGTGTACAGTTGGCAGGGTTTTGGGCCTAACTGCAGACGTACAGAAACAGGACCTAAGTGTCACTGATCCTTGCCTCCATGGACCTTTAACAGCCTTAATGTGTTTGCTCTCTGTAATAGACAAGCAGAGTCCATCTGGAGTGCCGAAGAGTCAGATGAGCTGCAGGTAATGAGAGACAGAGTGTTGTCACGGTAGAGAGAATGTAGATATAGTATCACTTTCCAGGAAAATCTTGCAATAATGATGGAAACGGGATACAGCATCTTGCAGTTTCTCCAGCATGTGCTTGGTCATAGAATTCTTCTGTACAATGTAACAAAATTTGAGAAATGCATGGAACATGCGTACAATTTCCACTGGGATGTGTCCCTCAATGGCTGCAATATAAACCTGATAGATTTTAGCTTTGTTAAGGTGAAAAGTAAAGGGACATGTACCTTCATAAGCACTTTTGAATCATCTCTGGTCCATTGCTTGAAGCCACGCCCTTGTGGGAAACATCTCAGGCCTGCAAAAGGGGCAACAATAGCAATTCTATTGAAGGTAGAGCCAGAATTAGACATTAGAAATGAGATATGAAATCAACATACCTATGATCAATGTCATCCAAGATGCGTCGCACATCACGTGCTCCATGCATTTGTATGAGATACTTATGGACCCAGTCCACAAGATGGTCCTTGAACGTGCCTTTAATGAGCTGATGTAGGATGTTGGGTGTGATCAGCTGGCAAATATCAGCACAAGGAAAATCATTAGTGAACGGCTGTGGATATAAATTGTAGTGAGAACAAGAAAGAAGATAAAAATGAGAAGATGTACGATAAGATCTGCTACAACTCCAAACTCATCCCACAGTTCCAAATATGTCCCCATGTCAACGAGTTCTTCTGTATACTCTCGACATCGAGGAAGTGCGCCGGCTGCATCAAGATCATGATTTGGTGCTATACATCTTGAATATACCGTAAGTCAAAGATATAGAAGCAAAAAAGAGCCAATTACCATGGACACCAGCATTGCACAATACACGCCAGCAGAACTTGTTCTTCATAGTTGGCAATGTAAGGTCCAAGGCCATAGATGACACACTGGAAATGCCCATCACTGAATTTTGCAACCTCAGGTTTCATCATTCTGGGCCTAAGTCTTTCAAGAATCTTAGAAAGCGAAGAATGAAACAACTGGCAGCGGAATTTTCGGAAGCGTGGGTCACTTGCATGCTCCTTTGTAGCTACTGTAGTTATTTGAGCTGAGCAAATGCAAATGGGAGGAGCTGATAAGAATATAATATCTCAGTCTTGAGTAAAGGACTCGATGTAACTAGTATAGTACCTGATAAGAATATAATCTATGGGTATGTTAGCTCGATTTACGTAGATGGGAAAACTAGGTACTCACATCTCAGTCTCGAGTAAAGGACTGAGATGTTCTAACAGTGTAGGTACAACAAGTGCAGCAGTGAGAAATTGATCTACTACAAAGTTGGGTCTTTGCTGCCTGCTGCCTCGCTTGAGAACAAGTATGTTCAACCCTAAAGGGGATTGCTACTGGTGAGTGCTAATCTCTGTCTAAGCGACCCTAATCAACCCTACTGCAGGTAGGATGAGGATCTGCAAAAATGCAGAACAAGCAGAACTCAAGCAGAACAAAGTGCACAACAGACGGAACAAGCGTGCAAAAAGTGGAACAAAGCAGAACTCAAACGGATAAAACACGGAACACACAGATTTGTTGGAACTTGCAGATCAAGTCGAAGGAAGTATATCACAAGGTTATATTGATACTGGGCATAAGTCAAAGTGGTCCTCTAGTAAGGTGAAGGAAAAGTTGGAGAAAAGTTGGAAGGTAAAAGATGGGATTCAATAAAAAACACCCAAGCCCTAAGTACCACTACTTATAGGGAACATCATTTTCAAGGAACACTGAGGTACAGGTAGTAAACTTCTCAGGAAGCGGAAGTGAAGGCAGGCAGTGCATATGGGAGCAATACCGCGCAATAGGGGTCCATGCCATAAGGGCATGTGTCAGTGTGATCTGGATAACGTTAGAAGCAACAGGAAGAGAGATACAGCATACCAATGGACCTGGAAGGATGGGGACAGGACATGTGAAGGTTGTTTGATGATACACAGGAATATTGGATAGTGCGGGTGTGTTCCAAAGGATGCACGGGAATGCAGAACCCATCGGACGATGCGTGGGGAACGTGGAACACGCGGAATATGTGGAACTGATGTGAGACAATGCGGAATTGATTGGGTTTTATGCCTACAGTGGGGGCATTCCCCACAATGAAAACTCGTAGGTTTATAGTAAGTAGCATAATGATAAACAAATATACTGTAGCTTAGGAATAGACAGTTCAATATTAGTATTCTTGGCCGATGTCAATGCGTTGTTCTTTGCATTCTCAGGTTGCACTCATACTGTCTCACTTCACTATCTCTTGCTCATTTGTTCCTGAATCCAACAGCTACTAGGTCATCAGCATGTTGCATAATACAAGAAGCTATTCATCTGAAAAAACCTATTGCTATATATCTAATACTTCTCATTACAAAGCACACATAGCACAAGCTAGCACTAGAAAGCCATTTATAGCCTTCATAGTTCTCATAGCATGTGATTCAGGATACATATTCCCCAGAGTATGAATGTTGTGTTTGATAGCTGATATATACCTATGGCTTCTTATTACACAAGCCTCTATAGGTCTCATAGCATATGATTAAGGATACTTATTCCCCAGAGTATAAATGTCGTGTGTCATAGCTGATCTATCCCATGCATAGTATATCACTTAGGATATATGATTGATATATATGACTTCTTATTGCAGTCGTTGTATACTAATATTAGAGATCTCCAGCACTACTAACCTGCTCTAAAGCATGAATACCCACTAGCTTATTTATTTAAGCATATATCCTATAGGACCACTACTGAGTACAGGGTTCAGAGTGATCAAACTATCCAAGTCCTCGCAGCCAAAAAATCTTTGTGACAAAAAAGGAACAACAGAGAGCTTAGGAAGACAAGAAACACAAAATTGCAATACATTGAAGGTGGAAATACACAAGTTTCACTACACTTAGCCTCCGACCCTGGCCTGACTCATGTGTGGCAGTTGCCCCAGTGGGTTGGCATATACTGATAAATCCCAACATGGTTCCTTGTCCGTGCAATAACCCAAGTCCTGGAGCAAGCTGTGGGCAAATATTTCTGTACCGGCGGAGTCTCCCAACCTTACTGCTGCAGTAGGCCAGAAGGAGCGTTTCCAATTCCTGCAAGTCTTGAGAGCAGCAAGATTGCCTGATGACAAGTTCAACAGGTGGGTTTGGAACCATTTTTCATCTGCATCCGTCCAGAACTCCATCCATCGACTAGATGATTCCCAAACGTCTTGTGGGGGCCAGCAAGATTCTATGCCCATCAAGCTGTGCCTGATAAGTGTCCCCAAGTCTGCTGGGGTGACCAAGTCATCCCAGTATCCTTCTGCTATGTTGCCTCACCCCAAAACAGTAATGTCTGAGGAGGGGCCATCAAGAGCTTGTTGAACTAGCTCTGGTGGTCCAAATTGCAGTGCTAGTCGCCATGCAATGCCACCCATGGTTCAAAAATGCCACACATAAGGCCGCCATAGGATTTCCCGTACCTACAGCAGGTATTGATGCCAGTAGTCTGTGCCCTTCAAATTCATCCCTGAGTATTGTATACGGGTGTCGAGGTAGGGTGGGGGTGTGATGTGGGGGTAGACCCCGGCGGTGTGAGCTAACGATGACCGGACCGCCGGCATTGGGGTCATGATGCAGTAAGAAGCGCCCAGGCTGAGGAGGGTAATGATAGAGTCTGCAGGTGATGCATTCAAATTGCAGAACAAATCATAAGCTACTCTGATAGCTGTATGGAAAGTCGTGATCAGCCTTCCTAGCTGCTGGGGGGCTCCTGAAGGGAAGGTGATACCTGCTAGGTGAGGCAGTAGACTGGTGAATCTGGCCACATTTGCTCCAAATGCTGTGTTGATGCATTGCAGGCCCTCATCAGATGGTATGGGTACAGGTAGGTTTGGCACTCGAGGTCTAATGTTTGGGATGGCGGAAAGGGTGGTGGGTCTAGCGCTCGGCCTTGACAGGAAGGACATCGCCCTTTTGAGTGAGGGTGCGCTTGATGAAGGACTACTATCTGTCTCAAGGCGTGCTGCGAAAGATTGTGACGAACCTGCTACAGGCCTGTTGTAGTGCCAGTGATCTTCTTGATGGACTGTCGGTCCATGTTCATCATCCCGCCTGAGTCCCCAATAGCTAGTTTGCTGGTAAGTGGTCCTGTTCTGAGTCTGTGCGCTGTGAACCACTTCATGTCTGCTGTTGACCATTAAGACTTCTCAGGGAGGAAGCACTAGCCTGGTCCGTAGCAGAGGCGAGAATGCACAGTGCAGCGCTGACGATGGCAAGCGGACAATTGGTGGGGAGCTGATGCATGGGGATACTGATACAGGCAGGTAATGCAGCGCAAATGGTACCTCAGGCGATCCGAGGATTAAAAGACCAGTGTCATCTTCCTCTATGGAGACAGGTGGTGCACATTGTGACCATGTATACCCACCATCACTGAGACCTAACCTAGGAACATGTGGGGACAGTGCCCGTACTGTCACAATGCTGAGCGTCACTGCTTGCAGGGATCTCCTCCAGGTAAAAGACTCAATTTTTGTGTTTATATCTTGCAACTTAGATTTGTCCTATACTAGTGCTCTATGCCTGTCTTTGAACAACTCATTCCAGATCATAATTTGACTATTTTAGACCTCCTCTTCAAACTCTCAACTTGGCATGCATTTGGAAAGCTGCAGATGCATACCAAGACAACACTGCATCACTTTGACAACTGCACAACTTGTCTCAGCAAAGCCTTGTGCAAGTTCAGTAGGGCTACATGCAGCAAATTTGACACACATGATCTTCCGTGAGAGACTGCTGCTCATACACGTTGTCATGGTGCTAAAGCAGCAAAGGGGAAGGGGAAGGCTGATGTCACACCACAAGCAGCCTCAAAACACCAAAAATTCAACATGTTGACCTATAAGCTTCACGCACTTGGTGATTATGTGAGATCAATTTGGCTATATGGAACAACTTACAACTACTCAACTCAAGTCGTACGGAGGCTATTCTTATTGCTTCCAAAGATATCTTGCTGATTATTCAATAGGGTGAATTAGAGCATCATCATGTTAAATGGTTTTATGCATGTACAAACAAAAATCAATTTGCACGAGGCATTGCCAAGCATCAACAATGGGAATGGATACTTTGCAGGTTGAGAGATAAACACAAGCAGATACAAGTGGCTCAGAATGACCCACCAGTAGTAGTTCCATCAAACACCACTGAGCAGTGTCCCTCTCTCCACTTCGTCGATCAAGAACTGTTACAGTAACATGAGCGTTACACGTCATTTCATTCTTTGGACTCGTCTAGACCTGGACCACGGTTACAACTATTCTACTTTCATCTTTTCTTTTGATCCTGTTGTTCTGAAATGCAAGAATCTCTTGCTTCTTCCCCTAGATCATAGAAGCCATGGCTTCTACCGCACCCTTTGCCCTTACCGCTCAACCGGTACTTCTTACCCCTTTTAACTTATGACTCACACAACCCTTGACCCTTACCACTACCTCGGTATTGCCTCCGCTTACCCTGTACCCTTACCGTTCCACCGGTATATCACCCTTACGTATATATATCTCACTTGTACAGTAGATAGATTCTCTAACTTGAATCTACTCGGTTCTCATCTGATCTTGTCATTGGGTCTGAACTTCTCTTGCCTAAGAGAACTCCCTCTGTACAAAAGAACCATCTTCTCTTGAGACAATCCTCTTGAAGTTGAACTCCGTCTCTTGCATCGTATCCTTGAGAAACTCCAATTGACTCTATGCAAGCAAGGGTCTCAACCCTTGCTTAGACTTAGCGCAGGCAAGCTCCTTGCTGGGCTAGCGCCGAAGGTCACGCTTCGAACACCCCTTGCGGGTTTAGCACCGCCAGATCTCATCTGAGAGGTTACGCGTAACAAGAACCATTGCCTTACTGCTCACCAGAATCTCACTACCAAATCTCAACCTTGAAGAAGTTCCATTGGAATATCTCTGCTTGGCTTGGCAGACACACTGATGATATTGCTGTTCAGGTGAGGTTGATGGCTCGTCTCTGTTATTAATACTTTACACTGAAATGATCTTAAGGACTTCCTCCCACACCTCAAAGAACATGTCTTGGGATGCTTACTTGGTAACCAATATGAGGGTGATGAAATGCAGTTTACACCTGCGCAACGTAACTCAATTCATATTGTCAACAATCAAATTTATTGGCATAAAGTTCTGTGCATTAACTATACCACCTATGACCTCCATCGAGCTCAAGACTCACTCAATCCATGTACATGAGCTGATGTGATGGTCCTTGCACACAAAGACGAGGATGAAAATCCACATCTGTATTGGTATGCATGAGTCATCGGAATTTTTCATGTCCTAGTTCAACATACTGAACCTGAGTCCCGAAGCTCCACACCACAGCATATAGACTTACTTTGGGTTCACTGGCTCAGGCATGACATGACTTATCCCTCGGGTTGGGCAGTGAAATGTCTCCCTCGTGTCGGATTCGTAGATGCAGATGATCCCTCCGCATTTGGATTCATAGATCCAATGCATGTAATCTGCAGTATCCATCTGATCCCCACATTTGCATATGGGTGCTTGCAGCTAATCCCATCTGACTCTATTGCCCATCAGATATAAGATGGGAACATGGACTGGAATTATTTTTATATCAATATGTGAGATTTTATTATGAGTAGTGAGATAGCATACTTACCTAGATCTGCAGATTCGTGGACAGAGACATGTTTATGAGATATTGCGGTGGTGGGATTGGCCACAAGCCTATCCATGAAGCCACACGATGTTTACTCGATGACTGCAACGCACTCGACCAACTCCCATTCACAATGGAGAAAGAGTGTGAAGCTCAAAGTTCCGATGATGAAATGGCAGATAGTGTTGAGGGAGGTGACAACAAAGAGGACAAGAGCAAAGATGGCGAGAGCAAAGAAGAGGATGCAATTAATATTGAGGGCAGTGCCGATGAAGATGGGAATGAGGACAAGAGCAGTGGTGAGGACCAGGATGACGAGGGCAACGGAATTCATGATCCACTCACTACATAACATCTCATTGACAATTATATTGCAGGTGGGATGGATGGGTTTGGGTACACCAGCCTAGATCAGGTTCTTGTGGAAGATGAGGACAATGATGCGCTACTAGGTGATGATGCTCTTGGGGCAGAAGATGGTGAAGAAGTTGGGCTGAATTATGATGAGGTTGAAGGGATCAGATTTGCAGATTTATAGCAGGGGGACAGCGGTATTTGTAGCTAGTGCTGAGGGGTTGGAGATATGTGTCCCGGAAATTGTCTGCAGTATTGAGACACACTAGTACATCATGAGCAGCAGACACCATAGATTGCATGCATTCTGAAAGTGACTTTATGCCTGCTGCAGGTTGAAAAGTAATCCTTAAGATGAATAAAGATAAGTGCAACTTACAATCACCAGTCTAATTGATGGAGTCAAACATTGTGTCCTTGCGAGGGTTGTGGGAGCCTCACAGGTTTATTTTCCACAGTACACCAAGCTTGCGAGAGGGGAGAGGGTGGTGAGAGGGTGTGGGAGTTATGAGAGGTACTTGCAGGTGTCTTGTACAACAGTGTACAACACCTGTGAGGCACATCACATCAGAAAAACAGCGTGGGAGTCATCCCAGGAGCTCCCAGACCTTGCTGATGTGCTTAGCAAAGCAAAGCAAAGGCCATCACTAAAAACCAAGTAGCATGATATAACAATACATACCTTATAAGTTGGGTGATATCTGATTTCCCCTTATATGCCTATGTTGTGGTGTATTTAACACTTATCAGATTTGTGATGTGTTACCTGTTTTATCTCTTGTTTTTTGTTCGGATGAATCAATGTAAACCCATATTGACCACCAAGCTAGTGTTCCAAGTTCTACATTGCGCATCTAAGATACAAATCAAATGATTGCATGTTGGTCTGTTTCTTCATTTAGCTTCTTGTTGATAAACCATTATCACCCCATGTCAGATTCCAAGCTAGTGTTCTAGCATCTACAATCTTCGGTCAACAATACTGGACCTAGGCGAGAAAAAAAGGAACAGCACCCAGCCTGAACCCAACCTCAAGCTTATTGCTAACTATCACATCAATGCAGGCAGTGACAGTGGTCTGTGCCTATGCTAACAATATTCTCCTGTAGTATGAGGGTCCACTGGCAGGACATCGTATTGTGAGGTGCACATTGACAACTTTTGCTAAAGCTCACTGATAGACTACTGACTCGCACTACAAAGTCAATAGCCTACCATTTCCCCTCCAAGGTTTGGAACCATCCTTATTTTAGCAGGGGTTCATAATTGGTCTCAGTCAGGTTTCACATTATGTGTGTGGTAAGAGGTTATTCTGCATTTGGCTTTTCTTCAAAGTGAACTGATACGATCCAAGTCATTAGTCATTTGCCCTGGACCGACATCCAAACTGGATAGTATCAGTTCTCCATTGTTTTTGTTGTCCACAACTGACACCAAAGCTTACAGTGTTACCTGGCTCTGACCCTGTTCCATTCCTCTTTTCCCATTCCAAAATAGTTTGACCACCGGATCTCAAAACAAAAGAAGTACAACTCCATTGGCAGAGGTCATGTAAGAAATATATCAAAGCTGATTGATATCTTAATCGGTAACCATCTAGGTCTTTTAACAAATGTCACAGGTCAAGACCTCAGTCACCACTCATCAAGTATATCTTCTGTTCATTGATAAGTAAGGATTCAACTCTGACTTTTTTTATAACCCCCACTATCGCCTACTATGCCTCCAATCACTCGTTAACGCTATTTCCTTCAAGTTTTTTGACAAGTCCCCATCCAGAAAGTTGCACTGTATTGTATGGTTCAGTGACAAGATATATCCTGTCATGGTCTATGTTTCTGTCTATTGAAGACTAGTCTTTGATAATATGGCCAAACTCGATCCCATGGCCAGCCTATATTCCATGGTTAAAAACTTGATTCTATGGCTGAACTCAATCTTGTCATATCCTATAGTACCGCCAAATTTGATCCTATACCACCAAGCTCAATTACATACTGCTGAACTCGATTGATCAAACTCAATTATATACTGCCAAACTCGATCCTTTACTGCTATACTTTATCCAAGTCCACGATACACAGTGCAAATCCCCGCATACAGAAATAGTAGTGTCAAGCTACCACTATGTCTTTCTTTCATTGGACTTCAAGATGATCAATTTTTGTCATGGTTACCCATCTGTCATTGTTCTTGCAGATGGTGTTGACAATGAGATTGAGGTAGAGAATGGGTGGGGCATTGATGAACTACATAATTCATGTGTATTGTAACGAGCGTTTTTGTATAACTCGCATACTATCCAATGCAATTTCCTGGCCAATCAAGTATAAAACCCATAATATCACGATACCAATGAAGCGATGATCTGTATATTGGTACAGATGGCAAGAATTTGTATTTCTGTTACTTATTGGATGGGGAGCCTCTGCGTTAGAAATACTAAATGAGAGACACTTTGTTGAACATGTTTCATCACTTCAGAACAGTTTTAGTATTGTCACAACTTGATTCATGATACTTGTTGGTCATAGGGGATAGTGTTCTATACGTATATATGCCTATATATCTTGCGCTGCCAGATTTTAGCCAAATATGGATATTATCTACATGATAATGTGTATATAAAGGTTGATAACGAACATTGGTTTTTAGTGATGAGGGATGACCGTAGTCTCTCTCGCGTGGCGAGATGATGGTCCAGGCAGGCATTATTGCAAGCGCAGAATATGCTGGTAGTGGAAAAACATCAAAATTCATCGTGGCACGCATTTAGCGTAATTTGTGTTCTTACATTGTCGCGATGTCAACATCTCAAATTTTGGCGAGTTCTTATGTAACGGATATGAGACCGTGTCTGTTCCTTGACACACCTACAGATTGACCTGCCATTACTCGTGCCTTTGCTTATCGCCAGATGATTTCAGATACGGTACATTCTCGATTTTCAAGTCGACTGTTTACTTAGTGCGCAATCATAGTTCGAGGTCGACTACGCAGTAATAAGAAGAGTGTTCTCAGTCGAATCGTCTGTACTAGTACATACTACAGAGAGCTGACCGTTTGAGTTCAACAGAACCCTCAAGTGATCAGCTGCCTTGTTTCAAACTTCGTCCTTGGCATTGGCATCCTGTTAACTGTCCCATCCTCCCACACCTGGCCCACGCCATAACACAAGTTTCGTTCGCAGCATACACCTCCTGTTGACGCATTAGCCAAATCATACCCTCGATAGATATGATAAATATACCAACAGCCTTCTACGTATATTTCGTTGCCAAAGCTTGCACCACACTCCACGAGTTGCCCACTGTCCCCCAGCTCTCTGTCTGGCCCCACGTCTGGGCATCCCATTGCTCCCCAATCACAATCATGGTATTCGCGACAGCCGTTGCATTGTACGCAGTGCCATTTTCCTTCGTTCCGACCAGGTAATCTATAAACGTCTCCCACCGTGGCACGTAATATCCGCCAACGAGGCCACCCCACTGCTTGGATGCGTAATCGTTGATCTCACCTGTGGGACCCCACAGTGTGATCTGATTCCGTGCATTGTACTCAAGGAATGCAGCATACGACGCGTTTCCATATGCCAAGCTCCTAGCTGCACTAATCCAGTTCGCGAGAAGAGAGTAGTCGTCCGTGAGTAGAAGCTCGTCCAGGTCGTGCAGTAGCTGCAAGAGAGGTTTACTGGCTGCAGCGACAGTTGCACTGCTGGATGCATTCGATGTGTACGTGGCGACAAGTGTTTCGTAGAAGGTGATAAAGCGGTTCGCGAGAAGCTGGCGTGTGACATCCACAAGATCGTATTTGAACTCGGGAATGTTCAACAACGAATTGGACTCATAGCCTGCTTGTATCAGCATCTGCAAGGCAGGAACAACGGTCGTGTTTGTGTCATAGAACACTACAGTCGGGAACCCCGTCTGATTAACAAGCCCGCTGAGTGCAGGTGCTAGCTCTAGGATACTCTTCACAGTGGCTTGCGAAGATGGATCTTGGTTGCTGTAAACTGTGGCCCCCAGGATCTCCCATGCATTTACAGCAGACGAAGGGAGGCCAGAGACGTGGTATCGCCTTGATACCCAAGACGACACATACGATGTCCTGTTAATGGCGGTAGGAGACCAAGCCTGATCAAGCAGGACATCATAAATGATCTCGTTCCCTTCCATGCCCTCAGGCGTCAAGCCCATGCCAACCATCGAGGAACCAGGTGATGTCAGAGCACGCAGTGGCTCCGCGGTAACATTGACAAAATTCCCTTCAAAGCCCATGTTGCCGCCAAAGTCGTGTAGTTCGCACCAGACCCATTGCTTTCCATAGTACGAGCTCAGTCGCTCCCACTGAGGTTGCGCCTCGCTATATAAATCGAGGATGATCATACTATCGTTCCCCGGAATACCACCGAGATACGCTTGCACGCGCTCGGTGGTCCAGAACGTTTCGTCGCTGAAGAACAACCAGCCTTGCATGAGCCAGATAGCCTCTGGGTCTGCTGCTCGCAGACTTGCAAACGTGGCTGAGGAGACGTTCTGAAGATATGCGGGATCACCACTATAAGGATCATTCTCGTTGTATTGGTCCAGCGTGTAGATATGAGAGACGCTCCCATATGCAATGATCTGTTTGTCAATCAAGGACTTTTGCAAAATCGCAAAAAGGGGATCGAAAGGTTCGAGGAACGAATCATTGGTGTATGTAGAGGGGAAGCCGATCCATTGACTGCCATTGACGATAGATGCATTTGGATACAAACTATGCAAAGCACGGGGAACGAATCCGGTGAATGATGGGAGGACAGGGGTCATACCCAGCTCGACCATGCGGGAAATGATTTGCTTTTGCAGTGCGAATTGGTCATTGATCCATTGGGTCGGAAGATCGCCGCACCAGCTGCCTTGTATATTCCCAAACCTGTTCCACGCCTGGAAGGCAGGACCAGACAGAAAGTCTGCGATTTCTGCATCAGTGAGCCCAGCCTCTCGGAAGACTTCTACGAGGATATACTCGTAACCGACCCAAGCTAGAGGGAGGTTGACACCGCGCAACGCGAGCCAGTCAAGAAGCAAAGACCAATCGTCGAATGTGTAGAATGCAGCCGTGTAATCAAACGTGACCGTGTTGAAGAAGTAACGGTAAGGCACGATAGCGCTTCTGGTTACAGGGTCCTTGATGGTGGGAAGCTTGTGAGGGAGCTGGTGAAGTCGCGACCCTGTCCACCAGATATCCACACCACCAAATTCTGTGACATATCTGGTTCGTCAATATGGTAAATTGAGACAAGCCACATCACTTCAATAGCTGAAAATTGACGTACGTATATAGTCCCCTCGCACAAGCACTTATCGTTGTGCACTCGATGTAAATCTGTGTATCTCCTTCACCGTCCGAAGCATCACGAATTGTGAAAGTGTCCAGGTCTAAGCTGGCAGTTGTCGACAGATTAAATGTGAATGCATTGGAGTGACCAGGCATGCGCCTGTTCACCAATGCATAGAGGCCACTAATATCATCGGGATGAGCAGATGTAGAAACAATGCAAGCTATTGCAGCTAAGAAGAAGGTGGACTTGAGGCTTGCGAGAAGGCTCATACTACGACCCAACTAAACCACAGATCTTAGTTGGGGGCCGCCTAGTGCTCGGGTAGAGCCTTGAGAAAGAGTGAGTTGCACATATTTACGTCAGGTCGACTACGCATGACTCCAAGGCAGGAATATTGTGTTGATAGTGGCTTGATAGTGGCTGTATGTTCTTGAGGTGATAAGTATTACATAAGAGTAAGCTCCGAGTTCATGATAGAATCGATATCGATAGTAGACTCCGAGGTTGATCCGAGCTGCTTAGCAAGTTGAAAGCGAAGCGAATTATCGATCTGTGAACTTTGAACGGTTTGGGACTCCAACGACAGTGCTTACTTCAAGTTTTGTCGGCGTCAGCAATAGGCAAGGACTGGAATATGGAGAGAAATAAGTAGCTTTGATAGAAACGATGGGGGACTCAGTGCCCAAAGGTTATTCGGAAAATACCGGGAAGTGACGCCGGATGGCCAGTGTGTCTTCAAGTTATTGAATCTTAACTATCATAATCACTGGCATGCCATCCTACTGTCAGCCTCAGCTCACCCTCCTGCAACCACAGCGACAATGCGGCTGGCCGCTGACGGTTTTTTCCTCCATCACGATGACTGTCTCGATCCCTGCGAGTCTCTCCATAATATACTTATTGGTTCCCACCTTTCACATTGCCCACCACCCTTCTGTCACGACTGACGTGGACGGCGGGAATCCTGGCGGTCGCTGTTCGTGATGATGTAAGACAGCAGATTGACAGCCCGAAACTTTCCGACAAAGCCCTGTCCCCGGACTTAGTACTTCAAGTTATCCCCAGACTTTGTCGCGGAGTCTGCACAGACCTCACCTTTTGCGCATTGCTGTGAGCTGATTGCTCACTATACGCTTACACTATCACACTTCACGTGACACATCCCCTTATATTCCTCGATCTTTGTACTACGAAGATCAGACTCGGGTCTCCTACCTACCATCACCTACGCATTAGTACAACGTTCAAAGAATCCACAGTTTCGTCCTGTTACCTTCGCCTGATCCGTTCAGTGTTCCTTGTCGTTCTCCCGGACAAGGTTCCACTTTTTTTTTAACAGAAACGGAACTGGTTCGATTTATCTAAACAACTATCCCCGAACTCGCCGGGCTATCCGCCCATTATCTGACCAGTCAAACTGCCTTCTAAACGAAGGAAACCTACCGTCCTCACGCCTCTGACCACGCGACAGCGTGCGAAGAACTATAGACAACACGTCCCTGTCGAACCACCCTTATCTCCCCTGACCCCAATATCATCGGACGTCGCACCAAGCGCGCGCATCGCTCCGAAGAAGATATATTACGATTCCTCCTTGGATTCGGAACCAAACCAGACGCATATACTCCCCTCCCGCTCCCGTAAAATGACGAAATCTGCTACCGTCGAACAAACTGCCCCCAACAAACCTCCGAAACTTACGGCAGGCGAAATCACTCCACAAGTCGCTTGTGACTGGGAGAACGCCTGCAACACGTATTTCTTACACAAACAAGTCGACGCGCCAGACCAAGTCAAAATGATAGCTTCCGGAATGACAGACCCACGCTTACGCAGTTGGTATCTGACCCAACGAGCAACCCTCGATGCAGGTACCTTCTCAGAATATATGGTCGCCCTCAGAAGCGCGTGGCTTGAAAGTCACTGGGCAACCAAGTTGCGCAAGAAGGTCTTAGGCTCGCAGCAAGGCAGCCGCGGCTTCTATGAATGGGCCTTAGACCTGCAAAACCTAAACACCTTACTATACGGAAACCCCACACATCTCTCTGACGTTCAATTATGGAATCAACTCGAAGCTAATATCTGCGATGAGCTCACCGTCCCCGTACTCAGAGCTAAACTCACTGACGACCTATCTCTCAAGGAATGGATCGAAGAGGTCAAGCATCTCGACGACGAACGTCTTGAAGACTTAGCCTCTCAAAGGAAGATCGCCGAAGAGATTCACAGGTCGTCGAAGAGAACCACGTCTACTGCAAACAAAACATCATCCTCATCTTCAAAGACATATAACGCCTCGTCGCCTCGTCTAGGATCGCTTACAGAAACAGAACGCGCTTTATTGATGAAGCACAAAGGTTGCTTCAAGTGCAGGAAGTTCTATGTCTTGCATCAATCCAAAGACTGTACAGACGGCGCACCTGACACATCTTCCTATAAAACTCTCACAGAATCTGATGCCAACGCAGCCAAGCCCAAAACGAAGCCTGTAGCAGCAGTCGGACCAGTGGGAGCTGTGATGCCATCATCTGTCCTTGACGATGGATCCGATTCTGAAGATGACATGTGCGTAGCCCCTTTCGAAACCGCCCACCTTATATGGCCCTGTCACTTGACAGGCCCTTCTTCTGAATTTCCCGAACGTTTCGACACTTTGATTGACCATGGGTCACACTTAGTTCTGATTGACGAAAACATCGTTAATCAACTCGGCCTGCGCAAGCGCAAACTGCATACAAAGATACAAGCAAATTCTGCTTTCATGAACAATTCTTCTTCTTCTTCTTCTTCTTCTTCTTCTTCTTCTTCTTCTTCTTCTTCTTCTTCTTCTTCTTCTTCTTCTTCTTCTTCTCTTCTTCTTCTCCTTTTTCATTCTCTGAATACGTTATCTTGTCTCCGTCGTCTGTTAATCATGATTGGACTTCACGCGCAATACGCGCAATTATTGCACCAGAACTTGCCGTTCCCCTCCTCCTCAGAGGTCCCTTCTTATCACACAATTGTCTTGTTATAGATCACGATGTTCGCACCTGTATTGCCAAAGATTCAAACTACGATCTTTTAAACCCTCCCGCATATGAAAAACGAGTGACTCCACATGTTCCGACGAACCACGAGATCCGTCAACTACGCAAAAACATCGTTAAAGAACTCAAAACTGTCTTAAGTGAATGACGCGATGAAACGAACATCGTGTCGAAAACACCCAACATCGTCGCTCTACTACACCAACGTATTGAAACTCTCGCATTCATTGAGGCGAACAAAGAATGCCTCGAACGCCTCGATAAGGAAATGCGTCGTAAGTATGAAGACAGGTTCCCAGACGATATCCCGCATATCAATGAACTACCTACCGATGTCGTTCACCACATCAAATTGAAAGATCCGAACACGATCATCCAATGTAGACGTTACAACACTCCCCGAAAATACCGCGAAGCCTGGGACACGCTGCTCAATCAGCACATCGCTGCAGGACGACTTCGCCCATCATCAAGCTCCTTCGTTTCACCTGCATTTCTCATACCAAAAAAGGACCCTACCGCTTTACCTCGATGGGTAAATGATTACCGCGCACTAAACGCAAACACCGTGCCCGACAACCATCCATTACCACGAATCAACGAAATTTTACGAGACTGCGCCAAAGGTAAAATTTTCGGCAAAATTGATATGACCAATTCCTTCTTCCAGACGAGAATCCACCCTGACGATATCAAATATACCGCCATCGACACACCCAAAGGATTGCACGAGTGGACAGTAATGCCACAGGGAGGAAGGAATGCTCCCGCAACACATCAACGCCGCATGTTCATCGCCTTACGAGGCCTCATCGGCAAAATATGCCATGCCTACCTCGACGATATCATTATTTGGTCGCAAACTGTCGCTGAACACGCCAAGAACGTCAAATTAGTATTGGACGCGCTACGAAAAGCTTCACTCTTCTGCTCACCCAAGAAAACGTCACTCTTCTGCACGGAAATCGACTTCCTCGGACATCGAATCTCCGCATCCGGAATCGAAGCTGACGCAACAAAAGCTAAACGAATCCTGGATTGGCCCATACCCAAGTCAACGAATGACGTACGTTCCTTCCTAGGGCTCGTCCGCTACCTGGACCAATTCCTACCAAGTCTCGCGGACCACACTCGCTTACTGACACCATTGACGACAAAAACTGCTGAACACGAATGGCCAGGCTGGAGCAACGAGCATCAGACGGCCTTCGACGCAATCAAACAATTGGTCGTCAGTCGTGACTGTCTCACGACGATAGACCACGACGACCTCGGAACAAACAAAATCTTCGTTACCTGCAATGCAAGCGACTGGCGCGTTGGCGCTATGCTTAGCGTGGGTCCAACACCACAAACGGCGCGCCCGGTCGCCTTCGATTCCATGCAACTACAAACAGCTCAATTAAACTATCCGGTACATGAAAAAGAATTGTTAGCAATTGTACGCGCCCTCAAAAAATGGCGCATCGAGCTACTCGGCACTCCTTTCACCGTGTACACCGACCACAGAACTCTGGAGAACTTCCTCACCCAGCGCGAACTATCACGCCGACAGGCACGCTGGCAAGAGTTCTTCGGTCAATACGATTTCGACATACAATATATTCGTGGCGAGGACAACACAGTCGCAGACGCACTGTCACGCCTACCACCAGAGGATGTCATACCCACGTACGCCAAGCAAACCATCAACATGCCCGCGAATGTCATAAAGTCCTTAACACCCGTCGCTCTCGTATTATCGATCACACCAGACGCGTCACTTTACGACGACATCAAAGCTGGATACCTTACCGACACATGGTGCGTTAAACTAACGAAATTGTTAAACTCACTACCAGGACTACAACAACGAGACAGATTGATATACCTCAACAACCGCCTGATCATCCCTCGCGTCACCCACCTTCGCGAAACCATTTTTCGTCTGGCCCACGATCAACTCGGTCATTTCGGGGCCGACAAATCATATGCAAACATACGCGACGCCTACTACTGGCCGAATATGCGACGCGATCTCGAAGAGAGTTACATACCTGCCTGTCCCGATTGTGCACATAACAAAAGCCGTACAACCAAGCCAGCTGGACCACTACACCCTCTACCAATCCCAGACCATAGAGGCGATTCAATCGCTATAGATTTCATAGGCCCATTGCCTGCAGAACAAGGACTCGACAGCATCATGACAATTACCGACCGTCTCGGGGCAGATATCCGTCTAGTACCATGCCGCATGAACATGAACGCGAAGGAAATAGCGAACCTCTTCTTCGATCACTGGTATTGCGAAAACGGCCTCCCTCTAAACATAGTGTCGGACCGAGATAAAATTTTCACCTCCAAGTTCTGGAAAGCACTACATCGACTAACGGGCGTAAAACTCAAAATGTCAACCGCTTACCACCCGCAGACTGATGGCGCGAGCGAACGCACCAACAAGACAGTTGACCAAGCCTTACGATACTTCGTCGACCGTCACCAAACCGGATGGGTCAACGCCCTCCCACGTGTCAGATTCAACCTCATGTCAACAAAAAACGCATCAACAGGATACACGCCCTTCCATCTACACATTGGCAGAACTCCACGCCTCCTGCCTCCACTAACACCAGATAGTATCAACCACGCACGTACAGACTTTCCGAACGACATCTCCAACGCACTCGACGCAATCGTTTCCCTGAAAACCGACGTTGCAGACGCGCACGACGCATTACTCGCATCCCGAATCGCACAAGCGAACGCTGCCAATGCGCATCGTAGCGACGAACCAACCTTCGAAATCGGTGATCTCGTGTATCTTTCAACGGCTCATAGGCGACACGAATATCTGAATGGTAACAACAAACGTGTAGGCAAGTTCATGCCACGTTTCGATGGACCCTACAACATAGTGTCCACAAACCCTGAGTCATCCACATACACTCTAGACTTACCAGAACATACTAACGTTTATCCCACATTTCATGTCTCCGAACTCAAGCGCCACGTGCCCAACAACGCTGAACTCTACCCCTCACGGGAACTTCAACGACCTGGACTGGTCGTCACACAAAACGGGACAGAGGAGTGGGAAATAGAGAAGCTTCTCGACTGCAGAACACGCGGACGAGGACACCAATATCTCGTACGATGGCGCGGTTATGGCCCTGAAGCAGATGTTTGGGTACCAGGCAAAGAGCTCGAAGATACCGACGTGCTAAAAGAATACCATCAATCCCACACCATACCTTCGACAAACTCAACAACCGTCGAAGAAAACTCGCACCATGCGATCCCTCAAACACCGTCTGATGAAAACAAGCCGCAACAAGCGCCAATGGACTGAAGAAAATAAAGCCGCATCACGCGCACCAAACAACTGAGGCGTATCAATTTTTTTAAAGAAAGGAAGGGTGTAAGCTGATTGCTTACTATACGCTTACACTATCACACTTCACGTGACACATCCCCTTATATTCCTCGATCTTTGTACTACGAAGATCAGACTCGGGTCTCCTACCTACCATCACCTACGCATTAGTACAACGTTCAAAGAATCCACAGTTTCGTCCTGTTACCTTCGCCTGATCCGTTCAGTGTTCCTTGTCGTTCTCCCGGACAAGGTTCCAATTGCTAATGAACGAATCAGACCATTTTGAAAAAAGAATCATGATATGTAAGTACTCAGCGCTTCACTGTCTTCTTGTGTTCAAGTTCGCCATGGTATTACCCTCCGTCACGGTAGAGGACGGTGTCGCACTGGCAATCGGCCTCCTGGCTTTGCTTGCAATCACGCGAAGAACGGCGTCAACCCACAGGAAGAACCTGCCTCCCGGTCCTACTCCGATCCCTTTTCTTAGAAATGTATTTGATATCAAAGTCGATGCGCCTTGGATTTGATACACCCAGATGCGTGAGATTTATGGTACCTGTTCTAATTTGTTTCTTTTTATCAATCCTCTGAAATAGACCGCAGGTGATATCATATATACCCGTGTCCTGAACATGGAGATCATTGTTTTAAATTCCGAGGAAGTTGCAGATGAATTACTTGAAAAACGATCTCGAGTCTACTCTGACCGACCATACATGGCTACGAGCGACTTGTGCGTACTATTTGAATCCAATCAGTATGATATATCACTCGCAAACTATTGTTTCTACAGATTCGGCTGGGAGTGGTCCACACCGCTGGCAAGATACGATGAAAGGTTCAGAATCCATAGGCGCCTTTACCATCAAGTCCTTCGATCGGAAACAGCTTTAAAATACTGCCCGAGGCAATTGCGGAAAGCATATAAAATGCTCACGCACATTCTTCATAATCCTGCAAACTATGCTGGCCACTTTGAAGTGTCGGTAGTTAATTATGTTTTATCCGAACTGTGAAATCAGACTACTTGACAGGTTTGCGGCATCAGTCATAATGTCAGTTGTATACGACCACAACATTACATCGCGCGATGATATCGTCCTGAAGCGTGCAATGGATTTATTCGTACTAAAGGTTGCAACCCCAGAAAAGGCAGCTTTATTATGTGCATTTCCGTTCTGCAAGTGCCTTATAGCCTATTGCAATCGAGCCAAACAATATAGTAGCATTTATGCGCGGTTTATTCGTGGTAGCGAAGAAGTTGCCTTCGTGGGTCCCTGGCCTAGGTCTGAAAGACGCAATGCTATCGAAGCAGTATGTTAAGGATGTGCTTGACATGCCATATCACCATGTCAGCTACAACATGGCAAGTTGAACTTTCAAAAGTCTGCGAGGAGATATGCTGACTGCACAAAACAGGCAAATGGATCTACTCAGGCGTCCATGGTTTCGGACGCGATGGAAAGATATCACATATCAGAAGACGTAGATAACCCGGAGATGGTGACAGAGATCAAAGCCTCTGCTGCTTCTGCTTATGCTGGTGCGTGCAGCTCAGTCACCGCCATATTGTCATTTTCCTGACTTGCTCATCTTCTGAAACAATATTAGCTTCTGTAGAGACCGTATGTCTGATTTACATCAAGCGTTTATTCAAAGACAGCTCAGTATCTCTCAGACTGTCTCATGTCTGCTCGTGTTCATCCTGGCGATGATTAACAACCCAGAAATTCAAGAACGCGTGCAAGCAAAGATCGACAAGGTTGTCGGCATTGACCGTCTCCCTAATTTTGATGACCTTCCAGCGCTCCCGTAGGTTGGGGCACTGATAAGAAAAGTGAAAAGATGGCATCCCATGACACCAATGGGTGAGTGTGACCTTCCGAACGCGTTTAGAATGTCAGAGGTTGCCGAAGCATACCTTAGCCATCCCTCATTCGAATACGGAAGACGACTTCTACAGAGGTTACTTCATTCCAAAAGGTGTGAGGTCATAGCTCTGTTAGATATTTTTCATACGATCATAACTGAGCGGCAATCACACCCAATGTCTGGTTTGTGGTGCAGTTCAATTTATGCCGTCCCTTTTGTTCTGAACGCTACCTCCAGGGCCATGGCTCGCGATCCGAAGAAGTATCCTGACCCAGAATCCTTCCTGCCTGACCGGTTTTTGAACACTGACGGCATGTTGAAGATACGCTGCCATGGACATTCGGCTTTGGTCGCAGGCGCTGGTAATGCATTGTATCTACATATCACCGAGCCGCTCTAATCATTTCATCTTGAAGGCCTGGCAGGAACGCTGCGGATGCGCCGCTTTGGGCCGCAATTGTATGCATGTTAGCCACCTTCACACATCAAGAAACCTATCGGGCAAGAACCACAAGTGAAATGGGCATCAGGGCTTACTTCGTAGGTGTCACTGTATGCATGGTATCCAACATATCTAAGGACGAAACACTTGATCCCGCGGAACCAATTCGCGTGACTCTCCTGTCTGTGCTCCACCTGAGCTCCACATGCTGCCCGATTTGCTTGAGCGCTCGCTATCGCTGTGCGCTCGGCAGTCTCCTATTTGCGTGGGCGGTTCGCTTATCTCCATGTCTCTACTCCTCCTTTTACAATTGCACACCACCGAGCTCCACATGCGATCGCACGTTTCTCTCCTAACTGTATTCCTCTGCTTTTATCACCATGGCCTCTGCATGCTCATTTCACGGCGTCATTGCTACTCGTTATGCTTTGGAGCCGAAAAAAAACGTTTTGGGAGATGGATGGCTTTGTACCTATGTCTTATGATCCAGAAGATGGCGTTGGAGATCTTCCCGAGACATTCGATCGCTATTCGGAAGAGAGAAAGAGGAAAAGACAACGGCAAACGTAGTGTACAGACATCTCTTATTGTGATTGACGGTGGAAAACGTCCGAAGGTGTAAGGAGCACTTGTATATATTAAGCTGAAGTCGCAGCAGGCACCCCCTTCCCTTCCCATGTCAATTTGTGCCCAGGATCCGAAAGCTCATGGCTCGCAAGGATTGACAAGCCTAGTTCAGAACAGTTCTCTGTAAGGTAAATACTTCGCAGCGGCTTTTGTATCGGAATAATCACGGATCAGCTGTCTGCGTTCAAGCCCGGGATACTAGTTCACTGCACACTTAGGGGCTACTTCGGCGACAGTGGTAGATTTACAATCAATGCTCCGTGCTTACATTGTTTAGATGTGATGCAAGCTATCGACGAAGAGTTTTACTAACAAGAGCTTCATAATAACTTCAGCTATCGATAATTGAGTATACCACCGGTATCGGTACTAGTGTCGATTTTCTTTACAGAACACCTCGACAGCGATAATAACTACATCAACGAATGATCGGATGATATCTCTAAAATATAAGCAACGTAATGCAAATTAGCTGTAAGGTAAGTATCGTAAAAGAGGCTCCGAACGAAGGCTGCCCTAGCTAGCCAAGCATGCGGAATCGGATAATCGTCCGTCGACCTAGTAGAGACCTGTGCGAGTCGTCAGGAATAATTGCGACCTCCAGCTCCCCAAACACCGGTTTCATATATGGGACATGCGATGATGAAGTGTCGCCTTCTGAGGGCGTAGGAGCGCCATTATCCGTCGAGTTCGGTAAAGGACGGAGGGGGACAATCAGCTCTAGGGCACATTTATATCGCATGATAACCCCTCCAGACTTGATTATAAAACCTTCCGTTGGCCTACAGGGTAACCGACATCACCCGTTCGACTGCAGCTCGCACAACTTAAAAAATCACTTACTTGAATTCAGTGAGGAGAGTACTATCAAGCTCCTTGACAACCAATGCAGCGTCTTTTTGCATCTCCGCCTCCTGACTGTGCTCAGGGCCACATTTACCCTGGCTATTGGCCTGGTCTCCCCGCTGCCCGGTCACCGTCGAATATTCACCATCAAATGCAAACAATACGGGATCAAGCCTCGACAGCGCTTTCTCGCCTGCTGTCTGAAGCTTCACGCGTAAGTACAAGATCTGGGCTTCCATGAACCGCCCCAGCATCGCGCTAAACTCCGATAACAGCACGCTGCGGTTTTGAAAGGTGGGAAAGGGTGAGACTGCCGATGATGAAGTCTGCTCCACTGGATCTTCCAAGTCCAGGATGTCTCCAACGGACGACCGTCTTGCGGTGTCACGAGCATGCGCGCGGCAAGCTCCGCAGCATTTCCAACGGTATTTGCTCACAGGCTGTAGTCTTGCGCGGCAGCGAGGAACAGCGCAGATGCGCAAGCCTTCCGCTGTGGTTGCCTCGTCATTTTGTGCCTGCATCTATTGTCAGCGATGCAAGGTGAAAAAAAAGCCTAAAAATGTCCTACCTCCAGAAGAGGTATCTCTGACCCAGATGGAGGTGCAGGAGGCTTACGAACGAGAGTAGACCCATGAGCTATCTGAGCTAAAATAACGGAGGCTTAGCTTGGGCGATTCCAAGAGCAACAATTGCGCTCACAAAACTCCTCCATACGACGGCGTGCTCTTTCCGCACGAATCCTCTGGTACTCCCGTTGGTATCTCCGACACGAATCACAGATCTTGTAGCGCTGATCCGGACGCAATACAATGTTGCACCGCTTGATGGCGCACACGCGCGCATTGGCGCCGACAGGAAGTCGAGACGCGAGCACAGGTATGCGAATCTTGAACACGGAGGAGTCTTCGGCATCAGAGTCGGACTCGACTTCTTCGTCTTCCGAAGAAAGGTTCGTCAAGTCGCTGTCCCATCCGGAGATGGAAATCTTGATGGTTTCAGGTTCCGCGGTGGCGTCTCTACCGCACTCAGTATTGAGTGTACTAGAAGTTCTTGCGGCTACCGCGGTATCAACGTCAACCCGTCCATCAGGAAGCTCCAACAATGGTAGTGTGTCTACGGCATTAAGGACTGCTTCCTGTGAATGTAAAGATAATGCTCCTGGCTCGTTGCTCGTCGCAACTCGATCCACTAGGGTTGCTTCTAGTGTATTGAGTGACGCAGGCCCACCACCACCCATGACCTCGCCAGAATTCGAGGCAACCTCATATTTACCGACCACCGGCGAGGCGGGTTCCATAACTGCACTTACAGCAATAGCAGCCCGCTGGCGCTCTTTCCAACGCTGCAAGGTGCAGTGATAGCACCTTTGCCATGTAGCTGACGGTGACACGGTTCCTCCGCACCCGAGCGTTTCACACGTGCGCTATAAGAATCCTTAGTATAATACGTATAGAACAGTGCTCGAACACAACTGACTGTGACTGGCTGAGGGCTTGGAGAGCGGGTGGGGGGGCTGTGAGCCAGGGGTAAAAGTAACAAACGTCCACGTTCCAAGACAGCCTCTGGAGGTGAGACAGGATCACCGACCGTTTTTGCCGCCGAGTCGACAGAACTTCGTGCTGCAAGCTCCTCATCCTACACGTGGGTTCAGACTCAGTGATCTCGAACTTACATCTCACTAACCTCAGGGTACATCAATTCAAGGTCCAAATCATCGTCAGTGTCCGCAGACTCTTCCGGTGGGTGCTGCATAGGAGCCTCAGCCCTCTGCGCAGCATCTACATCCCGCTTTAAATTATCGTTTCTCAGCTGCAATCTAGACAAAGTATGTAAAACTTTACCTTGACTTTCGAGATGAGCACCCCCGAGGGAAATTCATCCCTCCTCATGCGCTTCGGAAGGCGCTGGGGAGGAGGTGGGGGCGCAGGCATGCCACGGCCAAACCCCAACCGCAAACATGCCTCGCAAAAGTTGAAAAGCTGGTCGGGCGCTAGCTGCACACCACAACCGAAGCGCATACACACACGGACAAGTGCCGTGGACATCACGGGCGGCACAACGACCTGACATCAATCATGGGTAGAGTTCATATAAGGGAAGAATTCATTGATACTCACAGGCACAGGGGCGGGGGAAGGGGCGACGATTTCTCCGCGGGAGCTGAAGAAGCAAGGGCGGGGTGGGTCGCGGGTGGGTCGCGGGGTGGTTCGATGATAGGGAATGTGATTAAATTTGGTGGAGGTGGTGGGTGCACAGTGTTGGAAATTGGATCGATACGCCTTGTGGGCTTTAGTTTGATGCCCTCTTGCCGCGTTCGACATGCAGGACAGAGTGTGTAAGAGGTTGTGGTGGTTTTTGGTACTTCAATGACAATTTGGCACGCAACGCATGTCGAAAAGAGTCGTCCCTAGAAACATAGTCAGGATGATCCTACAACCCAGGCACATCGTGGGCATATGTTACAAGACACGACACTCACAGATTGCCCATGCCTCGCCGGGTCTTGGCTCGCCAGGAGAGTCTCTCCTGGCGAAGGCATGACCGCTCTGACCCGAAACTGGCAGTCATCACATACTATCCATGGAAAATCTTGTGGCAAAACGAAACCGCACTTGGAGCATATCCGGATGCGAGGTTTTGACGCTTGCGATGGGATGAAGGCGGGAGCAGCAGGAATTCTCAGAGAATTCGCTGGGGGGCCTTCATTCAACAACATGCCTTAGTATACGGCTACACAAGACCAGGGTTTGTCATGACATCAAAAAACGGCAAGATATCAATATTAATATCTGGATACATACTCAGCACTGATCACGCATAACAGAAAGGTTCAGAGTCAGAGAGTAATCGCAGGTGAACGTGAACCGCCAGCAAGCAGCCCGTGGATAGAGAGAAGTAGGGGACAGTCTGTTGAAAATTGAGCTTACCAGCCAGCTGCGAAGCTAGGTCACGAATTGCGGCATCGAATTGGAAAAAATATCTAAGTTAGTTCGTCAAGACAAATTTTACAATTCCCGATTGGATCCTCATTACAACCTAGGGTGTCGCTACTCGCTAGTCAGACCCAATGATACAAGAAGACAGTCGTAGGTGTCACAATACATAATTAATTCTTATATCACAAACATACGGTTGAGTACTACGACTCGGGACCTCCCTCCCTCTTTGACTTGTCGTAACACTCCAATGTTACACTCGCCAAAAATCCAGGTATGCACTGCTCCTCATTCACCCAGAATCGCATCAGCTGCGGGAGATCTTGCGGACCACCTTCGCCTTGCGCAATAAGCTGCATCCTCGCTCCTTCTCCGTTCTCGCCGGGTTTCGTTAAAGGTTGGAACACAAACGACGCAGAGAGATCGTAGATCGACGTCACGCGGACTTGCCCGTTGGGGTAAAACGCAAGCTTCAGCCCGAGTATTGACGCAATCGCTTCTCGGAACTCAGCGCTCTTCGCAGTGAACACCTACAGAATCATGGACACGGTCCACCATCAATTTTGGGCAGGAGACATAAGGAGGTATGATAAAACACACGCACCTGCTGCAAGCGTAAGAGTCTCTTCTCTTTCTGCTTTACCACTTCCTCGAGCTCCTTCTTTTCCTTATCGAGCACTTCCCAGCTTTCCCTGGGAACCAAATCGTCGCGCGGAGCCTGACCGTCGGCTACCACGGCTCCGCTGCTCTCAAGCTCACGCAGGCGCTTGATGAGCGCTTCGTTTTCGCTCTTGAGACGGTCCATCACCGACTGTCGGAGATCATTCCACTGCTGCGCCGGATTGTCACGCAGACACAGCACACGCATGCCTGGTGGGACATGGTTCCCGGCACCGATGTTGCCGCGGAGCTCAAATAGCGTTTGTTCGAGCTTCTCAATCTGGTCTTCTTGCTGCGTCAGATTTGTTTCCGCTTCTTGCAGACCTGTATGTATGGCATTTGAGTGAGGAGCGATACAAGTGTGGATGTGTTGAGTCGTACCTTTCATTGCCTTGTCTGCTGCAGCTCTATGTGCGTCAATCTCGCGGACGAGATCCTTGCGTGTGCGTTTTGACCCTCCGATGGCATTATCAGCCTCGGCAGCGTCCAGTGCACTCTGTAACCGAGAATTTTCAGATTTGTAGTCGGCTATAGACTGTTCAAGATGCTGGATGCGCTGCTGAGAAAGACTATCTATAGCTGGCGACTCGCGTGCAGCTGATTCCTCAGCAGTGAAACTGGCCTGAGATCAGGTGGTAAGCTACTAAGATCCTGGTTCAATTTGCAAACACTTACGACGAGGGCTTGGAGGAACCTGGCTTCTCGTTCCGCAAGTTGAGTCCGTTGTTCCCGTCTTACTACCTTTTCTTTCAGTGCTTGCACCTCTGCTTGTAGGACATCCGCAGCCTCACAAGCCTCGGACGCTATCTTATCGACATTAGATAGCTCGGCCTCGCGGCGGCGATGGAGCGCCATGTTTGCGCCATGTTCCTCCATTAGCCGTGCGTTCTCTAGACGTAATGCTGACAGATTTTGCACCACGGAGATGGAAGTTTGTGACGATGTGTTGGATTCGCTGGTTTTGCTTGCCCTAGAATATATAAATCAGCTTTCGAGTAGGGACTTGGGGCTGTACTTGCCAATCTTCCCGCTCCTGTCGAGCAGCTTCAACTTGAGCCTCTAGCTTGGCGACTTTCTCTCGAAGCCCTTCCATAATAACCACCTTGCTTTCCAAAGTACGTTTCTCTTCCCGAAGGACTTCTACACTGGCATGCCGGTCTTTGTACCTTGCAAGTTCATGTCGTGAGTTTTGCGTTGATGGATTCGAGAGAACGGAGGTATCCTGCTTGTCGCTGCAGTTCGTCTCGCACAACACTCCAATTCTCGTTCTCATTGGAAGTTTTCACAGAAGAGTCAGTGGCAGTATGAGCATCGTCCAGTTGTTGTTGTAAATCGTGGACTGCAGCGCCTCGTTCCTCTGCAATAGCCCTAAGTTCTGCGACTTCTTGCTCCAACGCAGCGTTTTGGCGAGCGAGAACTGAAGACTGCGCTTTCTGGGAAGCAGATAATTGCGAGTGGCTGCGAGAAAGATTTGAGTGTTCGTCCTCGAGTTCGGCTAGGTTCTCTCGAACTGCAGCGAGGGAACTGCGTAGCGCCCGAAGTTCTGACTCTGCCTTACGCTGCAGAACAACGCTGAGGACCAACAGGACGCGCGCAGAAGTGACGCACCTTTTCCTCTTCTCTCTCCGACTGCTCCTGCAATTTTTCCTCGCGTTCCTTTTCCTCTCTCTCCGCAAACCACCTTCTATCTCTTTCTAGCCTTTCTATCGCGACATCTTTTTCACGGAGTTTGGTCTCGAGCTCGAGTTTACTGGCCTGTGCAGCGAGCAGTTGGCGCTCGAGAGAGGCGTTTGCCACATGGGAGCTGAATGCATTAGAGCGCTGCTGACGCTTTGCTGTCGAGTGTTGTGGGTCTGCAATTTGCTTGGGGTCAGGTTTCTCTGGATATGAGCATCCCGAAGGCGTGTCTCCGGCCAGTGAACTCACCCCGTTCGAGCTCTGCCATTAGAGAGTCGCGTTTAGTGACAGCTGAACGTGACGACAGCAATGAACCCTTTGTAGCCGGTTTTGAGAACGTCGAGCTTCCATTGAACATCGTTGACGTCGCTGTCAAAGGAAGCGATCAGGCTTTGTTTGCACAGCCACGAATCGGGTTTTCATTTCGAAATTCATCAGCTTCGAAACAAGGCAAGCGCTCGTATCTCCAACTTGACGCATTCCTCACCATGAACTCAAACGATGCCGAAGGAGGAGATGAATTTTATGATGAGCTCGAGCTCAACGGCAACGACTCAAAGAATGGTGGCAACGGCTACATACTCAGGAATGTCCTCAAGCTTCCCCGTGCTACGACCTACACAACACAAGCACTCTATGGTGCGCCTCTTGGTTGCTGCGCGCAAATTTTCTTGCGTATGAACCCTCGTTGACTCTGTTGCAGAGCAAATCATTGGCAGCGACATTGACTTGGACCCGGAGTACCAAAGAGGTTCGTGAAGGCTATCACTATCCAAGTCTGATTGACCAGAGCAATGTTCCTGCAGATGTTGTCTGGCCGGAGGCGAAGCAAATCGGCCTTATCGACTCTATACTTCGCAATTTTTACATTCCGCCCGTAATCTTTGGTGAGGGCAACTACTCAGACGCCACGTAGCACGTCGCTTATTTCCCGTCTGTTCATCCTCTAGTTTCGCACCAACATGATGATGGCTCGGAAAGCAAGACGTGTATCGACGGAAAGCAACGGCTGACTTCAATACAACGGTACATTTCCTCGACTGTCCATTTTGCTGAACGACTGACTATCATTTCTCTTTGCCACCGCAGGTTCATGGATGGATTGGTTGGTCATATTCACTGTTCCGTGCTACTCAGAGCTCATATGTTTCCTTAGATTCATCGTTAGTAATTATTATCCTTCTGTTTTCGTTTATAATAATCATCATAAACCCTCGGCAGACAAAGACCCGTAAGTAATACATATTTTTTCTAAAAAATGATGATTCCCCGGCTTCTATTAACACTACACGACATAGTGAAACCAATGACAAGTACTGGTACAAGTCGACCGTCGAAAACCAACAAGGGCGCTCACCGGGCCGCATGCTGCCTGAGAGATATCGACGCTTATTTGCAAATAAACAGATCGTATGCATAGAATTTCAGGACCTTCCTGATTCTGAAGAACGCGAAATCTTCCAGGTGAGCCCTCACGCCTCATTCTATAATTTTGTCGCTTATCCACATCCAGAGAGTACAACTCGGGATGGCACTCACCCCTGCGGGTCAGTGCATACTTGGCTGGCACTCGCATTGTCAACTCACCCTCTTCTTAGAGAAATTGCAGGTGGTGAATACCTCTATGGCTAGCTTCGTGCGAAAGGTAGAAGCAGAGTATTTCACAGAAGGAAAGCCTCTGGGCGGCCGCGCCCTAGATTGGGACCGTTCCCGCGGCGGCGACTTCCGGTGCATCGCTCAGGCGCTGTATTGTATCTCAAAGTACCCTTCCCTCAACTCAGTGGGTACCGTTGGGCAGATAGATAAATGGCTGCACAACCCCACCCGAACTGCGGCACGGGCCAAAGGCAAAAATAAAGCAAGTGACGACGGTGAAGACCTCACAAAGGATGAACTCTTCCTGGCTTTGATCCACGACACTTTCCGCGTCTTTTCGCAGCTCGTCGACGACCCTGATTTGTCCCCTATATTCCTACAATCCGGCTGGCGCATCTCGCCTGTGGAGTTCATCGTTATATGTCTCTTGATCTCCATAGAGAAAGATCAGCTGCAACTGCGTGCCCTCGCAGAAAAGCTCGGGCGCATGCGTGAGGTAGTTCGCGAAGAACACGTAGATATCCGGATGAATGGTCGTGTCGCTAAGACGCTACTCGACTTCATCAAGGGGATTGGCCCCGTGCCAAGCACCTCTGGCACGAAGCGGAAGCTGGAGGAGGGTGAGGAGGAGGAAGCAACGCTCGTCAGCAGGCAGGTGAAAGTCCGAAAACGAACTGAGACCCCGCCAGCACCGTCTCCCACCATGGATTCATACAATCAAAATCACTTCGTCAATCCTTCTATGCTTAGCGCTCCCATTCCTACACCGCCACCCCCGCGTCCAGTCATTCCTGACAGAATGGCAGCCCTCCGCGATGCTAAGAAATTTATCTCGATTCCTGCCCCTCCACGCCCCCCGCCGACTGCACCTGCTGCCTTACGGAATATGGGACCAGGTAGATAGGCATGTCTTATGTCGGCGGTATGCGCTCGCGGAATTTAAAGAGGTATATTACTACTATTCATTATCACGGCAGATTTGTATCATATCAGATTTCAAATTTGTGTCCTGTGACAATTATCTGACGAAGGTGTTGGCGTTGGTGGGCCCTCGGGCGGCCGGGCAGGGGTAGACCATATGCACACCCACCACGTTTTATCTTTGCTCGTTGACATATCTAATATAAAAATGATAAGGAACTGAGGCGGCTTCCGAATTGTTTCACTTGAGTAGAAGTTAAGCAACTCCGAACCGACAACATCGTAACATCTCGTCAAGTACAATTCCTAGATTTAGCCGTTGCACATGGGCCAATATCCAATTCAGCATCAACCACACGACCTTGAAGTACACGGGGAAGTTGCGTCAAGTTGACGGATCGTGGATGATGCGTTCAAAATGATGACAGTCCCGCGGACCCCGCTCGAGCCATTACTTAGTACTTGCGATGCGCTGACCCTGGTGGGCCGACTCGGTGCCCAATGTATGTACAGCTCACCTGGCAGCGGTAGCCAGCTGGATCCACATCAGAGTTTTCGTAAGGGTCGTAAAACTGCAAAGGCTGTTCTTACAAATCAATCGATCACCTTCGGCTTCTCGAAAAGTGAGCAAGATCTCTTCGCTTCTTCCGCTTCTTACTTCGGTACCAAGCAGAGATGTCCTTCCGCGAGCCCTCCTGTCTGACTGACCGAAGGGGGATTCCAGCCTCTTGGGTGCTTGCAAAAAACAGGCAAATACTAAATTCTCATACAGTTCTACGCCACCGTTTTCTGATCAGCATGGTGCGTTCTTTTCTGCACTCCAAAATTCCACTATCGTGGGCTCGGAAATTGAATTTCCTCGCCGTAAACTCTCAACTCTAGATTCTACAATGAATTTACTCATCGTTGGACCAGTGTGCTATTTATACAACATCTCCTCGCGTCTCTTGTCTTGAGTTTCACCGGTAAGAGATAGGGCGTACTGAATTAGGATGAAACCACGTCTTGCCGAGAAAACGGACCTACAAGCCCCTTTGCAGATGGACTCACGTTCTTCCTGCCCCGGTTGACATGCCGCCCTGAGATTGGAACCGCCCAGAATACTCCATTCATAAGAGACTCAATCTCGCATATGCAGGCCGCTTATCAGCCAAGACCCTTGCGAATTTGCTCCCGAAGCAGTTTAAGAGGGCAACGAGACCGAGTCTAAAGGATTTGGATTCTCATTCCTGATTTCTCCCTCCGCTGTAGCTGGGGTCATACATCCAACATGGCGGTCGACTTTCAGGACGAACGGTATAGCCCAACCGATTTCGAGAAGAGTGATGTTAAAGCTCAAGGTGAATAGGTGCAGCCCTTCTCCTTCTAACGCTTATCTTGGTGTATGACAGAAGCCCTCGAGACCATCGCTGACTTTGACGATCCCAACATTGATCCTGACGGTGCCATTGTTGGAGTCCTTGGTGAGCTTCACCGTGATTTTTAAGTCATGGTACACAACCTCACGACTTCTGTAGAGGATGATTCGCCATACCCGGAGGTTCGCAGCGCAGTAGCAAACACAGATGATCCATCTATCCCTTGCAATTCGTTCCGCGCGTGGGTGATGGGTATGCTTTTTTTCTCCATTGAAAGAGACGCTGGACGCTTATGGACATCATCGGCAGGCATCGCATGGGCTATTTTGATTGCCGGCCTGAACCAATTCTTTTTCTTCCGCTATCCCTCTGTGAGCATCTCGGGCATCGCGGCACAATTGCTGTCTTTCCCTGTGGGTCGCGCCTGGGCAAAGGTAAGCCAGCTGAGTTCGAGATGACTTGTTTTGTTTCTGTTTTCACAATCATCATCATTAACGACGAGCCACACCTAGGTCGTGCCAAATGTTCGCGTCTTTGGTTTAAAGATGAACCCTGGACCATTTTCGATTAAAGAACACGTCTTGGTCACTATCATGGCATCCGTGGGTGGATATTGTGGGTGCTTCCATCATGTGATTGCCGCTTTAACAATTAACTGGAGTTTTCAGCTGCCTATGCGGTACGTCTCTCAGCTGTGAACTTTATGGGATATACTCACAGTATGCCGCTTTCAGACTGATATCATTGCAGTCCAACGAGTCTATTATGGGCAAACGTACAGTTTTATTTGTGAGTTTCTGAGCAAGTCTGAGAACACTCACTCACGGAATATATCTATTTCGTGTATTAATTCTGGCATCGCTTTCTTGGCATCTCCCCCCAATTTCACATCCCCTTGAATTGCCGATCTTCTCGCTTGCGGGGCTTTTTGCTGATCATTCTGACATATATGGTCAATGGCTCGTAATACTTTTTCGGTCAACATGCGGATATGATTGCGGTGGTAGACCAATGGATGGTGGTTATGTCCACTCAGCTCATCGGATTTTCGATCGGTGGTATCTTGCGGCGGTTCCTCGTGCAGCCTCCTTCGATGAGTACGAATTTAACTTCTTCTCACCTTCAAGCCGTAACTCACACCTTGGCATAGTATGGCCCTCCAACCTCGTGACCTGTGCCCTCTTCAACACGCTCCATTCGCAGACATATGCTGGCATAGGTACCCGCGGGGGGATTTCCCGTGAACGCTTCTTCTTTTATGCATGGCTGGGTGGTCTTTTATGGTACTTTGTACCGGGGTACCTCTTCCAGGGCCTATCTTACTTCTCATGGGTATGCTGGATTGCACCTGATGATGTCGTCGTCAATCAGATGTTTGGATATGTGAGCGGAATGGGAATGAGCATGATCACGTTCGACTGGTCTCAGATTACTTACATTGGTAGGTTCTCGATTGCCTTGTCATATATTGTGCTTTAACTGTTGACCCCAGGCAGTCCGCTTGGTGAGTCACTAGTAGACGTTTTTTGGTGGCAAGAAGCTCAAGTTATGCTCCACTACTCACAAAGCAACACCATGTGCGTGGAAAAACATTCCCGTTCAGTCCACACCTAATTCCGTCTTCGTATAGGGTGGGCCGAGGCGAATATTGCGACGGGCTTCGTATTCTTCTTCTGTAAGTACCCTCACTTTGTAGCGTCGTTCTTTTGGCTAAATGTATCTAGGGATCGTTGTCCCTTCGTTGTACTACACCAACACCTGGGACAGCAAGTACATGCCGTACGAGTTATTTTACTGTGTGCCCAGTGCATCCCGATAACATAGTCCACCGCTATTAGAATTTCCTCGAGGACATCGTTCGACAACACTGGCAGCTCATACAACATTACTCGCATCATCAATTCGGATGCCTCTCTTAACTTGACAGCATATCAGGAATACAGCCCCTTGTTCCTCTCGTGCGTCATCTCTGCTATTTTTCTTGCATCGTACCTAATGCATCCTGATTAGGACGACTTTCGCTATGTCCTACGCCCTGTCGTTCGCCTCCATCACAGCAACGCTCATGCACGCGTTCCTGTTCTTCCGCAAACAAATATGGGTTCAGAGCAGACGCTCGATGCACGAACAGCCTGACATCCACGCCAGGCTCATGTCCAGGTACAAACAAGTGCCAGAGTGGTGGTACATGATCGTATTTTGTGTGTATACCTTCGAAAGTTATTGATAATCTCGCTGATCAGCATGCAGTGGCGATGTTTGTGATTGGTATAATTGCCATTGAGGTGTGGCACACGGAGTTCCCTGTTTGGGCTTTCGTATTGTCCTTGACTATCGGTGATTTATCATGTTAAATATTATGGGGATTGAAAGACTGATTGGCTTCCACAGCATTCTTCTACGTTGTCCCCATCGGAATGATCCAGGCCATCACAAACCAGCAAGTTGGATTGAAGTGCGTGAAGTTCACTGAATGTTATATGTGGTCTTCTAACGATGCTGACGTCGACAGCGTTATCACTGAACTAGTCGTTGGATATGCCCTTCCTGGCAAGTGAGTCGCGAAATAGCCGTGGCTTTGACAACCCAGCTAATAAATCGCATCAGACCAATTGCAATGATGATGGTAAGAATCTTATTGACGACATTCAGAAGTGAAGTAATGTTTCGTGCGCTCAGTTCAAGACCTGGGGATACATCACCATGTACCAAGGTTAGTCTTCCCACCTCGTCAATTTCCTGCGTCTCTAACTGGAAGCCTGCAGCTCTCACCTTTGCTTCCGACTTCAAACTTGGCCACTACATGAAGATTCCTCCAAGGACGATGTTCTGGGGTAAACTAACTCCCTCGTCTTATCATAATGCACCCGCTAACTGGCCACCGTGCAGGTCAAGTCGTAGCTACTGCTATCGCTGGAACTGTCCAGCTCGGTGTGCAGGCATGGATGTTTTCCAACATTCCAGAGATTTGCACCCCGACACAGAAAAACGGTTTCATCTGCCCCAACACAGAAGTCTTCGGAACCGCGAGCTTTATCTGGGGGGTCGTCGGTCCACAGAGACAGTTCTCGGCAGGCCAGGTTTATCACGGTGCGTACTTCGTGAGCACATTGAGTTTATGTGGACCTACGTGCTTCTGCACACAGATCTTGTATATTTCTTCCTCATTGGCGCGTTCTGCCCGGTCGTCGCATGGTTGATCTCGTTGAAATGGCCAAACAGCTTCATCCGCTATGTCAAGTACGTCTTCTCTTGTCTACCAAGGAACTCCTCTCACGAGGCTACGCGGATGTAGCTTCCCTGTTATCTTCAGTGGTGTGGGGGCCATCCCCCCAGCGAGTGCGGTGAACTATGTCCCATGGGCAATCGTCGGATTCATCTTCCAATATGTCATCCGGCGTAAACATTTCTCTTGGTGGACGAAGTACAATTGTGAGAGGTTCCCCTGGTCTCGCGTCATCTTTCGCTGAAAACAACCTTTTACAAGATGTCCTTTCAGCCGCCATGGACTCTGGCTTGGCCCTGTCCATCATCTTGATCTTCTTCTGCCTCCAATACCCCAACAACGGCACAATTGGACTGAACACCGTCCAAACGTGGTGGGGCAATACCGTATTTCTGAATACCGCTGATGGAAAGGCTATGCCGCTCCTGACAGTACCAGAAGGTTCTACTTTCGGGTGAGTCGTTGTGTTCGTTTCATCTTTCAGCAGTGGTCTTACGGGCGTGTTGCAGTCCAACGACGTGGTAATGATTAGTTCTACGACGTGTCATGTACGAGATTGTACGTATCGATATGAATATAATTTCTTTGACGATCTGGATGATTTTGTCTTGACGTCGAGGGCTACTAGGCCGTGTGCGTAGTGATGTGCACGAGCACGACTCGGATGTTGTTGTGGAATTTGTGCTTGCTCAGATTCGAGTTGTGGAGATATGCATGCGCGGGGAAGTGCAGGCCGGCCCATATAAGTACTACTACCACGCACAAGTTGTGACAGTGGAGCTAAGTAGCTCGCCGTTACCCGTAGTTTCCATCACCGCCATCATCGCTCTTCTCATGTTCGTCAAGTGGCCTCCTGACTGAACGACTCATGGCCCCGTGCTCATCAACCCGCGGTCTTTCGTTTCAACTGTCCCGTAGTCACATCCGAATCAGGGTTGAACTTGCAACGACCCCTTAGTTCATGTATGGTGTGATATCTTACCATATCTCACAAACACATTTACATCTCTTCCGAAGGTTTCAAATTGCAGTTGCACTAAACTCTGCGCTTCGTCTGTAGGCTAGCATATGCGCATCCATTAACATTCTTTAGACATGCAGTGACTACGACATTGTGGCAGACTGGTAGTAGGACGGTCGTTACTTCCACATGGGAAGGGGTAAAACTTGGGTACCATTTTTCAAACTCCGCCCTCCTGACTTGTGCATTCACGTGACGTTGCTACTACCTTTTGGCGCTTGCAACTCCTTCGAGTCGGAGCCAAGGTCTCAGCCCACATGACCAGTCCAACTGGTGAGTTCGCCTCGACCAAAGTTTCTCGTTGGTCCGTTCGCCCCCCGAACCAGCACAGCAGCGTTCAGGAATCAAAGTAACCGACTAACTGTGCAGTTTTTTGCCAAAGAAAGAACCCTGGGGTGGGCACCTCTTACTCCGGAAGTCGACCCTTCGATATCTACGAGTTGTCTACGGCAGATTGCGCAAAGCCACGATCGGTGGTAGTGTTAAATTTAGAACTCATGCCACGTGTATTTTCAACTCCCTCAGGAGTCAATCATCACTAATAGATTCACTAATAGATCGCCTCTCTCTCTCTTGACTGGTGAGGTAGTAGTCCTGAACGTTAACTTTTGAACCTGTTAAAGGTGTCACAGCCCAATACCTGATTAAGAGCACACACTCGCTCGTCCCTGCTCGTCCTGTAGATATTAGAACCGTCATTGACGCCCTAATTCCATTCTATGCTGGCGCTTCACTGGAAGATTGGCTGCGAAAGAAGGTGCAAAAACCCGGTTTCAACAATATAGAAGGAACGGCCATCTTCATTCTATTGTGGTCTGGCCAAGGGAGACTAGATTTTGACGGCACGAATACCAATAATTGTGTATGGGGGTAGGCGTTGGCGTTCCTCCTGATCCTGGTGTCGCTATTCATACGGGGCCCACGTACGGTATGTTCTCATGTATGTGATAACAACTTGATCTCCTGTACAATCTTCCGGTGATTCTGCCATACACTTGGCGTGCGTGGGCGGACTCTACGGTGATACTTATCAGAACAATGCCCGAACAAGGTCATCGCAGATCTCGTACAATTGGTTGCGACGTTACTTCCTATGGGGATCACCCTCAATGTGTCGCCAATATCCGTGTATCCGCTGATACGATTGCTGTTTGTGTGACATCTGAAGGTGATTTCTCTTCTTCTTTTACCTGACATGCCAGTGGCTTCCCCTGGATGGCCGTGATGCGCAATGTACTTTGACACGCGTGACAAAGAAGCCTCTAGATCGAACGCTGGCATATAAAAACAGAGGTCATCCGGATATTGTGTGCAGCTCGCTTTTGACATCTAGTCTATAATGGATTTACTTCGCAATAGACGCAGACAACCACCTTCAATCGAGCCGTCTCTTAATGAACCAGCACCTTCGATCATTCCGTCTCTTAATGAACAACTTGAAGTACCTTCAATCGTTCCGTCTCTTGATGAAACGTCTCTTTCTTCCGTTTCAAGTTCTGGTTCCGTTAGCCCTCCGGACATGGCATGGGTTGAAGTGGACATATCGTCCAGTGACTATGCTCGTAGGCGTAGAGAGCTTATGGAGATGATGGCCGACCTCCGATCCATGGGGTGGGTGTTTGTGGATCTGATTACGAGACTGCTCACGCTACCTCTTACAGTGCCGACGCGCTGATCGACATACCATCCGTAGTCGTGATTGGTGGTCAATCCGGTTTGTAGTCGCCTCCCTTTGCAACCGCAGTTGTGCTCAACCTCATATTTCAGCGGGCAAAAGCTCACTCGTAGAGGCCGTTAGTGGGGTACGTCAGCAGATCATTTGTCGTTCTATTTTTTTTTCATTCTGTTAAAGATCAATGTCCCAAGAGATAGTGGAACGTGTACCAGGTGACCCTGCTGTCATCAGTCACTGCAAGGCGTGCTCACACTACCATACGCAGATGCCCTATGGAATGTTCGATGTCCAGTCATGCCACGTCATGGTCCTGCACTATCACCTTACGAATTTACCCTGATAATGGCAGAGACCTGCAAAAGCCAATTACTGTGTCCTTCGGCCCAACGATCACCGACAGAAGTGAGGTTGAAGTTTGGCTGCGTCGTGCCCAGGCAGCCATTCTGAACCCGAACATTCCTTCTTCGAGTTTCCACACAAAGACCATCGAGGAACTCAGGAACGCAAGAAATACACTGAAGTTCTCCCGCAACGTGGTGTGCGTCTCGATTGAAGACCCCGATGCCACTGACTTGTCATTCTATGATCTGCCGGGTACGTGTATGCTGATCTAGATTGAGACAACATATCTTATGGGTGTTGAAGGCCTGATACAAAACGAAGAAGCCGAAACCGTCGCTTTGGTGAAAAGTATGGCAGAACATTACACCGAGACAGAGAACACTATCATATTGACCACAATTCCCATGAGCTGGTACGTGTATGAACTACGGAATTCTTTTTCATTGTGTTCATGGGTTCGGTGCCTAGACGATATGGAAAATCAGCAATCGATGAGTCTTGCCAGGGCCGCAGATCCCGATGGAAAGCGAACAATTGGTAAGTCATCCATACTGCAGTGTGATTAAAGACTCAAAGTTGTTCAGGTGTACTTACGAAACCTGACACGCTCGGGGTTGGAGCTATCAACCAGCGTCGCAAATGGGTAGAAATTATCGAGGGCCGTTCGGAGGAGCACACGCTGAGGCACGGTTTTTACTGCGTCCGTCTTCCTGATGATGCCGAACGCGCACAACGCCTGTCTCGTGCTGAATCACAAAGGCGAGCTGCAGGAGTATTTTGACACGACGTCACCCTGGAGCGACATGATCGACCGTCATCGGTTCGGAATTCCGGGCTTTGTCTCCGATGTAAGCCGACTGCTCATCCAGTTGATCGAGGAAGCGTGCGTGGACCTTCTAGCTCGCTCGTTATAACAGCGCTTACATCGTTTATAGTTTACCGCGCCTCAGAGAAGATATCGACAAGCTCCTTGCCAAATGTATCAAGGACATCGATGCACTACCGCTGCCACTTACAAATGACCCACAGATCGAGGTTCTAGAACGGGTCAATGCGTTCTGCGATGTCTTCAAGAGCTTTGTGAATGGCAGTCACGAAGACAAACGTCTTGCGCAGCGGAATCGCGCTCTCTATGCCATTTTCAAGAGGGATATACGCGGCACTGTTCCTGACTTCAGGCCCTTTAATGGACCGGAAGGCTATGTTTCGCTGGACGATACTGAGGGGAAGATGACTCTTACTGTGCGAGATCCTGGCGTGAAAGCGATGGGCATATATGACATCCGCAGGGTTATCCATGAGTATGTTTTCGTGTTTTGTTGTGGCAGCCCGGTGACAACTCAACCGTTCATCAAGGGCAATTGGATGGGAGCTTCCGAACAATGTGCCATATCAGGCGAAGGCGAATCTCATCGCTCAATTTACCAAACTTTGGGTTGCTCCGTCTGAGCGCTGTCTCGCTGGTATCAATGATGTGATTGATCAAGTCATCAGCACGCTCATAAGCATCCATTTTGGTCGCTTCAAAGTTCTTGAGGATTATGTTGGGTGAGTGTTGACCCCTCACGACTATTTCTTTGGCTCAAGTTGTCTGTGACAACAGCAATCTGATTAGAATTCAGGTTGATATCTACAAGGCGCGCGCCCGAGAAGCTGTCAATACGGCCTTGGATCTGGAAACTACCCCACACTATACTCAGAACACGCACTATCTTCAAACACTCCGCGAAAAATGGCTAGCTCATTATAAGACAGTTCGCAGTAAACCTTCTCAGTACAGGGATATTTGGAACGAGGCCCCGAGATCCATGGGAGCACGACCTAAGTCGCCCAACTTACCAGGAAATGTGTTCAGCCGGGGCCCCCGATGGCGAACCTGCGGGGGGATATGCTGTAGAAAGCGACATGTCGCCGGGCTATTGTTCACCAGTGCAAGGGACGCCTGAACATTCTTCATCAAAGAAGATGAAATCTAACGCATCGAAGGGTTCAATGTGTCGATCATCTATTCCCGCTACGCCCCAAAAATCTGATAATTTTTCGGATTCAATCAATCCACACCACCCTGGCTCGATGTCGGAGACGCCCGAAGCCAAAGCTTTGAGGGCTCTTGCAGAAGCTGGGTATGCAAATCTTCGGATTTCAGATCTTGCACGTCTGCTACCTCCCGACTCCTTCGAGGAAGAGCTAGTTGTGATGGCTGATGTTCGAGCCTATTATCACGTTGCGTACAAGGTGAGTCTCGCTCATCATCTCTGTTTCTGGGCATTTATACACCCGAGCAGCGCATCGTTGACCATATTCCTTTCACGATCGAGCATGCTCTCCATCATGCCCTGGCGAAACAACTTTCGCAGAGCCTTCTCACGAGCTTGCTGACTGATGTCGCGTCTGGGTCCAACTTCTCTGAGCGTATGAGCGAGTTGGTCAGCGAAGATGCTTCCATCACTCAGAAACGCGCAATGCTCTCGACAAGAAAACAACGCTTATCAGACATTCGCCAAAGACTCATGACCTTTAGCAATGGTACTTGATCGCTGTGAGAGGTCACCATGTATGTTCGTTTGCGGTTGGCGCTGGGCTTTCTACGGTCACATGCTCATAGTATAGATAGCTTGTTGACCTCTTGTTGACCTCTCTTTTGGGAACCGTGGGTTGGTCGTTTGTATAGTGCTTGCTATATTATCTTGCTATGCTCGAACATTGTTTCATTTCAAACTCGCGAATGAAGGAATCTGATTCTTTGCTCGTTGTTGATACATCGCTGTAGCTCCTGACAAAGTACCAACCCTAACCCAAGTGTATCAAGTGTATAGGGAACGCTACCACAGTAAATTTTGACTTCGACTCTCGTAGCATTGAAGATCAGATTATCATTCCGTCTTTACACCGTCAAGCTGATACCTCTGCGTTCTTGGGCGTCCTTTCGGACCCCCTTTACATCGGTCCTAATCAGAACAACGAATCTGATGTCACACAACCGTGGGTGGCGCGGAAGACGAAATTACAGCCAAAACCAAGATGATCGCTACTACGGACACCGTGATTCTAGCAACTTGACCTATGGCGGCTCTTACGGGCAGTCATACAGATATGACCACTACTCGAACGGATACTATGCAGAGGCTCAACCGAGTCGAGGATTCAACTACTGGCGGAATGATTCGCATTACTCACAAAACCAGTCTCAGTCCTCCACCAACTACGGTCGCAGTCATGAACATATCAATGACTACTACCATGCAGAGGGTTCTTACAGCAGACGGCAGAGGCAACGAAGCAGCAGTCCACAGAGACAATACCACTCGCGTGCTCAAAGGGCTGACTTGCCTACCCCATACATTGCTCCACCTTCCTTCCGTCGAAGAACACCCGATGCGAATCCCCCTCCTCTATCGCATACGAAATCTCCCACACCACCACCACCGCCCCCACCACCTGCAGAACCAGATCCAGTGTATATGACACTCTCACTCGAGCCATCCCACGTCGTCGACGATCCACGCGCCTCCAGAAAGCTTCTCATCTTAGATTTGAATGGCACTCTACTCATACGGTCGCAACATTCACGCGCACAACCGAAAGTCACGCATGACGGGATTCCTACTGGCCCAGCACCGCGCCTTCGTGCAGTGCAGCCACGTCCCTACATACCCGCCTTTTGTGCGTATCTTTTCGCATCCGAGACTCAAGAATGGCTGGACACCATGGTCTGGTCTTCCGCACAACCGCATAGTGTGGCGGACATGGTAGACAAGGTTTTTGGTGATTTCAAAAGCAAGCTTGTCGCGGTCTGGGACCGCGGCAGTTTGGGACTCAGTAAGGAGGATTATCGTGAGTGTTTAGTTGATTGGATTTCGGTGATGTTACGCTTTACTGACATTCTTGACAGACCGAAAAGCGCTGACAACCAAGGATCTTACAAAGCCCTGGACATTGCTTCCATTAGGCACCAACCCAGCAGAGATCGGGGTGCCATCAGAAGCAGATTGTATCGCTGAGCAAGCTGGGTTGGCTCCTTCTGTGACGCACTCCGCCATGACCACCCTTCTCCTTGACGATTCTCCTCACAAAGCCCGTCTCCAGCCATACAATCACGTCTGCATACCCGAGTATAATTCCTCGTTCAGGGAAAAAGACCTTCAGCAGTTTGAGCGCGACAAGATAAAAGTGAAGGCGACTCAAGGACAAACCAAACCCACACCTAAGAAGCGAAAACGGAAGGCAAATAAAGCTGTGTCGGATCAACCCGAGTCGGCAGAGATGATATCACCCTCCTCAGGCTCTGATTTGAGTGTAGTCGGTTCTACCTCAGCTCATGTAGAGCAGTCTTCCATCTCCAGTCCACTTACAGAAAGCCTATCATCTCAACCATCTGCTGAGCCATATGACCCTACCATTCTTGCAGTTATAGGTGTCCTGGACGAGATCAAGAAGCAGAGCAGCGTTGCTGGGTGGATACAAGGCGGGGGTCTTTGGGATACCATTCCTGTTCCTGAGGCTGAAAGAGAATCTACTTCTATTGCATCAGCCTCAGACGCAAGTACTGTCGAGGATCTCCCACCGTCAACCGACTCTCAGGAAGCGAGAATGCTCACGAAGAAAGAGTTTCTGGCAGCACAACCCATACAATCTGCTCTTAGCGCCGATCGGGAAGTCATCCAGGCCGGAAATGATGAGTCCACCACCGCCAACATTTCAGTCGCGGGTGTTCCTACTGCTGCGCCAGGCGCTGGTGCACAAAGTGTGGGAATGTGGTTCAGTGATGAACCAACGTTGACTTATTGGGTTGGGAGAGGGCGCAGGGCACTTGACAGTTTGGGAATTGAGGCATGTCACGGCGTTACTGCGCATACGTAGACTAGGTTCAACTAGGTTAGTTAACCATACTTACGCCCATGTCTTCTGCACTTGTCTTACTCTGTCGTCATCAAGCGCTTCAAGTATCCGGTTGTTTTGAATCTTCGAGCTGTACAGTATTCTGCGTACGTCCGAAGTGCTGCTAGATAAGATGGTTTTTGTCTCATGCGAATATCGAATGTTTGCCGATCGGAGACTCCTACTAGGAACGACGGTCTGAAACAGCCGTCCCAAAATATCGACGTCACTTGCTACAGCAGCCGTCAATTGGCATTAGCCCAATTGGATATCGTGCCACGACTGCCAGACACGAATGACCATGGAGAAGAAAGTGTATACGGTGGTTCGTACCAATCAGCGTGCGGTCATTTTCTTGCTTGATCGCTCACAGCGACTCTTAATCAAGGTTACCTGCCAGCCATTCAGAATTAGACCGGGTGTCTGTTCGAAAGTCGCAGGCTGACAGAGGCTGACCTAGGCCGACATTTGTCTGTTGACCTGGCGTTATTTAAAGCCGGTCTGACCCAAAATGCCGCACGAGTCCTTCGGGGGAATTTTGGCTCTCCCTGGTTTCTCAACTCCACAGCGATATGTTGTCGCTCTTTGTGGCAGGCCTCTTGCTGGGGTCGTGCAGTCAAGCAGTCGCACAGGACCTCACAAGTGCGCAAATATCCATTGTCAGCGAGCGACTGGCCCAGGGTGCAGTGCACAGGTGAGCATAGGCTGCTGCCTCAATATTCTCTAGTTTGTGGTCTCACTTCCCTGTTCTGCTTGATGGCACCAAGGAGCAGGAATCTCACTAACATCATCTCATTTATTTCTGTAGTTGGGAGTTCGGAACGCGTGCCGAGGCTCTCCTGGAACTCAACGCGCCGACATACTCTGTCGTATCGTTCAACCCCGTCCCACCTCCCCAGAGCATTCCATCCAATTTAACCGATGCGCTTGGCGAAGTGTTCGCGATTGCGCGCGGCATCGTTGCCGGCCGGAACTTGTCCAATGGAAATATCACTGGCCCCCAGCCCCTGATCAATGATTCGAGCGCAGGGGATCCAGCAAGTATCGGAGTCTCCGTGTTACTTGCGAACTGGACGGGTCAGGGGGCAGCAGATGGACTAGACTACGCAGGAGCTGCGCGGGACCAGCTCGACTATCTGTTCCAAAACGTATCTAAGACAAGCGATGGTGCCATTTCTCACAGAGTGGACCAATTGCAGCTTTGGTAAAAGTCATGCAACGAAAGTTCGCATACGGCTAACACTCATACAGGAGTGATTCTGTTTACATGGTTCCTCCATTTTTAGCATATTATGGGGTTCTGACGCAAAACCAGACCCTTCTGAACGAGTCCTATACCCAGATAAGCCTGTACCGCAAATATCTTCGAGACACAACGGCCAATAATCTATGGAAGCACATACAACTTGGTCAGACAGGAAATGATGACGGGCACTGGTCGACAGGTGTGCAGATTCCCTTGGGCACCGAATGAACTCCTTGCACGGTTCAACTACAGGCAATGCATGGGCAGCAGCAGGCATGATACGGGTCCTTGGGACTATTCAACGCTCTCAGTATGCAGATTCGTTCAAAAGTCAACAAAATGACCTTGCCAATTGGGTGCACGAGATTCACGGAGCAATGTATCCCCACATCGTGCGTCCGATCTTATAACCTGCTTGTTAAAGCATGTCTCATCATCAGACCAGAACTCCAACGGATTGTTCTATAATTACGCAGATAATAGTACCACGTTTTATGATTCTTCATCAGCCGCGTTAATGGCTAGCACGGTCTATCGCTTGTCCCTCCTTTGCAACATCCACACATACCTCTCCCTCGCCGAACAATCTCGCAAAGCACTTTCAGCTCCCGCTGGCACTATCATTTCCGTCACCAATACCTCGACGACGCCAGTGCCAAGCACAACATCCACCGCACCTCCCGCAACGAATACAAGCACCCCTGGCTTGCTCCACATCACGCCGGACGGATGGCTCACACCGGTAGTGAATCCATACTCATATGGCGCGCAGGGTTCCGACAGTCCAGAGGGCCAGGCATTCATCCTTGAGATGCAGGCCACATGGCGTGACTGGGTAACGGACGGGGCACAGGGTACGAATAGCGCCCACGAGGCTCGTCCTCATGTCTTGTTGATAGGAGCTATGGTGGCTTTACCCTGGTTAACGATCGTCATTTGCTAGTTACATTGAATAAGGTTTTGTCCTGGATCAAATCCGTGACATTGATGCGGTCGGGGAACATTTATTGGCACATTACTACCTAGTGTATCACTAGAACCGTCACAATACTCATGCGGTATGATGCAAATTAAGCTTTATTTACAAGCTAGGGGCAAAACATGGACTTATGATGTCTATTATAAACGAGTTGCGATAGGTATAATGAATGAGAGAAGCCAGTCGGTGTTGCAGAGAAGTATGCTGTTATGATAATGAAAAGGGCCAAACATGTCACAAAATGAAACGCAATATTAAGGAATGAGGATGGCACATGGGGTAATCGAAGGACATAGATATATCACCTAGCGCCCTAGAATATCAAATAAGTACAAAAGTGGATGAACACACTTAGACTCATCACCCACCTCGAACCACGTTTGTTGCCATTCAGCTGCTTGCTCGCCTAAACCTTTCGCCAACTCTCCCTCCCTCTCGGAACCCAGCCACTATCCCTTCCTCTGTCTCTGTGATTGTCCCACCTGCTCGAATCACGGCGAGAATCATGGCGTCGATATTCTTTGTCGTAAGGCCCACGGCCTCTGGAGTAGTCCCGTCGTTCATAGTCACTATATCGTCGTTCATCTTTGAACGATCCGGTCGAGGATGCGGAATGTGGCGGCGGCGCAGTTGATGTGGAATCTGCGCGCAGTACTGTGTTAATCGGGGTCGGTGTAGTCGATGGCGGCCGAGATGGGAGAGAATGAAGCGGAGCAGGTTGAGTCCCGTTTGAGAACCCATTTTGCGATGGGCCAGGCAAGTACAACGGAGCTTGCGCGCCTCCCTGGGCATATTGTAGGGACGGAACCGGCTGCATGCCCTGCCCACCATTGACAGACATACCCTGCGAGAAACTCGAAGAACCAGGGGCGAGGGTGCTAATCCCGCTCAGAATATTCAGGCCTGACTGCACAGCTGCCATAGCCTGTTCAGGCAATGCAACAGAAGAGCTCATTGGCATTTGTTGATTATGAGGCACCATGAGCCCATGTGCCCGCAACAAGGCTTCAACTTCTAAAGGATTGATTTGGAATTTTTGTTCCATACCGCTAGATAGCGGGTTTGGGCTTTGCTGTGGCGGAACAGCAACAGCTGGTGGAGATGGCCCAACACGCCGAGGGTCAACCTTTGACGAGCCGTTCACGTCAGGGTTCGATACAGAGCTCACACCCTTAAACTCTGTGTGAGGAACAACAGGAGACTGGACCTGAGAGTTTGAGTTTGATCGAATAGCCTCTTTCGCAGCTCGAATAGGACCAAGTCTATCAGCCGCTGGTATTGTGGATGGAATCACGGAAGAAGGGTATAGCGAAGCGACACGTGGCTCCGACTTTACCACTGGAGAAACGCGAGCTTCGGACCTGACATTGGAGATAGGTGCAGGGGAAGGTCTGGCAGGGCTGGTCGAAATCCCCATGTTTGATTGGAGGAGAGGTGCTTGTGTGGAAGGTAGTGATGGACTGGTTGATGTCGCGGGAGGAGTAGGTGTTAGAGGTGGCACTTTTGCTTGCACTGGAGCTTGGGATATCCTTTCAACAGCTGGTCGAGAATCTGGGGAAGGTCTTTTCTGCTTTGACTGAGACACTGCAGGGGCAGCCGACACTTTCTTTGGCATAGGGTTGGGCTTGGAATCAGCTAGCTTCTTTTGGGAAGCAGATCCTGAAGACTTTGAGCTCGATTTTACAGCTATATGCAAGCAGTAAATCAAAAGTTTATCAGCGACAGTTCGACAAAACGGCTCACTCGAAGATGCAGTGGGCGGCGCCTTGGTGGCGGTTACCTTGCGAGGCTTTTCTTCCTCATCACTGTCATCATCATATTCTGCGACCCTCTTCCGTTTCTTGGCTTTTGGAGGTTTTCCGGCAGCCGGTTTGTCACCTTCCCCGTCAGTTTTTAACTCGGATATCTTGAGTCTTTTGCTCATGAACAACAACATATGCTTGGTGATTCTGCCGTTTGCCCGAATATCTTGGTGCGCGTCGCGTACGTCTTTTCGCATCTTTTCAATGGCAGATGAGAGTTGAGTAAGCGACAATCGATCACGGAAGAGGTAAATCAAGACACCGATCATTACAAACTCTATGGGAGAGACACGAGTGGGCTTGTTGAGTGAGCGACTGTATTTCTGGTCCCGAGCAAGGATGAGGAAGACTCGGAATGTGTCTAGCAAGTCCTCGCGAAGCTTCGGAGCGACAGGGTCGTTCTTTAAGAGCCATTTTTCAAGTGTCGGGGCGGAGGGGACAGCGGGCTTAGGATGGTTCTCAATGAGGTAGCCTATAGATGCCATACACTGGAAGTCACGTCCTCGTGCGTGACCCCAATCAAGGTAACCCTGAAATCCATCTTCGCCAAGAACTTGGCTCTGAATCTCCCGAATGACTGTGGGCCAAGGGCCAACAATTGCTTGCATGCGTTCTACAACGTGTGGATTAAGTTACTGTACAATAATGCAAAAGGCAATGCTAACCTGCAGGAGTCAGCGCGACTCCTAGTTGCACCCTCTTAATCATCCTGTGAGTTAGTAATGCGCAACGAGGCTCCAGCACTTGCCTGGAAAATCTCACGCTCCTGATCTCCATTGATATCGGCGTACTCGACACATACGATCTGCTTGTTCGCAAATTGATTAACAAGGTGTTTTGGGAGAAGCTTTCGCCTAGCACTAGTGGCGCTTGATTTGTACCAAAGCTTTTCGTTTGTGAAACTGGATAGTATTGATCAATAGCCGGCAGAGAGGGCCTACCAGAGGGACGTACGAATCTTTATCTGGAATGCCAAATCAAGTGAGTATATGCGGCAAATAATGCATGTACGGACTAACGTGGTATCTAATAAATCCAATTTTAGCGAAGCGATGACACTGCAGGTGATAATATTACAAACCTGTCCATCCATAAACCTGAACCGAAGTTTGCAGTAGTCAGAAAATCATTCCCATTCATTCACTGTATATACCTCTGTATTGAAGTCAGTCTTTGCTTCCCATCGATACAGGTTCGGAGTTCACTGCCATCATCGGCCGTTGATACCGCTAGTTATAACTTCCTTGTCAATGCGTGAGTCCACCGGGAGGTAAATGGACTTGCCAAATATTATTGGGGGCATGTAGTAGTTTCGCAGCATCGAATCAATAAGACCAGACTGCTTTAGCTCTGGCCATACAACATCTACAAACAAGATAGAACATCAGAATGCGTTGCGAGGATGGCTGGAGACGAGAACCGTGGTTAAGAGTACTTTCAGGGGGCAAGAGACTCACCACGTTGGTATTCTGGGTCAAGGTCAATCGCATTGTCGATGATTTGGTCTGCAAAAAGGGTAAATGCACTACAAATCCCAAAAGTAAGCTACCCGCCTTACCGTAAAGTGACTTGGCCGTATACGATGTGGTCCGTGGCGCTCGCAGGACGCCCGAAATCTTGTATTCTCTTGTGTTTTTCTTTGACGCCGTTGTCCTCGTGGTTTTGGATGGCGGGAAGTCGTCTTCATCAGAAGACAAATCTGTCAAGTCTGAGACATCTGACAGTGACATGATAAGAAGTTGTTGGCGATAGTTCTGGCCAAATCGCTAACAATCTAGTGGTACGTTTGAAGGAAGATCTTTCTGTGCTTCAAAGCTTTAAGCTTCTGTGTGTTGAAGTTTGTCGCAAAAACGAGGCCAGTATTTGCGCAAATCCGCGCTAAAAATCCCGAGCCGATATGCATGACTGTCGAATAATACATTCGACTTGGAGAGCAGAGGATGACTTGAGGGAAATGTTGCCAGACTACTTATTGATCTACATTAGAAGCATCATCGCGGCTAAGCTGATCATTAGACGCCAAATACAAATATTCCTCCGCGCTTAAATAGTTACACAGACGCTTCCCCACACACAGGATGTAATCGCGATTTCACTTACGGCACGTTTTTGGCTCAAAAACTAGCGCCAGAATGGTCACGTGCAAGATGAATGGATCTCCGCTACAAAACACGCGTCGCGTCGCGTGTTACCATACCCAACCACCAAGCTTCGATCATGCGGATAGAAGAACTTGTGCTCGAAGGTACGACTTCTATCAATTGAAAGTTTTGTTAGATTACATTTCTTTCAAAGGTTTCAAGTCATATCCAGTCCGGACTCAGATTACAGGTTGGGATTTATCATTCAATGCAATCACTGGCCTCAATGGATCCGGCAAGTCCAACATTCTTGACGCGATTTGCTTTGTCCTCGGTATCACCAACATGTCTCAGGTGAGTAGAAGTCTCTTCGCTCTATATTAACCAGCACACCCATATACTGCAGATGCGAGCTCAAAACCAGCAAGACCTTATTTATAAGAGGGGCCAAGCTGGCGTTACCAAAGCTAGCGTAACAATTGTCTTTGACAACTCAGATAGAGAGAAGAGTCCCGTTGGATTTGAGAACTTGAAGCAGATTACAGTCACACGTCAAGTGCGTTCACAACCACTCGACTCCAGCATAGGTAGGTTCGAAACTCACGTCTTACCTACAGATAGCGCTCCCAAATATATCCAAGTACCTCCTGAATGGTCACAAATCACAGCAGAACACCATTCAGACGTTGTTCCAGAGTGTACAGCTGAACATTAACAATCCCAATTTCCTCATCATGCAAGGCCGCATCACGAAGGTAAGATTTGGTTCCATCGTTTTTACACATCTGACTTATGGTTCTTGACCAGGTCCTCAACATGCGTCCACAAGAAATTCTTGGCATGGTGGAAGAGGCTGCAGGGACCCGCATGTTCGAGGAGCGGAAGGACAAGGCCAAAAAGACGATGACAAAGAAGGAGAAGCGCGTGCAGGAAATAACGTCTCTCCTTGAGGAGGAAATCACACCCAAGCTGGATAAACTCCGGGAAGAAAAGCGTCAATTTATTGCTTTCCAGAAGACTCGGACGGAACTGGAGAAGATCGGCAGGAAACTGCGCGCTTGGGAATGGACAGCCGCTAATAAGAGGGTAGAGAAGGCGCAAGATGATATAGAGAACAAGAGAGCAGAGATGGACGCGACAGAGAAGCGGAGGAAGAAGCTCATCAAGGAGACAAAGGCAGCCGAGAAGGAGATGCAGGAGGTCAGCGCGAAACGGGAAGCAGAGCGAAAGAAGGGTGGTAAGTTCAAGAAAATGGAGGAGGAAGTATCGCTTTTGGAAAAGGAGCTCGTGAAAGTTCGAACCCAAGTCGACCTCGCAAACGGTAATATCGCCGACGAAAACAAAAGTGTCGCGAGTGCTGAGGCAGAGCAACAAGAGCTCCTTCATTCTCTCGAGGAGAAGCGCAGTCAGGCGCAAGAACTAGAATCTTCTTACATGTCCGTCAAAGCAAAGCACAACGATACGCAAGCATCGCTCTCGAAGTCGGAGGAGCTACTGCAGACGCTGCTGACTGGTCTCTCATCAAGCAATACCGGAAACTCTGGGGGCGGCTACATGGGTCAGCTTGCAGACGCGAAAGCTCGCATGGCCCAGGGGTCGGCTGAGGAAGAGCAGAATCGCGTCAAACTCAACATGAGTGAGAAGGAGCTAAAGGCATTGGAAGCAAAGTGGAAGGACGTAGAGAAGGAAGCGGGGCAAGGGAAGCGTAATATGGAAAACATGCGGACTGAAGCCGAGAAGCTCAAGCGCAGAGTTGCTGACTGTGGTTGGAGCACGGAACGAGAGCAGGAAAATCAAGTTTCCCTAGCGACAGCGAGGGGACAGGTCCGGCAGTTTACAGAGGTAAGCTCTAATATCTGTTTCATGCCTAGTTATAACGTCTGTACAGGGGCGCGATGCAGTTAAGCAGCGCCTGTCGGCATTGAACTTTGATTACTCGATGCCATACCCGAATTTCGACCGCACCAAGGTGAAGGGACTAGTCGCTAACTTGACCTCGATTGCTCCCCAGCACCAGCACAAATCCCAGGCACTGGAAATCGTTGCCGGAGGCAAGCTCTACAACGTCGTCGTCGAAGACGAGAAAGTCGGCAAGGACCTTCTCCAGAATGGCAAGCTAAAGAAGCGCGTCACCATCATTCCCCTTAACAAAATAAATGCGTTCGCCTTAAGTGCTCAGGTGTGTCTCTTACTAGCGCAGCCAATGCGAGGATACTCACCTTTTCACAAGAAATTGGCGCAGGTTGAACACCTTGCCCCGGGTAAAGCCAACCTGGCACTATCGCTCATTGGCTACCCAGATGAAGTAGCTCGCGCCATGGCGTTCGTCTTCGGAGACACTATCGTCTGCGAGGATGCCGAAGCTGCCAATGCGGTCACATTTGGTGCAAAGGTTAGGTCCGTCACTTTGAACGGCGACCTGTACGACCCTTCTGGTACACTCAGTGGAGGAGCAGCTCCAAGCGGAAGTGGTACGCTACTGAAGGTGCAGGAACTCCTCGAGGCAGAGCGTAAACTGGGAGAAGCACAGTCTCATTTGAGTGAACTTGAAAGAGCAGAGACCGCCAACCGAGAGAAGAGAGAATCATGGAGAAAGTTGACTCGCGAACTGGATATCAAGTTGCACGAAGTCAGTCTTTTGGAGCAGCAAGCAGAAGGGAGCAGCGCTGCGAGGGTGAGCCAGTCGTCGTTATCTGTTCACTTCAATGTTTAATTGACAGTGTCGTCTAGCTTGGTGCTGAGGTAGAAGAGCTGAAAAAGACCATCGGTGCTTTGAAATTGGCCGTCCAGGCAGCCAAGGAGAAGCAAAAGGCCGCCAAGGATGAGTGCAATAAGCTCGAGAAGGACATGGACGAGTTCAAAAACAACAAGGAAGGCAAGATAAACGAGTTGAAGGCGAGCACTCCTCCCACCCTTCTTTGACCACGCTGACCATCTATGCAGGCCGAGATTAGCAAGCAGAAAGCAGCTCTTCAGAAACAAGCTGTTGTAGTAAAGACGCAGCACAAGGAACACCAAACTGCTGTACTCGAGCTTGGTAAGGAAGCTTTTTGGATCTTTCATTCTGCCCGCTAATGACTTCTAGAACAAATGGAGAAGGATATCAAGGAGGCCGAAGACAGCATCAAAGGTGCTCACGCCCAAATCGCCAAGCTTCACAAGGACCTCGCAGCGCTCAATACTAAGCTTTCTAAGCACGAGGTATTATTTTTTTTCCAGTGGCCTGGCACATTTCTCTCATGCAACGTAGGCGGACCATGCGAAAGCAGAACACAAGCTTCAGGAGGAACGCGCAACGCTGACTCAATTCGATAACGAGCTCAAGGACCTGGAGAATGCTATTCGTGAGCAGAAGAAGGGGGTATCTGACGCTGAAATCGAGCTGAAAAAGTTGGAACACGATGTTGCTGCACTTGAAAAGGATAAAGTCACGCAGGCCAAGTTTGTGACCGACTTGGAGAAGCAGCATGAGTGGATTCGGGATGAATACCAGTGAGTAATGCGTTGCTTTTCTTTTGAACCTACTTGACGTTCTCGTAGGTCCTTTGGTAAACCCGGCTCGCAGTATGAATTTGACCAAGATATGCCTTCTTTGCGAGCCAAAGCTGACGAACTCGAGGAGAAGCAGAAGGGGATGAAAAAGAAAGTCAACCCGAAGGTCATGAACATGATCGACACGTGAGTCTTTGACTCTCCTGTAAGACACTGATCCGATTTGAATGACTTGCGACTAGTGTCGAGAAGAAGGAATTGGACCTCAAGAAGATGTTGGCCACAGTTCTGGAGGACAAAGAAAAGATTGAGGAAACCATAGAAGAGCTAGATCGATATAAGCGTGATGCCCTTCAGAAGACAGTGGGAGAAAGTGAACGGGTATGGATGATTCCTTCACCGTCAGTCCATCATCACTCATGCACTTTGGTAGTGACTTTGGTGGTATCTTTGCGGAGCTGCTACCTGGCAACTTCGCCAAACTTCAGCCTCCAGACGGCCAAGACCTAATGCAAGGACTTGAGGTGAAAGTGCAACTGGGGACTGTTTGGAAACAAAGTCTAACTGAACTGAGCGGTGGCCAACGGTAGGACACAATTATTAACAAAGTAATGTGATTGACGAGGGTTTACACAGCTCCTTGATCGCTCTTTCTCTTATCATGGCCCTTCTCCAATTCAAGCCGGCGCCCATGTACATTCTTGATGAAATCGATGCCGCTCTTGACCTCTCCCATACCCAACATATTGGCCACCTATTCCGAACTCGTTTCAAGGGCTCACAATTTATAGTCGTTTCACTGAAGGAGGGCCTGTTCACGAACGCAAACGTACTATTCCGAACGCGATTCCGTGATGGCACATCAGTAGTCGAGCGGACGGCGAATAGGTCAACTTCGTCACTGTATACATAATATAATGCTGTATGATTACTGTACGATCATTGTAACTGCCATGGCTACGCATGCTAATGCGACGTATGGGGAGAGGCGTTCTCCTGTGTGAATGAATGTCTTCTTGAGGAAGCCCGCAGGAAATCGCCTGTCTGAAAACACACCTATCCGCGCAGACATAAAGAACAGTCCGAGGAATCTGCTTACGTCTCAGTATTCATGGACTCTCTTGAGTAAATAAGAGCAACACACCCTTCCTTGTTTCTATCGACCAGACGCGGGGCAACTGCGCGAACATAAGTGCAAGTGCAGATCATCAACAAGATGACCAAAAGCAGGGATTGAAAGTTGAATAGTGCCGACTTCGCGACTTCAGCTAATGTACAATATGAATAAAGACATACCATACCATAGGGAAAGCGATGGCCTGCAGTTGACCTGCAGATGGTGAACGTTTGGAACCAAAAAGCTCTAAGTGCTTACTAAGCGAGTGAACTACCGCGGCAAGTGCCGTGACCCTCCGCGACAAACGGTGACTCGATGAGTGCACATCAGCTACGCCTGCTGCTAACTACTTCGAGATTCCAGAATCCAGTGTTTTCCAAACTTCAATGAGATATGGAGTCAAGCGCGCGCCGGTCTCTTCATGCATTCACACTCAGTCAGGCACTATCATCAAGCATTCACAGTCTTAGTGCTTCATCACATCCAAGTCTGGCGTTGTCAAAGGATCCCCGCTTGGTCTTATCGCTCCTTCACCTAGGTGGATGTAATATATAACCTTACCCGAGCATGCACGTGCTGGGGCTATTTAGTCATATCACAGACTCACTCGTGTCCTCACAAGTCGGATTTGGAGAGTGTCGCGGGGTAGTACTGCCTGCGGGATTGTAGTGGAGTATTCTGGGCTGGGTTATCATTGTTCAGACTTGTAGGAGAAACGGTAAGTCTCGGACTACAGCTAATTCGATGGCTTGTGCCGCTGGAAACTGTTGTCGACCACGTTCTCGTTGAGTAAAGTACTCACGAGTCTGCGGCTAGTGGTATTTTCGATGAATGTGCATCCCAGGAACATATCCAGGAGATTGTCGTCGATTGATGACATTCAATGCGAGAGTTGCAGAAAAGCATCAAAGCAAACGGACAACCCGAGCAGGATGCAACGAAAGTAGCTGAGTATGAGATTGATCGCAGATGGCCCATGAAGACAATGTCTGACAAACTTCGCCAGACACAATGAAGAAAACTTACAATACAAATCGAACGAAGGACGATTCGTAGTATACCTCAGGTTGTATGACCTGAGGCTGGAACCATCGTGACTGACCGCGAATTCGGCACATTTGCCTTGGTCTACGGCTAATATTTATACTACTAAGAGCATGATATCACCGGGGGACGAAAATCTTTACAGCGCTGGCAAGCTTCGAGCGAGCGACTCGTATTACAAGCTGTTCCAGGCTGTTCCCACCGGCCTCCAGAACCATCATGACCTTTGAGTTTTATCGTCGTAAATATCGTTGTACCGCAACGATATTCACTAAAGGCTAGTCTTCACACACAGTATCTGATAGGCTGATAAGTTCAGACTGGGCGTGTCGTGTTGATAAGCGCGCAACTGGTGGCGGAACATCAAGATTAATCAAACTTGAAGATTACCGGTTACCAATCACAGGGACTTATCACTTAGTCCGGAAGTTTGATTGATATCCAGCTTGAAGTGTTACTAGTACTGAATTCCTTCATCAGATATGATCCCTAACAACTGTACCTTGGCAACTTCAGGGAGTACGCCTCAAGCGCGAGTACTGTAGCGTCGGGAAGGGAGAGGGATGGAATCAACGTCAGCGTTGTGGATGAAAGGACAGTCCCAATGTTTCATATCATGTGTCGACAAAAATTCATCCTGCAGGACGGACGTCCGGCTTGCGGGGCAAACTTGGGACAACCCGAAAATTTTCCCTAAATACCAAGATAATAGTACGTCCCATTCCAGTTACTTCAGAGTCTCATGTCCTGCTGCTAGCCTGCACCCAGTGTGAACCCTACTTGAGAATGGATACCTAATCCAGCCCTGGCGTTGATGGTCTAAGTGCTCCCAGCTTCCGTGCTGATATGCCTCCCCTCCTCTGGCATCGGAGAGAGCTTAGCAAATGCTGTATACCTGGTAGAATAAAATCTCCTCTAGCGCCTAACTAAAATGCTTTGTCTTACTGGCGTTTAACAGTGACACTGGCACATTGTCCTCAGTCTCCGAAACGATCTGAGAGCCAATGACGGATACTGTAGTGATCCGGAATTTTTTCACAATATTCAACAAGCCTAAGAATACCCTTATTCAACAGTGTTATTATCACAGAAAATTTTAACCACACCCTATATAATAATACAGGTAGGTCTTCAGGTGCTTTTCGAAGCCCAGTGTCATTAAGATGACTTTTTACCGCTGACCAGATCTACGTATTCGCGAAATTGGGAACAAATATCATACACGACACCATACCTGTTCGATCATATGATTCTGTCACTTCCGTTTGCATGCGGACGGAGTGCGGAGTTCACTAGTCTCGAATTTCAATAGCGGAGGCTCAGGTGCTTTTCAAATCTAGGTTTGATTACCTTCACAGGCGATGTTGATGCCACAACCACCATCCAGGTGAGAAACGTACCCAGTGCTACGCGAATGTGCTTAGATGCGGATTAAACTTATCTAGGCGCCAAAATATCATAGGACGCGCTCATGTGCGGATTATCTTGACAGTGTACCCAGATATGGCACATACGTAATATGTTTCATGTTAGTCTGAGCCATCTCGCCTGCATTTTGCCCTGACGCCGCTCAGAAATCTCAGTCCTCCTATCTCAACGCTCGCTGACGGATTTGGTGTTGATCCAGGTGCTTCGCTACTGCCGGCATGATAGATTTACACGCGATTTTCTTCCTCGATGCCCCCTTCCGAAACATGGATCCGAGTGAAACCGACACATTATAAAGACTGACAAGTTCAGAGCAATTTCTCTCTTAACTTGCCTCTCATTTTTCCATCCGACATATTTCTCATCTCGACGTTCACGACATGAATACGACGACCCCTACGGCTCTTACTGCAACCTACACGACCACTCATCTTGACTGTGAGCCCTCAGGATTTATCTTACCTGACCTCCTAGATGATTGCCACTATCCCCTGCGACAGAATCCCCACCGTGATCCAGTCTCTCGCGCTTCTGAACAGTGGCTTCTTAACGGAGCGCGTTTTTCAGGAGCCTGAAATCACCGAATTTATGCGAATGGACGTAGGTGCACTTACTGCAGCTTTGCCATCCTGATGCGGATGCTTTCCATCTCCGAGTCATCACTGACTTCGTCAATTTCTTGTTTACCATCGACGACTGGATGGAATTTGATGCCATCGATGCGCGGGGAGCGGGTGAAAGCTGCATTTTTGCATACCGCGATCCCATCAACTTCCACACGGAACAGCTTGGCGCAAAGATGTGCAAATCGTATGTCCATTTATTCTATCGCATACGCTCCTTTCTAACAGTCATTATACGATGTTTAGGTACTTCAGCCGCTTTAGGGAAACTGGTGACCCCGGCTGCACCGAGCGCTTTATCAACACAATGGACATGTTCTTCATTGCTGTGGCTACGCAAGTGGAAGTCCATGCCGAGGGACGTACCCTTGATCTCGGATCTTACATCGCCATGAGGCGAGACACGAGCGCCTGCAAGCCTTGCTTTGCCCTCATCGAATACGGAGTTCAGATTGATCTCCCCGATGAAGTAATGTCGCATCCAATTATCATGGCTATGGAGGAGGCCACCAACGATTATGTTTCTTGGATCAACGTAATGCCCCATTCTGTCATCGAACGCTGGGCTACTGCTGACATTACCGTTGATAGGATATATTCTCGTACAACAAGGAGCAATCTCGTCATGACACACATAATATAATTGCCGTGCTCATGCATGGACAAGGCCTGGACCTGCAAGGTGCTGTCGACTACACCGGCCGGCTGTGCGCGGATGCCGTCAAGCGCTTTGAAGCCAACCGTGCCATTCTCCCCTCGTGGGGAGAAGAGATTGACGGGCAGGTGGCTATCTACATTGATGGGCTGCAGGACTGGATGGTCGGTGCGCTGCACTGGCACTTCGGTTCCTTGCGCTATTCCGGGAAAGATGCGCATGCGGTCAAGCAGGACCGAATCATCAAGCTGCTTCCCAAATGTTCCTTGTAGAGCCCATACCTAGGGCATCGATTTCTATAGGTGAGCTTGATTATTTCCTGCATAGCACGCTTCTGACTGCGATGACTTGTGTCGTAGAACACTACATCACCTATGTCTATTGAGCTGAAAAATTGACTCTGGATCCATAACGCGCGTAATAGGCTGTCTTTTTTTACTTTTATGTTCTAGGCTCTAGGCTGACTCTCATGCAGCGACTTTCCGTTTAACATGTTTCGTCTGTGCTTTGTACTGGCAGTATTGTATTACCACTGTACATGGAATCGTCTCATATCCTTGTACAAATACGTAGAACCATGTCTGCCAATCAGTATGTTTTTAGTTACTTACGAGCTACTTATGTAGCACATGTGAATGTACATTATGATGCGAAAACCACTGAAGAGTTTAGCTTGTAACATATGCTTCAATTTTCAGCAAGCAAGCTACTTGCTGTCGCAGCACGTAACGCAATACTTACGCGTTTAGAGCGTTGCAGGGGCTTCGCCAGCAGCGACGCCTACCTTACAGATACTCTCGAGAACGATGCTGTACAAGGTGACTACGACATGACGGTAAGCACCTCAAGGTGTAATAGATACGAATGGATAGGGTTCAGCATCAACCACATAATCCTCATGCTGCATTCCAGCGCATCCCCCGCCCGCAATGCACTTCGCAATCTCCTCCCCAGCATGCAACCCCTCATAATAAGCACCATGAAGGAAACCTATATTCGCCATCATGAATAAGCACATCCCGAGTCACTCAGGGAAAGCACGCACCGAAGTACTTCAAACTCGTAGCTTCACCCGCAAACCAGAGTCTCTGGTCCACTGTCGCCTTCAGGTTTTCGGAGTGACCAGGAAGGAAAGAAGGGGGCCAATTTGAATAGGAGCCACGGAAGAGGGGGTCCGCATGCCAGCGCTTGAAATGGAATGCGACGGGATCAGGAACGGTGGTGGTAGGGTACATAGCTCGAAGGACTTCCATGACTTCGGCTTGAACATCCGAATCTTCCATCGCCTCGATGCGCAGTGAGAAATCGCCCTGGATGATCGTTGAGAACAGCAAAGAAAGCAAGTAGAAGAGCGGCGGCTGACTTACGGTTACGGTCACAAAGACCAGACCAGAGCCAGGGAAGAAGTTGACGTGGTCAAGATTCTGCCAGATCGGATACCTCCCACGTTCCTTGTCTGCATATACGGCCATCTAATCCAGACGCATTAGACAATAACCAACGTCAATGCGCATCCTCACCTCAGTGTCAAACCAGAACTTCTCTTCAAATTGCAGGAAGATTTTGGTATATGTACCCTATAGACAGTTAGGTTGTCCGAAAATGAACTCTTGAGCAGACGTACCATGACCATGCTTTGAATCGCCTCCATCTTCCACGAAGGAAGAGCAGGCTTGAACGCGACATCACCATATTGCAGTACCCCAAGACTAAACGTACAAAGCACGTAGTCCGATGTGAGAGTAGTACCGTCTGTTAGTGTAACTGTTGCCCCATCCTCACTGTATTCAATCGACGCGACGACTGAATTCAGGGAGACCTGTTGAGGCTGAATAAACTCAGCAGCCTCGGCCTGGATAATTGTTTTGAAGCCACGCTGGTCGATGCAGAGGTTATTCTCGTCTGAGAAGCCACCCATATCCGTATCAAAAGTGAAGTTCGTGTTCTGCGTGGATGGATCAGATATTCACGCTGTGCGTGGACTAGAAATATATATACATACCCAGGCTGATGCGATCCATGAAGTTTGGTCCGGCGACTAGTACGAGTCTAATGAGGATCATAATACAGTAACATGGTTGCGCTTCCGTACCTGTGCATCTAATGGATGTACAGTTACGAAGATTAGCAGCATCAAGATAGCTAAGGCAGGATACACTTGCATTCCTAACCAGTTTAAGATCAGGAACCCGGAATGCTTGGATAACAAACATTCACGTACCCAATCAACTTCATAATACTGACAAGCTGATTCATACAGGTTCTTTGGCGTTGCACCAATGATACCGTATGCACTTTGGAGGCTGAGATCAACCTGCTGCGTCTTGACGCGTTCCCCTTATAGATTTTATGAGCACACAGAACTGGAGAGAGTGGACGGCTATACCTGCAACTACTCCGGTTTGTGTAAATTGATCGATTGATGTGTTCAAGAGGTCCCGATAGTCGTTGAACCCATTATAGTCGTAGGTCGCTGTTCACCAGTGATGAGTCAAGACTAGTATATGGAAATGTCTAATCATAGACATACTGATACTGCCATCAAGATCATTGTACTGGTTCTTGACATCGTGCTTTCGAGCCAGGGTCAGAATGGGATTAGCTGTCCCGTTGCCGGTCTGCGTTCCCTGGATCCAGTTAGGGCCAACCTCAACCGTGTACTGCTTGCCGGGGACACCAATAGTATAGTTTTGCATCCTTCCACCAAGCTGATCGCGTGCTTCGACGATCAAGAAGTCGTCGATGCCTTTCTCATGCAGGGTACGCGCAGCGATGACGCCGGTAACGCCGCCTCCGAGAATCAGCACCTTGGCATTCTTGGGTGAACTGTCGTCGTTCTGACGAGTGAAGCGTGATGGCAAAGCTGAGGTGAAAACCGCAAAGCCAAGGAGCACTGCGAAATGAACGTGACGCATTTCTGCAAGACTGAAGAGGTGTGAAGACACGTCGCCTCAAATCATCACTATACCGAGAACTCATTTATACGTGCGGCGGGTGTTACGCTGACCCCGAGCCGGAAGCTGACCAGTCGAAAATCATGCCTGCCGCTAGTCGGACGCGAGTAAGTAAGGGTGGGCTATGAAGTACTTCCGGCATTCTTAGATACAAATATATGAGTACTTGTTGGCCCTTAGTGATGACGGAAATGTGTCTTTGTGTTGCATGATAACTGGAGAGCGATTGCCAAGCCAGCTTGTCGTAATTCTGTAATTTGATTGTCTTTGGACTAGGTCACCAATTTAAAAAAAACACTTGCCTTGACTGCTAGCTTGGTCTCTCGCGGTGAGTCACCTGCGGCACGATGTGCGAGGTTGAGCTACATCTACGAGCGTTAGCTCTAGGAGGGACGCCCCGAAGCCGCTTACCCACATGCGGGACTCCCAGTCGCCAGCAGCCTGACCACAGTGTTGCAAACCAACAAACGGTGGCGTTGTGTAACTTGTTTGAATGCCTATGTCTCGTAGGCTACTAAGGAGCGTCAGCGACCGGCGAGCTACACTGAGGAGATGTGAGAGGACCTGGTGTACATATATGACGATTGGACTTACAGATTCTGGCACTAATAAAGCTTGTCTTTTCGAGTGGATGAGACGCGCAAATGAACCTTTTTGTCCGCATCTTCTACTAGGCACTACGCTTGGCCTCCACATCTGAGTCATAGTTGAAGTCAATGTTCCAGGTGAGAGTGGACCTTGTCAGCAGGGCGTATTGGACATAATTTAAGCAATCATACGTGATTCTCTGGCCTACCTGCAAGTACCTCATGTTCTCGATGACTTGACATCACGAAGTTTGAAGACAAACCGTAAGCTGGATATATGCGCTTGTCGAGCTCTGACCCGCCCACCTCTAGAAAATGTTGCAATCAAAGTTCGCGAGTCCCTTGGAATTCGCCCCTCCTATCCTCATTTCGAGTCCTGTAGTAAAAGTCTATCCTACATTCGGCCTTTGTGAACTACGGGCGTGGTAGTCACGAGTCTTCCATCAAGTCCGGAACCGACGTTCGAACTGGACGTTCGGTAGGGTAATTACCAAATTCAGTAATGCTCAATTACCATTTACCCCTCAATTCGGTTCTCCGTTAGTCTTTGTTCATGCTCCATTCCTAAGGCCTAACCAAGCAACTTGAGTAATGCATTTCTTCCTGTTCGGCTCCCGGATCTCAAAACGATGAGGGTAGTACGTGTACCCCACCTATCTCGGCTGAGCCTAGGCATAATTTGTTATCCGACTTTGACCTTCTTTGCACCCCCTGGTGGTGCTCTGCGGTACCAACCACCATCACCTCATCGCTCATTAACGCTACTCCTTTCTCGACAAGTCCCAGTCCAAGAAGTCGCACCGATATGGTTTAGCAGCGCAATATTTCCCTGGTGATACATGTTTCCCTGGATTCCTTGGTTCGTCTACATAGGGAAGACTGATCTTCGACAATACGGCTGAACTCGATCCTATGGCTGACCAAACTCGATCCTGTCGATCTACGCCGCCGCACTCCATCATGCACTGCGAATCTCTGCATGCGGAATTAGTAGTATTACTGTGTCGAGCCGCCGCTACACCTTGCTCTCACCGGACTTGAAGACGCTCACAGTATTCGTCGTGGCTACCCGCCTGTCACTGTTCTTGCAGACAGTGTTCAAGTTGACAATGAAACTGAGATGCATCATGGGTGGGGTATTATCGAGCTACGGAATACATGCGTACTTTACCGAGCGTTTCTATGCATAACCCGCGTGGGTACTACCTGGTGGATGTGATCATGATACATGCGACTAACGCTAAACACAGGTTATCACGATAATCATCGGTCATAGGGGATGAGGGACAATCATGTGCAATCCAACTCCTGCACTTTCTGTACTGCCCATGATATCGCTGGCTCTTCAAGTTGTCCCCGCAGTGAGTTCTTTCCATTTTCTCTCGCGTACACTCATAACGCTTTGGTTGTGGATCGAAAAACCAGGCTTATCGCACGAATACTGGAGGAGTTCATTCTCTCCGGGACCTATGAGTGCACCTATGACTATGTACTTGGAAGACGTCGAAGTTCTGATTAGAATAGTTTAGGTATTCACGTGACCTGCGACGACTCTGAGTCTCTGACCGTCTTCAACTTCAATGAGCTAATATTGCAAAGGATTTTCGGCTGTCACTCTCGCCGCACCGGGCACCCAACGTAACAGTTGGTTCGCGAGGCATAATAATCTACGCGCGTAGTGAGCAAGCAAGGTCTTCGACGTTCATCGAGGATCAATGTCCCACTATAGCTAGTAGTTCCTACTGAACTGCTCAAAAAAAATTGCTGTGGTTCAAGGGAACGACAATACGACGAGAGATAGAATGTAAGTACCTCAAGGTGTGATAGACACGAATGGATAAGGAGAAGCATCAAGCACAGTATTCACATGCTGCAGTCCAGCGCATCCCCCATCCTCAACGCACTTAGCAATCTCGCCCCCGGCATGCAAGCCCTCGTAATAAGCACCATGAAGGAAACCTACATATATACATATTTAGTCTTCATGAACAAGCGCACCATTGTTAGAGAAAAACGCACCGTAGTACTTCAAGCTGGTACCTTCACCTGCAAACCAGAGCGTCTGGTTCACTGTCGCCCTCAGGTTTGTAGAATGGCCGGGAAGGAAAGAAGCGGGCCAATTGGAATAGGAGCCACGGAAGAGAGGGTCAGCATTCCAGCGCTTGAAATGGAATGCGACGGGATCAGGAACGGTGATGTTGGGGTACATAGCTCGGAAGACTTCCATGACTTCGGCTTGAACATCCGAATCTTCCATTGCTTCGATGCGCAGTGAGAAATCGCCCTGGATATCGTTGGAATCAGCGACAAAAGTACGTAGAGCACGAATCATGGCAGACTTACGGTCACCGTTACAAAGACGAGACCAGAGCCAGGGAAGAACTTGACGTGGTCAAGACTCTGCCAGATCGGATACCTCCCACGTTCCTTGTCTGCATAGATAGCCATCTAGTCCAGTCCAGTTAAAGATATATTCAACGTCGATGCGCATCCTTACCTCGGTGTCAAACCAGAAAGTTCTCTTCGAACTGCAGGAAGATTTTGGTATAGGTAGCCTGCAAACAGTTAGGGTTGTCCGTAAATAAAATCTTGAGCGGACAGTACCATAACCAGACTTTGAATGGCCTCCATCTTCCACGAAGGAAGAGCAGGCTTGAAAGCGACATCACCATATTGCAGTACCCCAAGACTGAACGTACAAAGCACGTAGTCCGATGTGAGAGTAGTACCGTCTGTCAGTGTAACTGTCGCCCCATCATCACTGTATTCAATTGACGTGACGACTGAATTCAGGGAGACCTGTTGAGGTTGAAGAAACTCAGCAGCTTCGGCCTGGATGATAGTTTTAAAACCACGCTGGTCGATGCAGAGGTTATTCGTGTCTGAGAAGCCACCCATATCGGTGTCAAAGGTGAAGTTGTTGTTCTGTGAGGATCGTCAGGTGTTTGTTCGTGTGCGCTAGAAAGATATACACATACCCAGGCCGTCGCTATCCACGAATTTTGGCCTGGGTTCTGGTGCCAGAGTCATGAGAATCACAATCCAGCACCGTAATTACGCCCTCGTACCTGTGCAACTGATAGATGTGCCGTCGCAATGATTAGCAGGATCAAGACGACTAAGAAGGAAATACTTGCATTCCTAATGACTTTAATATTAGGAATACGGAACGCTTGAATAGCAAATATTCACGTACCCAGTCGACTTCATAATACTGGCAAGCTGCTTCATACAGGTTCTTTGGTGTTGCACCGATTATGCCGTACGCACTTTGGAGGCTAAGATCAACCTGCTGCGTCTCGACGCGTTCCCCTCATAGATTGTATGAGCACACAGAACTGAATAGAGTAGATGGTAATACCTGCAACCACTCCAGTTTGTACAAATTGATTGTACGACGTGTCCAAGAGGTGTCGATATTCTTTGAACCCATTATAGTCGTAGGTGGCTGTTGACCAGTGATGAGCCCAGACTAAATATTAAAATCTAATCTTAAACGTACTGATGCTGTCATAATTATTATACTGGTTCTTGACATGGTGCTTTCGAGCGAGGACCAGAATGGGATTGGCTGTCCCGTTGCCGGTCTGCGTTCCCTGAATCCAGTTAGGGCCGAGTTCGATCGTGTATTGTTTTCCGGGGACGCCAAAAGTATAATTCTGCATCCTTCCGCCGAGCTCATCGCGTGCTTCGACAATCAGGAAGTCGTCGATGCCCTTCCTGTGCAGGGTACGCGCGGCAATAACGCCAGCAACACCGCCTCCGAGAATCAGCACTTTGGCATCTTTGGTTGAGCGGTGGTCGTGCTGACTAGCGGAAGGTAAAAAAGCTGTAGCGAATGCCGCAAAGCTAAGGAGTACAGTGAGGTGGACTTGGCGCATCTCTGTGAACTCTGGGCGAAGACACACTATCAAAAGTATCTGTACCTACGGTACTTACGTGCGGCGACACGCTGGGGCCGAACAGCTTTCCCGGTACGGCTGCTACCTGGAAGCGAATAACTGCCGGTGGACCAGCTGATGTTTGGCGTCCTGGGTACAAAAAACATTCTAGCGAAGGCGGAGACGTATCGGAACTACGTCGGAAAATATCAATTTCCCATGTATCACCAGTTGACCACCTCGGAAGTAATGTGACCGCTGAAGCAAAGGTGAAAATCCAATGTTTGGACTTGGTGGCAGTGTAGGCTAGTGTAAGATGGGTTCAGGCAAGGTTCAGGAACACAAACGACTCACATGTCTGTTCTCACGTCTCGCTAGGGGAGACTAAAGTTTGTGGGGTCGGTTGGTCGCCGCGCGTCCTGGTCTGTCTCGTGACTCTCGTCGCGTTAAATGCCAATTAGACCACCCCAAAGTCTAATGTTCGAGAGCGTGGGTCGCGGAAACCGTTCGCTGACAGCACATCACTCATTACATACGCTCAACCCTCGGAATAATGAGATATATCACGAGCACAAGCCGCGGAATGACAGTCTTGTTCAACACATGTCCGCTGGCTGGTATAGTCGTCCTCAAATTCGTCACTGTAACTTTTACAGCCGACGGTCAACGCAGTAGAATCTACCGCTACCGTGACGGGCCATGGGCCACGTCCAAAGTTCTTCGCGACAACTCCCATGCGAGAGCGCTGTATGTCACGTATGTATGTGGGCTGGAATTTATGATGCACATTCTCCTATACTCCGCTATTGCTTATAATATAAGAGGCCTATCCTCTCGAGCTCCTTCCCCGTCCGGGGTCGTCCCTATTTAGTCGGCCACTTCGGACTTGATCGATTCACCTATTCACTCCTGACCAATCGTCATAGAACAGGCGGCAACTATACGCCGTCCTCCGAATAGGAGCAGTTCCCCGTAGGATAGGTCCATGGTCGACGCCGAACAAGAACATGAATCTACCATGCCAGGGGAGCAGACGCCGTAAAATCTCTTGTGCACCCTCAGCATCATGTCATGTGAATTTTCAACGGTATGAGCAGACACTAGCAGCCTCCACATCCTTCGTTCTTGCCACGACTCCACTCTGTCTCGAGATCGAGAACCACTTTCGAGGACAAATAAGCATCGGAGCGCTCATCCACAAGATCCTCCGCAAGGTTGGACACATGACATCGCAGTGAAAGGAGACGTCAACGAAGGGTGCCACATACATAAAGGTGCAACCGCCATCGGCGGTGACTCATCGCGAACAACTTTCAACCGCGCGATAAAGAAATGTACCCCCGACCCATTGGAATTCATGTTGGCAGCTGTTTCGCAAAAACGAACACACCAACCGACCGCGTAATATCATACGGCTCCAACTTCTTGTCAAGTACTTACATCGAATGATTTTTTCTTTCTTCAAAAATAAACAGCTCTAATTCCCGGTGCATAATATCAATTGGGCAGCTGCAACGCCGTGCTAGATCCAGCGTAGTCTCCCCTAGACTGTGTTAGTCTCCCGTAGTCTTAAGACCTCGAAACAATGAAGACAGTCGTTCTATCTTTTCAAGACGGCGCTTTTATTTATTTTTATTTCTATTCTCAATTTGGTAAGGTTGGTTCGCGTTGGTGGCGGGGTGGCAGTGCAAGAGGATGGGTTTGCAGAAAACGCTTGTTTTGACAGGTGCAGGTGTCTTCGTAGTTGTCGCTGGTGCATCGTATCTATCTGACCAACCCATGATGAATTCATTCCTTCGCCGTTTCACGACCTCCGCGTCGACCGCAAAGCCTCTGTGAGTAGTTTCTTCGTAGTTGTTCAATTCGCTCACAAAAAATTTGGGCTGCTAGGTCTTCGCGCGTATTCGTAAGTTCCAACGGATTTTATTTGCTGTCACTAGAATTAAGTCTTTGCAGTTCGACATTGCCATAGACAACAAGCCGTCCGGGCGCATAACATTTAAACTATACGACGACATCGTCCCCAAGACCGCGAAGAATTTCAGGGAACTTGCTACGGGCCAACACGGGTTCGGTTATGCTGGAAGCACTTTTCACCGTGTCATCCCCACTGTAAATCATATTTTTCCTCTTCGACGATTTTCATACCTAACAGATGTGGTTTTTTTTAGTTCATGCTTCAAGGGGGTGATTTCACGCGACACGACGGCACTGGCGGCAAGTCGATATACGGGGAGAAGTTCGCAGGTTGGTTCTTTTGAAATTCGGGTTTCTTGTTGTATGACTGATGATTTGATATACAGATGAGAATTTCAAGCTGAAGCACGAGAAACCTGGACTACTGTCCATGGCGAACGCTGGCCCGAACACTAACGGTTCTCAAGTGCGTGATTATTGTCGAATTTATATTAAATACTGATGGGCTTCGTAGTTCTTCATCACTACTGTGGTCACATCATGGTTGGATGGCAAGCACGTTGTTTTCGGTGAAGTAGATGAAGGGATGGAGGTGGTCAGGACCATTGAAGCTCAGGGCACGAGGAGTGGGCGGACCAACGTCAAAGTCTCTATAACGGCTTCAGGTACTGTAGAGTGAGGAACGTTTGCTCAACACCTTTGCCACGCTTTCGATATCTTACACCACATTCTTGCATTGAATCCACGTTAGACTCCGTTGCTTACCGATACTAAAGTATCACGCACGCCGTCCGTGAGAAGCGACTGAATGACATAGTATAATTACTAGCTGTCGAGCTTGTCTTATCTACTGACGATCCAGACATGGTTTCCACCATTACTGACCTTCCAGCAGAACTCATCGAAGCTGTGCTCATTGTGTCCGCAGCCTCCGGCGACACAAGTTCAATAGCAGCGCTCTCCCAGACGAGCAAGTTATTCTTCGACATAATCTACCGCTGCCCAGACCAACACCTCTGGCGCGAGATCTTCCTTACCACCTTTGATGACCCCAGACCAGCTTTGAGCAATCTCAGCACCATATCAGGTGGTCACCCCAACTTTGACGCCCATAAGTTTGACTGGACACAGGAGTACACAGACCGTATTAGCGCAGCAAGGTATATCAGACATCCTCCACCTCCAGTGCCAGCGACGGCCCCAGTATGTTCGCAGCGGGAGGTCTCCAACGTATCTGTTGTGAAAGCACTACTCTCAGCTATCACCACATCCACCCCCATCCGATCCACCCCACCCGTCTCTCTCACCATCCTAACCGACGTCCCCGAGTCCAATTCCCCCTTCGCACCCATGATCAACTCTCCCCCATTCCCACCCCTGCTTCTCCTACTTACTGCCAACTACAGTTCCATGCTCGAGAGCGTCAATGCGAAATGGCTTCAGGAGCTATTAGAAATCGGCCTCCCACCAGAGCTCACGCGCACGCTACTGGCACGGCTACCTATAGATGTCCAGGGTCATGCGCCGTACCAACCTGCTCTAACCTCTGCATCGCACTGGGACGGGTCAGAGGTCGCCCACTTATTCCACAAACTCGTGTGCTGCACCGGCTTTATACCTATTTCCGCACCAGCACTCGATCTCCTAGACCTACTCACTCCTGGATTATCCTCAGAACCAGATCTTGCAACCGTTCCCGGAGCCTGGCCAGCTGCTCAATTAGCATCCCCGTTGGCTTCATCAGACTCACCCACTCCTGACGAGGACGAGACACGCTCTCTACCTCCCCTGCCAATCCCACGACCGCCATCGTCGTTATACACCGCCGAAGAACAGTCTGCTGACGCTCGTACCCTCGCCCGCAGACGCGTCTATGACATGCGCTACCTCAACCCCGCACGCATGTGGGGCCCCTTCCAAACTGTCCAGCGCGACACCGATGACTCCTCAAACCAACCTGAAAGTTCTGACGAGGAAGAGGACAGGTACGATGACGATGATGACGACGACGAATTTGGGATGCTGCGCGAGTCCAGCCGTAGGCTTAATCTGAGCCCGCCAATCGAGCCGTACGAGCTCGTACCTGATTATGTGTGGCTCGCGTCTGCGCGTATGGTGGTGGAAGCGAATTTGAGGGAGGTGTTTAGGCGGGAGCCGGAGCCGAATGCACTTTCGATGGGTGATATTTTACCGTATATGCGAAAGATGCATACGACGTGTGTGGGTGGGTCGCCTGGGTATTGGAACGCGTGGGTAGATCGGCCTGGGAAGGGGGAGGAGGGGTCTCAGGACAATGGGAAGAGTAAGCAAGGTGAAGTTGAGGGATGGGATTGGGCAGGGGTTAGTGGTATTTGGAAGTGGGTTTCGAACCATGCATTCTTCGAAAAGTTTGATTTGATTTTGTTGATATGTGCAGACGGTGTATTTGCTGGCTGGATTATCGAGAACTCCTGGGTAAGCACGCTTGGTTTGCCTCACTCCTCCATACTAAATGCGGTATATATCCTTCGCAGTACACAACGTGAGCCGCATCATTAGACAAAACCCTACCCTCTAATCCATCGCTACATACTACAGCTCGAACCTCAAAGGTTCCTCGAATACGGCATGCAAGAAGCCTGCCGAATTATGCCACTTGCCATCCGTATAACTGGCTATTCCGAATCCCCCATCGTACCAGGCAGCACCGCCCGGCCCCTCCCCACCATCCACGTCGAGGGCGAGTCCATAGGGTCTGACCGCAGTCTAGACGACCTGCGCAAAGTCACCGGTACGGTGAGCATGATCGGCGACGGAGCCATCCGATGGTCGCTGGTGAGTGCTTTCGTTTTGCTCTGCCACCCGCGTGGTTTGGGGTTCCTTGCGTACGTATTTCTGATGCGAATTCGGATTCAAAGGTGTCCTCGGCGGCGGGTTCTAGCAAGCCTGAGTGGTCGTCGGAGGCTGTGCAAATTGGGGGGCCGGGTGCAGCGGTGGGATTTTTGGGATTGTGGACGGGGGCGCGGCATGAGAGACCAGACCCGCTTGGTGAGTGCTGGTGCTTTGTTAGGCGTTGGTGCGGCTTATGGTCGACACGCGTAGGTCCGTTTTGGGGTTGGAAGGTTGTGTGAAGTGGACCTGTGGTATGCGAATCTGCGGGGAAAGTGTTTTAGCTTTGGGATGGCTCCAGCTATTTGGTCCAATGTGATGAAGGTAACCTCTGTATCACTTTAATCAGACAACATTTGCGTGGCTAGGTGTTGGGGTGGCGAGATCGTGCACCCCGGGCTTGAAGGGCGCGCGTGTTGTGCGGACAATGATTCACTTAATGGACTTCAGCATAACGCCGGTACTTACGATAGTGAATGTCAGATTTGTTTGGCAGTGCGTTAATTATACTATCATTCCGGGTAATCTGCAACTTTTTCAGCAAATCTTTTGTAGCTCGTCAACCACTTCATTTTATCTTCCACGAATTTAGAGAGTTGTAGATTCGTACCACCTCTATATAGATCTGATTTTTGCTCATTTTTAGGACGTTGTGGTGTGGTGTCGGATGAAAGCCGAGAAAATTCAGGGTCTGACTGCTAATCTGCAAAATATGGTCACGTCGTGTCACGCCTCGGCGCAGCACCGGCACCGTCAACTTTGACTCTCCGCAGCTCTCGATCTGTTGGCGTTGAGTCGTCGAACTTGAAGTTGTTGAAGTTGTGCAAAGCTCTGAAAGTACTGAATACAGCAATATATTATTATTAAGTATCGCGATTCATGTAGTTATTGTGATTGTACTGGTGATATGGTCCTGAATAGAGCTGACGGCCTGCGACATCATATATCTGTGCCTCACCACCAACTCGAACATCTGCTCTACCAGCCGGCGCAAAGTGAGGAATATGTGGAGGCTGAAGCTGAGGTGCGGAATGGTGCATGGGACAATATGGGGGTGCATACCCGGGTGGGGGAAGATCCATGCGCACCATCGAGGGTTGACTCGGAGGGATAGGCTGTGGCTGATAGCCACCAAATGGTTTGTGCATTGAATTTTGACGAATCATGTCTTGCTTCGGCTTTCTTCTGACGGATAGTACGCCTGTGGTTTGGTGCCATTGTAACAAGGATGCGAGAATGATGCAAGAGGAGACGACACAACACAATGCAAGACTTGGTGTGGAGAGTGCAGATGCCGTGCACTAGCCGAGTGTGCCGTAGAGGAGATTGAATTTCTTACACTCTCTCCTATCTGCTGTCACGTTTTCATACATGTCGTCAATTCTTCCTCTATAGCATCTTAAAACAACAGAATGACCTTTATCGAAATTGTGTTCTGGAATCCTGACGAGGTGATTGTCATGCTCCAGGTATAACTTTGTGAATATATCTGTAGGATCTATGGGATCTGGATGATTTATGTTCCTGCATGGTTACAAATTACCACTATTTCATCTCTCGCAGCTCCAACACTCAAGAAATTTTCATTCTACTTGGACAATACATCATCTATAAGTAGTCTACATATGCCTGAATTTTTTGAAGTGAGTCGAGCAGCGCGTTGAGGTGTTTTGAACATTTTGCATATTACATGCTAGTTGCAGATTACCCGGAATGATAGTATCTGGAAGGCTACGCTGGAGCAGGACACGTAATGATAACGTTGTTGCAGCCTTTACATTGTACAAGCCCACCCCCTGGGCACCTGATGAGCCAAGAGCTCAATGCACCTATACTTCCCACGATAGTAAAGGAAAGAAGTTCTACATATGACGATATCTACGGCGCATCAGTTCACTGATGCGCCCGCCCACCTGCTGATCACCGCACAAGCCAAGCTGGTTCCATTCTCGCAGGCAAGACCCATTTGGCGGACATTCTTGCTCGTCCGTCCATGGAATCGTAATCTCCTGGAGCTACCTGACTATGTAAGCAATATGAGCTTGGATGCTTTGTCCTTGTTCGGGTAGGAGTCGCCTCGCTGGTCTGGTGATTCGGAATCTCGCTCACGAGCATTGCGGTTGATCGTTCGCCTCGGACAGCCTTTCGGCGCAATTTTGCTGGCACGGCAACGCGGTGAAGAGCACAAGAGAATCGCGTCTTTCTATTCCCAATATCATGGACGTCAGGAGACCAGAGATATGGTAGATATAAGAACAGAGATCTCTATTTCCATTTGTACCCCGCTATCTGTATCAACTGATACCCCTTCGCACGTCCATATTGTATGACAGCTCGGGGCAAGAAGGTTCATCATATCACATGCTTACGGCCCCCACCCCCACAAATGAATTTCAACGCAAGAATCACTGCGGAAACGAGTTTTTTACACCAACCGTAATCCGAGGGAGACAATGTGTATAACACGACTGTAAACGTACCTAGCTCGTAATCAGACGTAAATCCGACATGTCGCAAATTTTGCTCGCTCGGTCTGAAGCAACAGATGTAAACAGACGCTTTTCCAACTTCACCAACACACTTTTTCGGACCTCCGTTTATTCTCTTCAGATACCTGCTATTCCACCACTATCCAGCCCAGTAAATTCAACTTCTCGATGTCTGCTTAGGGTAGACTTGAAGCAAGGTGAGTTTTTCGAAAATTTCGCTAAGTCCGTAACTCGAGCGCTATGTCAAATACTATCAGGCTCGAGTTGCCAGCTCATGTACAAGCTTTTACTTTTACCTTCGAAACGATGCGTCCGGGACCCACGGTGAGTACTAAGTGTATTTCTACGAGGCCACTACCATTAATCATTCTTTTGTAGAACGAGCTCCTTATCGGTGTGCTGTGCGTGTTCGGTCAGTCGTTTGACCTCTGTGACAAGATATGCAACGGTCTCATTCAAATTTGGCGACTGCTCAAGTGCCCCATTTCGCCTATTCACGTTCTGGTTCACGTGCGGAAGGTGAGTGGCAGGCTGTCGACCCATTGAATATAGCATCATAGCTTGATACTCCTCGCTTCCAGGAACAACAGATGGTGCCCGCGAAGATGCCTCACTACCCGAGTCTCCTGCGAAATGACGGTATGGTGTTTTGCCTCGAGAGGATGTACTATTTGAGCTGAAATTCTGTGGCACGCTACCAGCTCGCATGGACTGGACGGGTGTCTGGTGTGCACCGAAAAAAGGATACGGGGATGGCTGACGCATATCGGGTGAGTGCTGCGGACTGGTGGAACGAAGCCTGTTGTTTAAATGATCTTGGTACATAGGTCCCCCAGCGAATGCGCCGCTGGTGTTGTGGTCACCGTGCTGTCCATTGCCTGACTGAATCGCATCCAGTAAGTCGCTTGACTTTTAGTGGGCGATCTACAAGCTCTTACCATCTCAAATCGAGGTACATTACCACTGAAGTATGGATCGTGTTGAGGCGGCTGATACGACACTTTCCCGGCGACCTGGGGTATATTATATTGAGGATATGCTTCTCCTGCCCCTACCAGTGCTGGCTGCTGAGAATCAGGAGCGGGAGCACCACTCGGGCGTCTCTGAGTCTGTTGGCCTTGGAACCCATACATTCTGGCGTGCAAGGTGGTGGGGGATATCAAGGACCGGGGAGCATATGTGGGGACCTAGCAGGACGAGTTCTTTGATACGGCACATGTCTATTCAGAATAGAAGCGGATCCGTTTATGCATAAATCCAGACATAAAGTAGACGTGCGGATCCTTATAACCTGGTCTGATACCGAGTTGGTTTAGATACTAAGGCAACAAACCCTATCCCTGCAAATCCCTAATATTCAGAGTCGGTTTTAGTTCTCAAACGAGTACCTTTTTCGATCTAGACGGGTAGGAATATGCTTGTTTGGCATTGTCCGTTTACATTCCGTTTACAGCCTCTAAACATACATAATTCCGATCCGTTCTAAATCTCGTTTCCGCAGTGAATGGAAACGGTATTCCACCCGTGATCGATTGATCGATTACCGGTTTACCTCGCGCCTCCGCTGACCGAGATCGGTCTTCGGCTTGTTTACGAATTGCTAGGCTACAGATTTGGGACTGTGCTCAGCAAGTATTACTATTAGATCCCTCTCGCGCTTGAGCCGTGCCGGAGAAAGTGTTCAGTCTTTACAGAAAATTGATCCAGTGGGGTTCCTGCTGAACCATGAAAGCAGGGTCATAGCTTATCGCAGAATGTGCATGATATTTTGATTTAGTACGTAGCACGAAGTGGCATGAAGGTAGCGCAGGATGTAGAAAGCGAATTCGTGCAGCTGGGGGTGAATCGCATACACAAGCACAAAAAAGAAGAAATACATTATTCGTACGTATGTACTGTCGAATATACAACTACAACCCTAATTTCCCCAAGACGACGGCCCAAAGGTGCCATTGATAGTGTAGTACGATTCGCCCCGCCCATCCGCCGTATTCAAGAACACAGTGTTGCCCCACCATGTTAAAACGTTATTTTCGCCGATCGTGCCGTTCGCCGGGTATTGCAGGCAGAAGAATATCAATACAATAGATACTGCGAGTCCAGAGTCAAGTCCAGCGGCCAAGACATCTGCGGGGCGTCAGTAAGATATACAGAAGCGGAAGGGAAAAGATGCGTACAGTTGTACTTTGTCCACCATGAGAAATGACGGCGTCGGATAACATACTGGAAGACGAAACCGACGATTGCCCAAGGGATGTAGTTGACGGCGGTCGCTGGTGGGATAGCGCCTGTTCCAGTGAAGATGACGGGGAAGCTACGGGCTCATGTTCAGTGTTCGAGTGCAAGCAAGGCGGATGGATACATACTTGATGTAACGAATCAAGCTGTTCGGCCACTTGAGGGAGATAGCCCAAGCAGCGAGGGGGCAAAGCGCGCCGATGAGGAAGAACCAGAGGAGGCCACCGTACATCTGACCGGGGGAGAACTGACGCTGAGGACCAATGACACCCCACTACCAGACCATCCTTGAATGAACAAAAAATACAGCAAGGGTAAGACTGCAACTTACGATGATCGATGCAGTACCGAATACTTGAGTGTTTGGGCAGATGAAACCATCTGGTTGTTTCGTGCTACAAATGTCCACGATGTTGGTGAACATCCAAGCTTGTACACCAAGCTGCACAGTTCCCGCGACAGCAGCTGCGCTGACTTGTGCGGCGAACATTGTGCGGGGAGGAATTTTCATGTAGTGGCCGAGCTTGAAGTCTGAGGCGAACTGCAACTGCTTGAGCCATGGTAATATAACCCCAGGTCTGCGCAAACGCGTTAACAACTGCACCAGGAGATATAAGAACTCTATCTACCTTGAACAACATCATCGCCAAGGGTCGTCCAGGGATAGCATAGCCAACAACCAGCTCCGTGATAACATTCAGACCGACTTGTTGATTCGTGATAGCTTGAATCATGCCAATGGGGATGATGTAGAAGAAAGCGATGATAAGTGCGAGAACGAAGCCCCACACTGGGAACTGTGTAGGCCAAACTTCAATGACAATGATGCCGAAGACGAACATGGCCACGAAGACGATAAGGTACCACCACTCGGGAACCTGGCGGTACCTGGCCATGAGACGTGCGTGGATGTCCGGCTGTTCGTCGATCGAGCGACGCGACTGTGCCCAGATCTGTTTGCGGAAGAAGAGGAAGGCATGCATAATGGTAGCGGTGATGGATGCAAAGGATAAACCGTAAGACACTGCGAAAGTTGTCGACAGGAAGAGAGGGCTGTATGCTTCATATGCAGTAACATTGAGCGTGCCATCGGTGCCAAGAATGGCAGTGACGTTGTAGCCGGCACCCGTATTATCGTACGAGGTGCGAGACATGATGGGCAGGAATTTGGAATACCAGGTATTGGTGTAGTAAAGGATCGGGGTAAGAATCCAGTAAAAGGTCACAAAGCCAACGAGAACGTTAGCCTCACTCCACCATGGCGTCGCGAGAGGGTTGACAACGTAGGTAATTTGGGCCCAGTCGAACGTGATCGTGCTCATGCCAAGGCCGCTTTCGTAGCCGAAGAGTTGGTTGACGACGACATTGTCTGGAGCGATCCAGCATACCCAAGAGAAGTAGCTAAGGGCCTGGAACAAATAACCTGGGACAAAGTACCAGGCACATCCCGTACAGAAGACATAAAGGAAGAAACGCTCTCGGGAGATACCACCACGCTTGCCAATACCAGCATATGTTTGCGCATGGAGTGTGTTAAATAAGGCGCACGTGACCAAGTTGGTGGGCCAGACTGGTCAAGTGTTGAATGTCTCGAAACATGTGGACAAGACAGGGACTCACTCATGGAGGGAGGAAGAACCAAAAACCGACGCATAATGCCACCCAGTGAGAAGCCAATCAGCTGGGTAGACATAACCAACATCCATTGATCTATACAGATATTAGACCTAGTAACAGATCGTTCAGAGGAGACACTCACAGCTGAAGTTAAAAGTTTGATTATAGAAGACTCTCTGTACGGCAATGATATCGGTCTGGCAAATAGCATTAATTGTGATCGTAAAGACCCCGGACAGCCGCACTTACCGCATACGCCGATTGCCATCCGACAGTAGCCATAATCGTGATTAAAACATGCTCCTTGATCGTGAAAGGCCCGGGGTTTAAGCGGGCGCCGAAGACTGAGATATTAGGTACGACAGCGGCCCAAAGACGACCCATAGGAAATGATAGAAGTTGGGCGACAATACCGGTGATGTTGACGGAGGGATATCGGAAAAAGAAGAACTGGTTCAAACCGGGAATGATAATCACCCAGAAAAAACCTGGCTTCCGGTCAGCCAGATAATAATAGCGTAATTTCTTCACTGACCCATAATCCATGCGCGGAGAGTGTTGCAGGGCATGGACATATCGTCAGTATTGGATACAGCCGATCGTACTTCAGGATAAGGCGAGTCATCCTCTGCGAGGGTCAGGAGGGTCTGTTCAGAGCGAGAATTAACGCTTCATATGAGGGGCTAACCTAGAACACCAGTTATAGCTTCGTCCTTGTTGATGTTTGGGTCATCAAAATCGGCGAGGGGTAGAGCATCGACTGCAACTAAAGGTACAGGTAAGAATAACTATTGAATGTTAGTAAAGTCAAGGGGAAATGAACGTACGGGCTGCCTTCTCAGCGTCGATCTTTTCGTCTGAGCCAGTGCTGCTCGAGTGCTCAGCGTAAGCTGACATGGTGGTCACTGGTCAGGAAGGAGGGATGGATAAAAAATAACCATGCTAGTGGCCCCGGCTTTTGTACGGTTCTTGTAAGTATGTAAGTACAAAGAAAGATAGTAATACGCGGGGGGAAGCATATGGTTCATGACCGTTGTTGCGCTAAGTGCTCTGTCAAATTACCTGTCTACAATGCCGGTAATTTCCCATAAATGTCAATCGGTCAAAGCTCGCGGCCGGCGAAATTCTTGGATCCATGTGGGTCCGGATCTAGATCTCCTCTGATCCGGGCCATGTTCCTCAAAAACGTAACGCAATTCTCCGTTCGGTTGTCGGGGTCTATATGCCATGTTGATAAGGTCACTCCACTTCCAGACCCACTCATACTCAAACAGTACTCCCAGTGCCGCACTCGTCACTCATGAGATCATGGTAATCAACAGTGACGGGGAGATGGTCTATCCCTTGGTCCTCTTTCATGTCTAAATGTATCTACTACTCTTCGGCACTTTGATATTAACATATTTATAAAGAATACATTGATTCGTCGATAATACCGTGAACAGCGTGGGTGTGCTTGCATGTTCCTGGTCAATGATGTGCCTAGCACCATTCTGCATCGTGATCAAAGGCCATCAACGCATTTTTAGGTCAGAATAGACATCCTCGCAGACTTTTTCTGACGAGTCAATCAGCAACTCACGTGCAAGCTGATTCCTTGTGTTTTTCAGACCCACACTAGCCGTCGTCATTCTTATCTCCCATTCAAACCATCAAACTACGCGGCTTCATGGGGGTAACTGTCACTTCGCTCCAACAGGAATGAAAAAGTATATGCTCAGCAGTCAAACACGATCAAACTTACCAAAGTGTCTTAGATGCTTTTTGATAACCTGGCAGATCAACAAATTTCTACTTGCGACTCCCATCGTGCAAGCCTTGTAATAGATGGGCCCGAGAATTCCGCGCATATAATCCGCCGCCTAGCTAGGGCTCCGTTCAGCAATTGTTCAATACATCAAATCAAGGCAGGAAGTTGAACTTTGCAAGGAATAAGGTTCGTAATGTCAAGTTCGAGACTTAATTACTATCCCAGACTGTCCCGCGGGCAATTCCCTACTTTATCACCCGTGCCTAGCAACACCGCCAGCTCGTCTCTACCGTTCTTGAAGGGGCCATGCTGCCGAAAGGTCCTCGAAAGTTGCTGTAGATCTCTCAGCCGGTAAGTAGTGTCCGTCTGAAAAATAATGTCGTTTGGAGGAACCAAGTCCGTCTCGTTAACTGAGCAGTAACCAGGAGTCAGACAGACCCATAGATATGCCGAACGTCACGGAGAAGCCTGGAATAGAGCCGATGCTTCAGGCAGTAGAGACTGGACAGTACCTGTTGTGAATATGGAATGTTCAGTCTCTGTAGCATGCCTCTGGCACCGAGAGAAAGATTGCAGTGGCAACACGGGGAAGTTGGGAACACAGGCAATTCCGAACGGGACAAATTCCCAATTCTGCTGCAGATAAATGATTTACCATGACAAGTGAATTTGATGAGCATTGACCGCCGAAGGACGTACTGAGACCTGAATATGGGGCTTCTAAGTGATAGCGGCCTGCACACGGCGAATTTCAGATTGGAGATATCCACGGCAATTAGGTAGAGGTAGACCGTAGACGTCCAATGATTACAGCCCAAGGCCTTTCCGACAGTCGGATATACGTCAATTTTTTTGGCTGGTGCAAGTTGGACGAAGCAGCAAGTACCCAATTGGGAGCTCCTGAGGTCCTTGTTTACAAATCTTTGCACCTATGTAACTTTGTTCAACACCTCGGTTCCGAACAACAGTACTACACTTGAGACAGACTGCATCGCTATCAACTTTACAAATATCATGGATTTCTCCTGGTCCAGTGAGTTATGGGTCTATTCACGAAACATTCTCAACTTGTGACCGTGACACTTGCGTATTCCCCAGCTCCTCTTCGCCGGAGTGGTCAGACTAGCTTGATCCTTATCCCAACCGAAATATATCTTGCGATTTTTGAATACATAACGCCAACCGGCCAGCCTCTGACAGAGGAGCACGTTAAAACATTCTCAGCCCTCGCACTCGTGTGCCGTTTTTTCTGCTCCATCGCGTTGCCGCGTGTCTTCGAGCACGTCGCATTTTCGGGGAATACAAATGACAAGAGGGCGCAGGCTTCGCGCAAGACAGTCTGGGCCAAGCAGATCATAGCAGATACTGAGCCGGCCAAGTCCGTCGCATCATACGTCAAGGAGTGTACCTTCGTTTCTTGGGATCTCCGCCAGGAGGTACAGTGGGTCCTCATTCCGTTCGCGAAGCTGTATTGCCAAGCAATGGCACGCATGCCGAACATTCGAAAAGTGGTATTTTACATGTCGTTTGTGAACAAACATCATTGGGAAGCGATGGCGGAATTAAAGCAGCTCGAAGTCCTCGAGTTCCGCTTTTGCTCCTTCGTAGAGGATCCACCCGATCAAGAACTCAGCGCCCGCACCGTGATATTGCTTAGTGCAGACGCTGTGACCACCTCCACGCTTCGGCCAATCGCAACTTCCGCCCTGCGCACGCTCGAGACAGATAATGTGGAAACTGCCCTGAAGCTCGTAACCTTTCATCGGATTGCCATTGAAAATTTGGTTTTCCATAACCGGGTTTACAATATGGAACCACTCCTTGATGTGTTTCAGCATCTGCCTAGCCTCGAGAGCGTAACCTTTGGGCTCACAAAACAAGCAGCGGCTTCACCACTCATCAGCGCGCTTTCTCTGAAAAAGCTCTTCACCCGCTTGCGTTCGCTCACTGTGAAAGGAGCTGGTTTTATAATGTCACGGCAGGACATGGAGATGGTACGTGCTACGTCGCCTGTACTGCTACCTCCCCAACTCATGATCATGACAGCTAGTATCCGCTCTCTGTGATGGACCTGGTATCCTTCCTAGCTTGGAGGAGCTTAATTTTTTGTTCTTCACGGAGGGTGGAGCTCATGGATCGATAGCAACACTCGACGTTGTCTCTGACCGGTTGAACGGGACAATAATTCCGGCGTTTCCGAATCTAAGATGCATTCGTGCTCTTGGTGGTTTCATCTCTTTGGAAGAGGGCGACTGGAAAATCCACTACTTAGAAGAACCTGAGATTATATGGGAGAGCCTTGGGAGGTGGTAGTCTCAGGACCCGTTATGAAGTATAGTTGAGGGTAATGCATTTGCATTACTGGAAACTCTTGAATCTTTATGCGCAGTCCAATGACACGAGCCTACGCTTCGCTATTCAAACCACGCCAGAACATCCCCTACTTGAACACTTGCCCCTTCCCTGATCCCTTTACCCAGGCTTTTGACTACCTTCCCAATACATTCTTCTCCTGCACAAATATTGATCTCGGTCTTCATCGCCTCGAGGATGATCAAAACATCATCGGCAGATTGTACGACGTCTCCAGGCTGGCATTTGATCTTCCAAACAGACGCTGACATGGAAGAAGTGACGCTTGTGCTCCCAGGTACAACATCTGCGGACGCCAGTTAAAGTGATTTCAACGAGTCCAAACTTTATCATACCTATGTCATCCGCCAATAGTGTGGGTGGAGCTTTCGCCGCCTTCTGCGCTTGCCATTCACGCAACAATTCGATCTCGCTAAAAACATTGCCCCCCTGGGATGAAAAGATTTTATCGTGTCATTGAAAACCTCACTCACCATGCTTCCTCCCTTGCGGTTCCTTCCGCTTGTTTTCGCTTAAACTCCGTGATCTCTTGCTGTATGCTGTCAATGAATGTCATGTATGCCGCCATGGAAAAGACAGCCGGCTCGATCTATCACCGCATTGGCATTGTCACTAATAGTTCACTCCGCAGAGGCACTGGCGATGACACTCACCTTGAATTTGTACTGTCCGGCATTGAATTCCTGTTCAATCTTCGCGATAGTCAGTTCAGAATTATCCCTCCGTGTGGACAGACACTATCACACACCTCAAGATAGCGTTTCTCGTTGACGGGTTCAAAGAGGACCTATGTATAAAGCTTTTTAGTAAAGCAGCGGGAAATGGATATCGCATTAACTACGCACCTGGTCAAAAGGCTGAAGCAACCACGGTCGATCGGAGGCAAAATCGGGCCCCTTGCCCCAGGTTTGCCACGCTGGAAGAGTGCGCCCAAATAGTTGGTATCCTCCTGGTGAGACGACAGGATAGATGGCTGCCACTGGACCAGCAATGCCGACGGCTCCCTGCGATGATTTAGCATATTACCCATTTGAATTTTTCCTATGGAACGAAACCTACACTAGGAGTATACGTCCGCGAAGGGTTCATTTTCTGCCCGACGAGACGGCATCGCGGGTCGATCTACTCCATTGTGAGCAGCAAAATCATTTTGTTGATATTGCCTTACCGGAACCAAGAAAGGACAAGCTAAATAAAAGCCGACACCGAAAACGAGCTTTATCCCGTTTAAGCACCGAAATACAATTCTCATGAAAGGCACATACCCAAGCAGAATCCGTCAGTTTTCGAAGTGCCTCATCGACGCCACCATCCAAACCATTATTACGTGCGAGATAATCGATATTGCTGGGTAGATAAACCGCGGCATTTCTAGTAGTCCTCATGTATCGTTGTAACGCATCGCGACTCCATTGATCGTCGAGTACAATCGGGAACGTGATCTTGCGCCCGGGGAACAGAAGATCTGATGCGGAATCTGGCAATGAGTGTTCTACATTTAATAGGACCGCGAGTACGTCCGCCTGTGAAATCACCGCAGGATCATAATGACACTAACAACAGCTCCAATCAGAACATCTTAACGATAAAATGAAATGCACCATTGTGGAGCGAATGCACGGGGCAAACGCCCATATGCCGTTGACGTTCCTCTTACGTACTTCCGATTCTAGAGCGTGTACGCGCGCTCGAAGAGTGAAGTCAAGATGCATATCTCCATATTCTACAAGAATTGCTGAGTCGCCAGCCTGATTGGCAGCCCCAGGCATCAGTTGTGACAGTCACCACAATGTAGCAGACATACCTGGCGAAATGTTACGGCGGGTCTCAGACTTCCTGATAGCGGCTCATTCTTGTGGAGGATTCCAGACAATTCCATACCTTCCAAAGCATCGTCGATGAAGTCCGGAGTCTGTGGTCGAGATCCGGCGACAGCGGCCTGCACAGTCTCAATCCATCTGAGCGAACTTTTTCTACAATCTTGTGCATCCTGCCACGAAATCTTGCGGAAAGTCACTGTGCTACCGGGACTCAGTTGCCCTAGCTTCCACCTATGCGAGCGATAAGCAGAGCCCAGCTGATCTGTAAAATCACCTACCTTTCTCCAATGGCAACGGTGCACAGGCAGACATACCCACCCATATCTGGACCTTCGTTCGTCAAGATAACGGGCGTATCTCCGTTCACGTTAATCGTCCCCAACGCATATCCGTTGTCTAGGATGTTGCTCGGATGAGATCCACCCTCGCCACCAGTGCTGCGGGCCCAGTCGATGCTTTGATTGCTCTCCAGCCGTATCCCCATCCTGTTACTCGATGAACTAACGGACCACTGCGTCGAGTAAAATTTCGTGTTTCCTTCAGGTGTCAAAAATTCGGCATCATCGTGTGGTCCAGCCAAGACTTGGATAACCCAATCTTGAGGATAAATCGGGATCAGGTTTTCGGGGAGCACGAATGCTACTGGTTCATCCTGCTCGGATGATGTTTCCGAACCTAAAGCAAGCTGATCACCGACTCTAAGTGATCTTCCCTAAGGGGATGGTGAGCAAAAGCCAAACTAAGTATTAGTAGACTCAGAGTACCTGATAGCCACCAAGACCCATCGACGTTGATTTAGATCCAAGATATGGTGGCACTTCAGGGAAGCCACCTCTGATTGCAAGATATACTCTGAACCCAGGACCCGGTAGGCCGCCAATATCGAGGGTCTCATTTTCGGAGATGGTGAGGCGAGCCCACATTGATACCTGCACTCCGTTGACCTTGACAGTTGCTGGCTTGCCGGTTACTGCCACAGTAGCGGAGCTGTGGAATTTCAGCTTGCATCCGGCGCCGGGGAGGGTGATGATCTCTAAAGCCTCCGTCTCCGGTGTATTGCCAGCAATTATGTTGGCTGCGCTGAATGCTCGAGAATCCATGGGACCGCTTTGCGGCATGCCTAGTCCGATACGCCTACCAGGTAGGTCTTGGATGGTCATTTCAATACCAGCTGAAAGGACGGTGAATGCTCTTTGAAAATGTTAGACATCCGTGGGTTATTTCGTGCACGTACGACTGCACGCACCTTGGAGAGAAATCAAAGTTGTCCAAAAATCGTGTTGTGGCCTTCCCTTCCTTGAAAATAGTGCTTTCGCATATTGACGCGAGGTAGGCCAGATTATTCGGCGGGCCGAAGACTTTGCAGGCTTTCAATACTTGAACCATTCTGGAAACTGCTTGTTCTCGTGTTGACCCAGTCACGATTAGTTTGCATATCAAAGGGTCAAAAAACCGAGTCACTTTCGTTCCTGTCGACACCTGCAAAGTCTATATTTGAGGATAGTGCTGGATGCAGGGGCAACGTACGTACCCAGCTGTCAACTCGAAGCCAATCCTCTTCTGGAAATTCCACGAGCTGTAGGATACCTGGACTGGGTTTGAAGCTTTCGGAGGGGTTTTCACAATAGACCCTGGCCTCGATGGCGTGGATACGAGACTCGACAAGGTTCTTGTCATAGATAGCTTGTGTCATGCTTTGAGTTGTATGATCAAGACCTCTCGCTTCCGACCGTTGTGCAATCCCTTGCGCTATCATCATTTCTACGAGGTCCAGGCCAGGATGTATAGCCTCGGTGATGGCGTGCTCAACCTGCATCATGATGAGGACATTTCCTCCCCGACGTTGACTACTACCCAACGCACCTGGATACGGGTATTCATTTCAAGGAAGAAAAACTGTCCCGACTCATCGTCCACAAGAAATTCTACGGTGCCTGACTCGCAATAAGTAAGATATGACCACCGATCCTTGTAGTTATCTAACCTGCGGATGCATATCTGATGGTTTCGCACAGCTTCACGGCTGAATCACACATATCTTTACGAAGACCTGTGAAATATCAACAGCTGCTCCACACCAACTTTCATAATCTCTTACTAGAATGACCAGCGAAGAATGGACTCGGCGTCTCTTCCACAACCTTTTGATGTCTCCTTTGAACACTACATTCTCTCTCTCCCATGTGTACCACATTGCCCAGTCCGTTACCGAACACCTATTATGCTGAAATATGGAACACGTAAATTAAACCTTCACAAATACTGACCTGTACTTCGATATGGCGTGCCGCGGGGTAGTAACGTTCAATAAAAACTCCACCGTTGCGAAACAAGGACTAGGGAATATACATTCAGCTTCAGCAAGTGCGTAAGCCATGATACTTACAGTCGCCCTTTCTTGAGCACCAATAAAGCAATTGGAAAGGTCGTTGCGATTTCGACAAACAAGGAGGCCCATTCCTCCTCCTCCAGCTGTCGCTTTCAGAATAATAGGAAAACCAATCGTATTTGCTATGTTTAACGCCTCATCGAGAGTGTTTACAAGCCCTTGAGATCCTGGAACGAGTTCCAAGCCAGCATTTGCAGCAAGGACCCGGGCTTCGTGTTTTAGACCCATGATCCGAATGACGTCCGGTTGCGGACCGAGCCAGATCATCCCAGCTGCCTCTACAGAACGAGCAAATTCCTCATTCTCCGAGAGGAACCCATATCCTGGATGAACCATAGTAACCCGATATTGCATGCATATCGAGGTGATACTAGCACTTGACAAATACAGCTTTGACTCTGATCCTAGTTCCTCTTGGTCGCTTGCACGGGTCTGCAAATGAACAGTCTCGTCTGCGATGGCAACATGAGGCGAGAGGGCGTCTGATGAGGTATAAATGGCTAATGTTGCTATCCCTAGCCGTTGAGCGGTTCGAATGATTCGAACAGCGATCTCTCCTCGATTTGCAACTAATAGCTTGTGGCTAGCATATTCGCTATTGAGTAACATGTTAGTGATGATGACGGGACGGGCTTTCTGGCGAAGGGGTCAGTACCTTTAATGTGACAACTCCAGATAGTGTATATATCAGTCACATAGAAGCCTGGCAGGAGGGCCCAAGTCTGATAAGCCTAGTACGCACTGACATCATGTGTCCAAGTTGCCCAAATATTGTTGACGGCCTCGTGACAGATTTTAATACTCAATGTAGTCTCGCGCCGGCGTGCGAGCCGCCAGCTACTATTGTCTAGACTTGCCAATTTGATGATATGGGGCGATATCGTCGAGTCGTATCAAAATGACCATTTGAATCGTAATTGTATGATCCGAGGGCGGCTTGAAGTGAATGTTGGGTGTTACAGTTATCAATGGGCATCTGTGATGCGAAATTGAAAATTTATGTACCACACCTATACAACACATGATAACAACTCTGTAATGTTTTCCCTGACAAGTAGTCTACCTCAACACTCCAGATCTGAATTTTTAGAGAAAAAAATCCAACCACTCGAGCACAACATCCAAAACAGTGAGGGATTGCAGGAAGGAGCAGGAGCAGGAGCAGGATTGGTGTCAAGGGTTATAGGCAGGATGCAGAGAGATGGCGGCATTCACGGGCACTAGGATTGGAGAAAAAGGCAGAGGATGCTGTGCACAAAGACCGGGAGCTCGACAAGTAGGACAACGAAGATATGTAATTAGGACAATAAAGACGATAATACATGAAAAAAATATTCGTGCCTTTCTCCGACACAGTTTACAGGGTCCAATCTTTACTAAATAACGTCAGTCGAATGGTAACAGGTCACACATCACTCCCTGGGGGTCAGGCATGACTAAATAACGTCACCTTGCACGACGTTACCATGTTCTCCAACAATTCATCGTTACACTGGGATTAGTAAGCGATCATTGCGATATCTTCGGAGGACGTATCGATATCTGATCGGAGAATAGAAGTTAAAATACCGCTGTGTATTTTTTTTGGCCTAGCGTTCTGCAAATGGCTGTAAGATCATAAAATTTTTGATACCATGTGAGAGGCAAGATCAATTATCCTTGTAGAGGTATTTTTTGAGGCAGTCACGCATTTTCGCAAGGTTTTGTGTGACTGCCTATGACCGATTGTAATAAAATTAATTATCACCAAAATGTGTGACCTGCCGACTTCTGTGGGGTGCCGATTGCACCGGAAGGGATGTGAATGCGGGAGATGGTGTCTCAGGGACCGATAGATAGCTTACGTACAGGCACTTGAAGTTTTTTTACAATGACTCTAATATTCAAGTTTAGGAGTCGTTACCAGAATATAACAGTTGAACAATATGCCATATGGACGGGAGAGGAACACTTTTCCAATGAGGCGCGAAAGGGCGCGAATTCCCGCTGTACCAGTGTAACCGTGATACCGGTGCTGATTTGTACACCGATAAAAGCTCAACTTGATTGTTGCCTTCTGGGCAGCTGATGAGATGAAAGAGATGAGGCTTAAGTACTTCCAACTTCGATCGATTCCAGCGCTTTCGTCGTGGCACTGCTGCCGAACAAAGTTGACGATGATGGACGGATATTTAATGTCCCAGTGTCAAGTCGACCACCCACCTTTGGCCCTCCCACACCTCGATATCAATACTGTCACATAATACTGTGGGCATCACGTAGACCATCAGGCAATGACAGGCATGCAAGGACTTGCATGGGTTGGCCTGTTATATCTGTATTATGCAGGTGCTGTTTTAGCGGCCGGTAATACGACGTGTCTTAGCGGTCAATTGGATTGGTACACAAGCGCAGTTGGTGAAACGCCTTGTAAGTCCTTACTTACATTTGAAGTGGTCACATGGCAAATTAATAAGTCAGGCATGACATATCAGCGGCTTCGACAAATATGCAACAGTGATTGTGGGTGTCTCTAAGTCTTTCTCTTGCATGCACTGACATGCTTAACAATCAGATGTGGTTGGCAATTTTGCGGCGACCACCCCTGGTGATCGTTGCAATGATCAAGTTGGTAGGCCTCTTCTTCTCGTACCGACCCACTACTCTTGCTAAACTGATGATTAGGAGATTGTTGCTGCAATTCTGTCGCATTCGCATTAAGCATGCTCTGCATGAAGTAATACACACTTTTCTTTCTTCTTTCATTGCTCGCTCATAACACTTGTATCAAAATACAGTTGCCAACTAGATGCTGATCCAAGCGGCAATGCAACTGGAATTGACGCGGGTAATATGAGTTTAATCCGTTTGAAAATGACGACTCACGTATTCTGCAGCTCCTGGAACCTATACTACTTATCTCGCGTCATGTATCCAATCACAAATCAATCGTGAGTGTTCTAAGATTGAAGGCAGCGCACCCACTCACGCGTCACTTGATATAATTTAGGCTTCCATCAACCGTCCAGCAAGCTGTGTGCAACGAAAATATCA